CAAGCTGGAATCAAGATTGCTGGGAGAAATATCAATAACCTCAGATATGCAGATGACACCACCCTTATGGCAGAAAGTGAAGAAGAACTAAAGAGCCTCTTGATGAAAGTGGAAGAGGAGAGTGAAAAAGTTGGCTTAAAGCTCAACATTCAGAAAACTAAGATCATGGCATCCGGTCCCATCTCTTCATGACAAATAGATGGGGAAACAGTGGCAGACTTCATTTTTTGGGGCTCCAAAATCACTGCAGATGGTGATTGCAGCCATGAAATTATAAGACACTTACTCCTTGGAAAGAAAGTTATGACCAACCTAGACAGCATATTAAAAAGCAGAGACATTACTTTGCTAACAAAGGTCCATCTAGTCAAGGCTATGGTTTTTCCAATAGTCATGTATGGATGTGAGAGTTGGACTGTAAAGAAAGCTGAGTGCTAAAGAATTGATGCTTTTGAACTGTGGTGTTGGAGAAGACCCTTTAGAGTCCCTTGGACAGCAAGGAGATCCAACCAGTTCATCCTAAAGGAAATGAGTCCTGAATATTCGTTGGAAGAACTGATGTTGAAGCTGAAACTCTGGCCACCTGATGCAAAGAACTGACTCATTTGAAAAGACCCTGGTGCTGGGAAAGATTGAAGGTGGGAGGAGAAGGGGATGACAGAGGATGCGATGGTTGGATTGCATCACTGCTCAGTGTTCATGGGTTTGGGTATACTCTGGGAGTTGGTGATGGACAGGGAGTCCTGGCGTGCTGCCGACCATGGGGTCGCAAAGAGTCGGACATGACTGAGGAACTGAACTGAACTGAGAGATATTTACAGATACTTTGGGAGATGCAACGGAGACTGAAATAGTTGTCAAGTGTATGAATTTTGTAGTCAGACTGGGTTTGAATCCCAGTTCCTTCACTTAGACCACTAACGGGCAAATAACTCAAATTATTTTTTTCTTCTTCCACTTTTACTGAGATATAATTGATACATAGTCCTGTATAAGGTTAGGGTGTACAGTATAATGATTTGACTTACATACATCATGAAATGATCATCAGTAAGTTTAGTGAACATGCATCATCTCATTTAGATACAAAATTAAAGAAACCGTCCTTTTTTCTTGTGATGAGAGTTCCTAGATTCAATATTGATATACAGCATATACGTTAACTCTACTTATCCTGTTGTACCTTACATCCCTAGCACTAAATTATTCAAATTCTTAATGCTTCAGTCTCCCTTTCTACAAATTGGAGAGAATATTCCGTCTCATGCAGTTCTAAGGACTGAACCCATTAATGTAGGTCAAAAAGCTAGAACTATTCTTGGCATTCAGTGGGCCCTCAGTCAGTGTTAGTTATCATCACCGTTTGAGCATCAGCATTATGACTGGCTGGTGCATTGGACTTCAGGGATGGACTGTGCACACGTGTTCAAAGCAATAAAAATGCAGAATAGCATAGGAGAAGTTGAAGGACAGAGACAGCACTTGTATAATATTTCATTTGTTCAGTCATTTAACAAACACTGAGCATCTGCTTTGGGTAAGACTATTATGTGTATGTGTATGTATTATGTGTATGTGTATATGTATGATGGAATGACACAAAAAGGGGAGACAGTACAAAATATTTGGAGCTCAGGCATAGGGTCTAACCCTTGTTCCACCACTTTACAATTGTTTGTGACTGTGAGCAAGTTACATAAAAGCCTCTTCTTCACCAGCACCCCCCCACACCTCCCACCTTTTCTTTTGCTGTAACATGAGGCTTGTGGACTTTTAGTTTCCTTACCAGGGACTGGACTCAGGCCCTCAGCAGTGAGAATGTGGAGTCCTAACCACTGGACCGCCAGGGAATTCCCACCCCTTCTCCATCTTGCCACCAGAGATCAGCCAGGCCTGGTATGAACTCTGGCACTACCGCTGACCAGTTGTGTTATTTGTAAGCAATTGCTTATCCTCTAAGCCTCACTTTTCTTATTTTACAAGTGAAGGAAGTAATAGTTCATTATATTTTTGTGAGGATCAAATTAAGAAGTGCATATGAAGTGCTTGGTACATAGTAGGATCTTGGTGTACTATCATCAGCATCATTATTAATATCATCATCCTAGCTCCCTCCTCTGTAGTCCCTGTTCCTAGAGAGCCATTAGCCTGTCTGGGAGGCAGAAATGAGTGGACAGTAGTAGAAGCAGTATGGATTGTGTTGTTACACTAGAGATCCAACTGTAATGCAGTGGGAGGAGGATCATTCATCCTGTCTGGAGACTCTGAGAAAGCTATTCTGGAGGTGGCTTTTGAGTGGGTCTTGCAGGGTTTTGGTAGATGGCCTGGACTGGGTGACCACCTTCCAGCAGAATGAGGCTTGTGAGTGGAGGCAGAAGGTGGACACCTGCAGGGCATGTTCACATGCTTTGAGGCCAGAAGGCAGCAGCTGCCAGTGTTGAGTCAAGGAGTTTGAACTCTGGGCTGTGGGCATATGTTTAGTTTCCCCCTTCTTTTCTGATTTATAAGCTCTGAATCTCAGGTTGGCCCTTTAAATGAGGTTGACTTTCCTAGAGCCCAGGGAGGAGGATTGAGTAGTCATTAGGTATTTACTCTTAATTCACCGTAGTTCTGGCTTCCCAGGTGGCCCAATGGTAAAGAATCTGCCTGCCAATGCAGAAGACCTGGGTTCGATCCCTGAGTTAGGAAGATCCCCTGGAGTAGGAAATGGCAACTCACTCCAGTATTCTTGCCTGGGAAATTTCATGAACAGTCCTCTGTAGCTTGGCGGGCTACAGTCCCTGGGATTGCAAATAGTTGGACACACCTGAGTGCACATGCACTACACACTAGTGACTAGATTTCTTAGTAATCTGAGCTGAGCAATTTTGGCATGAGAGAGCCATCCATAAGTAAGTCTGCAGATTTTCTGCCTGGAAATCAACGAACATTATCATCTATAAGATGCTTACCTTTGTGGCCTGGTTCCTTGGAGGGACCTTTCCCGGCAGGGCCGGTTGGGTGCAGGGAAGTCGGAAGCCTTTGATCTGTATTTTGTCTGATTCCCTTGTTTTGGACTCTCGGTAGGCTGCCTTTTCTCTTCATTTTTGCCTCAGTGTCTTCTTTCGAGACCACCTCCTTTGCTCTCTTTGCTTCAGCTTCTTTAATTGTTCATTGCGTGGATTGCCTGCAAGTCCAGTTCTCCATGTGGTTCAGCAGCCATGGAAACCTGGGGCTGTCTGCCTTTGTGACAGATTTGGCTGTTGAAAAACATGGCAAGTGAGTCAAATTGCAAATGTTGCTCTTTAAAAGAAGAAACTGTATGGTTTCCTCCCTTTAAGTTAGTTTCAACTGATAGAAATGTGTTTCACATTTTTTTCCCCAAATGATCATTTTTCTCCCCAAATGTGGATATAGGGTTGTTTCTGGGCTCTCTGGGACAATTAACTTCTCCTTTTGGTTCGTCTTAAGGTGTGTGGAACCCTACCTGAAAAATAATTTGGGTCCATTTGCTCAGAATCTGCTCAGATGCTAGCTTTGAATACTTCTTTAGATGCCAGTAAGGCACATCTTAATCATTCAAAGGGGGAAGTAAGCAGGTTTCTTGTATTAGTTTGTCTTTGGAGGAAAAGACTTGCTTTCCTTTCTTCTGAGTTCTCTTGCCAGCTAATGGTTGCTAGTTGTTGTTGTCTGTACTTTCTGTTCTTGAAAATATATTTCAGACAGATTTATATGACTCAGAAATCAACTTTGTTGCGCAAACAACTTCATAAAAGGATGGCTGTGTCCCCAGCTTTTTGAGGGTGGGGACCCTGCTTGCCTTTGTTTATAATCCCAGTGGCCAGCACCGTGCCTTAGGCACAGGGGACGGTCACTTCCGTAGTTTCAGGAGTGAGTGTCACCCCCATGACTGGCCCTTTAGTCTGCTTTGGAGACATCTAGTACTTTTGGGTTTAAGTGATGGTAAAAGCTGAGGCTGAAAAGGACCTTGAGCAGTGGTCCAGTTCATGCCTTTTCTCATTACTCTGCAGGTGAGGGTGGGAAGGAGAACCTGTGGAGGTGGGCTTTCTGGAAAAGAGAGTGTACTTCCTTCTGATGACCAACTTTACTGAACTCACAGGAGCTCTTAGACATGGTGTGGAATACGTCATTTTAGGAGGGCGGGCAGTGAATGAGGAGGAGAGCTTGTTAAAAATGGCAAATTTTTGTTTCAATTTCAGAGATATCTGGGTGGGGAAACCAGGATCTGTGTTTCATCCCAGGCAATTCAAATGTTAATGGTCCTTGGGTGAATATTAGCCTAAACTTGGGGCTTTTTTTTTTTTTTAATCATAGTGATACATTTTTTAGTGACAATAACAAGGTTACTTTTTCCAATAATACATCAAATAAATTATTTTTAAAAACATGGCTAATTTCATCTTTGTTTCATGTTTTAAAAAGATCTCCCCCCACCCCCGTTTTTTTTTTTTTTCCATTTATTTTTTATTAGTTGGAGGCTAATTACTTTACAATATTGTAGTGGGTTTTGTCATACATTGACATGAATCAGCCATGGATTTACATGTATTCCCCATCCCGATCCCCCCTCCCACCTCCCTCTCTACCCGATCCCTCTGGGTCTTCCCAGTACACCAGGCCCGAGCACTTGTCTCATGCATCCAACCTGGGCTTGTGATCTGTTTCACTATAGATAATATACATGTTTCGATGCTGTTCTCTCGAAAACTTGGGGCATTTAAACTGGCCACCTGGCCAGATCCCTCTGCAAGCTGAGAATGGCTTTTCCATTTTTAAAGACTTGTAAAGAAAAAAAAGAAAGAGAATATACAACAGACCCTGTAAGGACTGAAATATTTACTCCCTGGCTCGTTCGAGTCTGATCCCTGCCCTAAACCCTTCATCTGCTGGCAGGCTCACATGTCAGAGTGGGCAGGTCAGGACGTTAGTACAGATAAAGCACAGTGGTAGGTACAGCCTGGGCCTCCATGGGAAACTCACCCTTTACTCTTCACTGATTTGCACACAGTAGGCACCTATTGCTCTGTTGGATGAATATGTTATGGTGTTTTTATTTTTTAGGTGCTGTTGAATTAGAAAACTTGCCTTTAAAGAAAGATGCCTTGAAAGAACTGGAATTACCATTTGAGGTCAAAGCTGGTATGTGAAACAAGGGAGAGGGAAGCAGTATTACATCATTTGGGACGCAAAAACTGAGCACCCTTGTGTCTGGCTCTGTTGGACCAGGAAGAGGCAGAATAGGAGTTTCGATCAGTCTTCAAGTGTGGTCCCTAGGCTGCTAATGTCAGGATGTTCTTGGGGTGGTTGTGGCCCCCAGACTTACTGAATCAGAATCTCTGAAGAAGTGTCATTGAACCTGCATCATTTTTTTTTTTTATTTTTTGAACCTGCACCTTTACTAAGCTCCCCAGGTGATTCTTAAAAGTCTGGGAACTTCAGTCTTAGATATGGGGGCTTCTTATTTTATTTTCAGAGAATTTACTGTACATTTTGGGCTTCCCCAGTGGCTTAGTGGTAAAGGACCTGCCTGCAATACAGAAGGCACAGGAGACTTGAGTTAGATCCCTGGGTCGGGAGGATCCCTGGAGGAGGGAATGGCTACCCACGCCAGTATTCTTGCCTGGAGAATCCCATGGACAGAGGAGCCTGATGGGGTGCAGTCGATGGGGTCACAGAGTTGGACACGATTGAAGTGACTGAGCACAGCATACACGTTTTACATATTACGGAGAGACAGGTGACTCTGTTGAATGAAAGGTGGGCTCGGGAACAGTATGCTTGGGTTTCTATTCCATATCTGCCATTTTCTGGCTGTGTGACTTTGGGGCAGTTCCCTCACAACTGTGTGTGTGCTTCCTCATCTTTAAGATGGGATGATTGAAGTTACATCGTAGGGTTGTTGAGAGGAATACCCGAGTTAATGCATTAAAATTACTCAGTACAGTGTCCAGCACAAGTCTTGCAGTTACTAGATTTGGTAAAGAAACAAGAATTGTCACAGAATAAAAATATTTTCTATTAAGTGACCACGCATAAAATTAGTCCCTCTTTAGACACTGCTTGTCATTGACCAGTAGCCTATTGATGTCAGTCAGTCTTTCCTTTATTTTGAGGGTACATATAATAAAGTGTACATACAATGCAAGTCAGTTGCTAGGTAAAATAAAATGGAAATTTTGCAAGAGATTTAGGCTTTCTTGAAGTCTACTCAAGTCATGGGTGAACTGCCAGAGTCACAAACAAAGGCAGTGACAAGTTAGAATCTGAAAGAAACTCTCAAGAATGATGATATGGTGGATACTGCCAAAGAGTTCTTAATTGAATATCAAAGGATTAAGAGAGGCTTTTAGGGAAAATTGATGTTTTCTAATGTTTTGGCAAAAATGACCCTTGCTCTGCCAAAATGGAATGTAGCAGAAGTTATATTTTGCTGTCATATAATTGTCCTCCCAATTAATTAAGATTAGAATTGCAACTGTGCACTAATTATTGTTAGAATTCTTTGTTGTGAACATTGATGTATGGTTTCAGTTTATAATATAAATTTTATTAAATGTAAGAACTGACTTTCATTTTTCTAGATAAAGCCAAAATTATTTTTTCATTATTTGTTGTGACATATATCTTCATTTGTTACTGGATTACACAACTGATCACTTGGTGTCAACGATACTCTGTTATCTTAAATGTAACAGATTGCTACTGCTCCAATTCTCGGTCTTAGGCAGGCATGATCACACTCTGCTAACATTCTACTTTTCAAGGTAGACTGTTCGTTGGGCTCTGTGGATCTCTGAGAGATCCCTTAGGTCAGACGGTTCACATGCTCTCATGCTTTACTCCTTGGTGGTGACTTGCCTCTTATTAATTGAAGCGAAAGAAGCCTTGTGTTCTGGGAGGCTTGGCTGGAAATGGTAGAACTCTGGAAATATGTGTCACGGTTCTCCCAGGCCATTTAGCTCTCCCATCAGTCTGAGGTCTCATGAAGAGTCAGCTTTCCTTCTCGATAGAATTCCACTGCAACATGACCAACGTTTCAGTCGCTGTGTTTGAAATTGTGTGTATTGTAAGTCTGTTAACTCCCAGTAAGTACCTATCAGCCAGCTAATTAATAATGAAGAAGAAATGAGTTGTGTGCCCATGGGCTTGTGCAAGTGCCATGGGGAGAAAGAAACCACAGGGAAATTTATGATGTAGTCCCATTGGGGAAGAGGTAATTTCCAGAGCAGAGATGTTGCATTTGAAATGAAAAAGTTACACTGACCTTGTTCCAGCTTCTACTTTATTATGCCTTTGTTCTTACAGCTCTCAGCCTAGTAGCGTTTGTTTCACATGTAGGAAAACTGGCTGCTTGTTTTCTTAAAAAGTAAATGGTAAAATTAATAATACTCCTTAAAGGACACTAGAAGAATACTGAAAAATAGAATTAAACACGTGTCAGACATTTAACAAGACTTTCCTCTTCCCAGGCTTAATTGGGAAAGTGACCCTTCAGATTCCCTTCTACCGCCCCCATGTGGACCCTTGGGTGATCTCCATCTCCAGCCTTCATTTAATTGGAGCCCCTGAAAAAATACAGGATTTCAATGATGAAAAGGAGAAGCGGTTGGAAAGGGAGCGCAAGAAAGCTCTCCTTCAGGCCCTGGAGGAAAAATGGAAGGCAAGGCAGAAATCCTCTTGGCCTGAGAGTGGTGGTGGTGAGACTCGAAATTGGCAAAGCCCTGGATTATAACATCAGCTCTTTCCTTTGTAGAACGAACGCCAGCAGAAAGGGGAATCTTACTGGTATTCAGTCACTGCCTCAGTAGTTACGAGGATTGTAGAGAACATTGAAGTAAGTCCTAATGGCTTTTATAAAGTATGAACACGGAGGGGACTGCTCAGGCTTAAATGCGTTTCATGTCATGGTTGCTGGTTTCTCGTGGGTGTAACTGATCACAGAGTGTCTGCAGAGAATGCTGACTGCTCAGGTGTGCCTTTTCCTAGGCGATGTTGGAGGGAGAACCTGAAAAGTGAGTCAGAAACAGGTTTTTCTTGCTTCAGATAGTGTGAGTAGGAGTTTTAATTTCACTGACACTTCACTTCATTTTCTTTTTGAATGTGGGAATGCCACTTGCTGAAGGATATACCTTCTAAGAAGACAGATCCTGTCTGGTTGCAGGGCAAATCACTTAATCTCTCTGCTCTCAGTTTCTTCCTCTGGACAAGGAGAGTGGTTGAATATGGTTTCCAGTTAATTACATAGTGTGTTGTGAACAACTCTCTCACCGCTGTGTCTGGGGCCATGTGATGAGTTACAATGCTCGGGCTGCTGGCCATATTTTCTGCTTTAATTACCATTTTGTTTTGTCCTCAAAACCAAGAATAGGGTTCACACTAATTTTCAGGAATGTCATAAGAATCAGCCCATACTTATCAACTCCAGGGTTTTCATGCAATGCCATGTGACAGGCCACATGTTTTTTTAAGATGTCCCACTCCCCCCAGAGTACAGTCTGAGGTTGCTGGATTCATAACTTTGATAACTTTGGTAAAAAGATCAGTACATTTGAGGTGACTGCTTTGCATTCTTTTTCAGGCAGTTATTTATCTCATTGATTTTTTTAGATATTGTCATTATTTTAACTTTATTTTTAATAATAACTTTGAGATTTAGTTCACATACTATAAAGTTTACAATTTTAAAGTGTACAAACTAGTGTTTTTTGGTATATTTACAAAGTTGAGCGTTGATCACCACTGTCTAATTTCAGGATATTTTCATTATCCGTCAGAGATGCTCTATACCCAACTAGCAATCACTTCGAATTCCCCTTTCTTCCAGTCCCCTGCAACCACTAATGTACTTTATGGATTTGTGTAGTCTGGACATTTCGTATCAGTGCAGCTGTACACTCCGTGGTCTTTTGCATCTGGCTTTTTAGCATAATGCTCCGAAGATTCATCCATGTTGTGTCATGTATCAGTACTTTATTCCTTTTATGACTGGATAATATATTCCATTGTATGGATTGCCAAAGATGAACAAAGCTGGAGTGAAGTTAAAGTGGTGAAAACAGACTTTATTCAGTGACTCCTGACAGGAGGGGAAAGAGCAGAGCTCCATTTCAGTTGGTACACAGGTGACCAGGTGTTTTAAAGGGAGAATGAGGGTGTGTGTGTGTGTGTTGGGGTGGGTGGGGTGGGCAGGGCTCAGGAGGAAAATTACGAAGGGTTGGTCAATGTGGATGTGATTAGGTCAGCTGTATCTGCTAGCTGGACTTCTCTCCTTCCATAGAGATGGGTGACAGGAGCCCCTTTCTTCCTGATGATTGCATTTCAAGGGAGTGGCTTTTGGGTCCTTGAGTTGTAGGAGATACATTACATAGGGACAGCGAAAGGATTCACAGCTGTAAGCCCTTTTTGATAAATGCTCTAAGAAAAGGGAGGGGGATGTGCACTATTGTCAGGTGTTGACTGGAGCAGACAGTCCTGAGCTTTTCCACTTAGGAACTCAGGAAGGGGATGGAATGTTGGTCCCAGGGACACAGCATGAGGCTGCTAGAAGTCTTCATTAAAATTTCAAGTCTTTTCGTGGAGGTGTTTGAATTGAACGTTCATACCTAGAGCTTTTGCAGTTCTCGGGGTAGACCACATTTTGTTTATCAGTTTATCAGTTGATGGACACTTGGGTTGTTTCCCTTTTTTGGCTCTTAGGAATATTGCTGTTATAAACATTCATGTGTCTGGTTTTGTGTGAACATGTGTTTTCACTTCTGTTGCATACATACCTAAGAGTGGAGTTGTTGAGTCATATGGTAACTATATGTTAAATTTTTTGAGGAACAGTTTTATAGTTTCACTGGTAATGTGTGAACATTTCAGTTTTTCCACATCCTGACCAGCACTTGTTATTGTCTGTTTTTTAATAATAGCCATATTAATGGGTACGAAGTGATACCTCAGTGTGGTTTAGATTTGTATTTCCTTAGTGGTTAATGTTGTTGAGCATCTTTCCAGGTGCTTATTGGCTCTTTGTTTATCTTTTGGAGAAGCGTCTATTCAAATTTCTTTTCCATTTAAAAAAAATGAATTCTTTACGGTTGAGTTGTAAGAGTTCTTTATATATCCTGGATTCTCCCTATGAGATACACATGACTTGCAAGTGTTTTCTCCCATTCTATGAGTTGTCTTTTCATGGTCTGCTGTTTTTTATTTCATTGAAGCAGAGTGCTTTTTCAGTAAGCCCACTGTAGAGGCACGGGGAAATAAATAAGGTCACAGTGGAAATGCCCTGTCCAGGTTTGAGGGCACAGGGACCAGATGAAGATACCATGAGAGGGAGGGCCAGTTATCTAGATACAGTGGTACTACTTTAGTTCAGTGTTTAAGGTGTTTTCTGAAATGATTCCATGGAAGTACCATTAACTGTCTTCTTGAGTTGGCACTAATCAAAAGAAATGTCATTCATGTCCAGTTTGTGATTCTGACTCTTAGGAACTTAGAATATTGGGTGTGTATGTGACATACCCGTTTGTGTAAAATACCTGCTGTGGTTTACTTACGTGGCTCAAGCACAGCTTGACCCCTGCTTATAGCACTCTACCTGCCACATGGTCTAAATGAGTTTTTTCCCCTCCTGCAGTTAAAAATTCAAGATGTCCACTTGCGCTTTGAAGATGGTGTCACCAACCCTTCCCATCCGTTTGCATTTGGCATCTGCATTAAGAATGTATCCATGCAAAATGCCATGAACGAGCCTGTGAGTATGAAATACACCTGCAAACCAGGAAGAAAGCACCAGGTCTGGGGCATTTGGGGCTGTGCCTTGGGTCCTTTCATTTTCTGTGAGATCACCGTCTTTTTCTCCATGTTCTTTGGCAGGTGTAGATGTCTTTTGTGTTAATTTCCTCTAACCTGTCATTATTTCACTCGTCCATCAATGTTGGCACATTTTACACATGAAGAAACTGAGGTGCAGAAAGGATCTCATTTTTTATTTTCTTCTGTCCTTACGTGCTCTCTTGGGGTACACTCACTCTGTTTCAGGGTTTTATCAGCCACCTGGAATATGTGCTGACGGCATCCACATCTTGAAAGTCATTCTCCCCACCTCTTCTGGCCTTCAGATTCAAGGTCTTTTCCTATGGGATGCCTCTGTGGTATTTTGTTGTTTAGTCACTCAGTCATGTCCGACTCTTTTGTAACCCTATGGACTGTAGCCCACCAGGCTCCTCTGTCCATGGGGTTCTTCAGGCAAGAATACTGGAGTGGTTTGCCATGCCCTGCTCCAGGGGATCTTCCCAACCCAGACATCGAACTCGTGTCTCCTACATTGGCGGGAGGGTTCTTTACTGCTGGTCCATAATGGAAGCCTGTGGTATCTTAGGCTTGTTATAATCAAAATGATCCCATTATATTCCAGCTGCCCATTTTGCTTCCCTGAAACCAACTTTTTTCCTTTTTTCCTCTGACATGTTATTGCATGTTACAAACCAATCACATGAAAACTGACTTTTGAGCCCTTTTTGTGCCAGGCACTATTCTTAGTGGTTTACTTGATCTTTCATGTTGACTTCTCATTACTCTTTACTAACACTACAGTACAGTTATCCTGTACTGTAGCTGAGGACACTGGAGAGCCCACAAAGCCTAAATACCTGCTCTCTCCGGCCCTTTACAGAACAAGTTTGCCTCCCTTGCTTCAGAACATGTGTTCTCGCCCATGACACTCATCTTTAGACACCTGTGCTCATTTCTTCACTTCTTATTCCTCAGCTTCTGTATCCATTTGGTTACAGCGTCCTGCCAGTTTTCCCTGCAAGGTGTCTCAAACATGGCTCTTCCTCTCCCCTTCACTTCAACTGTCTGAGTTAGGATCCTTCAGCTCCTGCCTGAGTCAGTAAGCTCCTGACTTCCGACCCTGCCTCACTTCTGTCCCAGGCTCTTGATTCGCCCTGTGCCAGGGCTTCTCAGCCTTTCCTACGTCCTGGCATACAGAGGAGAGTGATGGTGTTTGTACAGGTCAAAGGGGCAAGTGGATGTGGCTGCTTGGGGCTGGAGGTGTCCTGAGAGCAACCAGGTACAGTGGATCCTCCAGCAAGATGGGCTTGAACACTGCGAGTCCACTTGTCCACAGACTTCTTTTAAAAAACATACCACAGTATCACATGATCCTTCAGTGCAGAACCGTGAATAGGAGTGCTGAGCAGAAAGTTATATGAGGATTTCTGACTGCAAGGAGGGTTGACACCCCTAACTCCCAAGTTGTTCAAGGCTCATTGTATTCTGAACTGTAGTTTGGTCCTGTAGACTTGCTTGTTATCTTGACACACTCATGACTCCATTTGGGGTAGAGGGGAGCTCTACCTTGCACTGTTGCCAGGGTTCTCTTTCTAAAACACATAGCTGGTTCTGAAACATGCCTCCATTCAAACCCTCAGTGACTTATCTCCCTTCAAGTGTGACATCCAAACTCCTTAGTATGTCAGACTTTTTACTGTATCAGTTTTCTTGGGCCTAGATAACAAATTACCATGAACTAGATGGCTTCTTCTGTGCTGGAGGCCAGAGTCCAAGGTCAAGGTGTCAGCAGAGTTGGTTGCTCCTAGAGACTCTGAGGGAGAAAACTGCCCCCTGCGTCTCCTTGCTTCCCATGGTTGCCTTGGCTTGTGGGTGCATCACTCCAGTCTCTGCCTGGATCTTCACATGGCCTTCTCCCCCTGTGTCTGTTTCCTCTTCTTTTAAGGACATCAGTGATTAGATTAGGGCCCACCCCAATCCCCTATGACTTTTTTTTCCCCACAAAGAATTCGACAGTTTTAATCATATAAAATAAAATACAATGAAAAAGCATTGCTCAGGGTCTATCCCAATCTAGATTACCTTATTTTTTTTCACAAAAAGTTCAGTTTTAATCATATAAAATACAATAAAAGGCATATTGATCTTCTTTCTTGAGTTGTTTTAGGTGTAAGGTTAGGTTGTTTATTTGAGATTTTTCTTGTTTCTTGAGGTAAGATTGTATTGCTGTAAACTTCCCTCTTAGAATGCTTTTGCTTCATCCTGTAGGTTTTGGATTGTTGTGCTTGCATTTTCTCTAGGTATTTTTTGTTTTCCTCTCTGATTAGTATGACCTTATTTTAATCTGATTATGTCTGCAATGACCCTCTTTCTGAGTATGTTCCCCCACTCATAGGTTCTGGGACAACACAAATTTTGCAGGATGCAGGGGGAGCTTTTCAACCTAGTGTACCTAGTAACACTCCAACCTACTTTTCTCAACACTCAAGTAACTCTCCACTCCTTGTGTGTGTCTGTACACGAGTCTCAGTACTGCTGCACCCTGAACACAGTGCTTCCTTACAGGTGTCCCAGTACTGCCCCACCCTGAACACAGTGTTTCCGTACATGTTCCCAGTACCCACTCCACCCCTGAACACATTGCTTCCGTACACGTGTCCCAGTACTGCCCCACCCTGAACACAGCGTTTCCGTACCTGTTCCCAGTACCCACTCCACCCCTGAACACAGCTCTTCCATACACGTATCCCGGTACTGCCCCACCCTGAACACAGCGTTTCTGTATACGTGTCCCAATACTGCCCCACCCTGAACACAGCGTTTCTGTACATGTTCCCAGTACCCACTCCACCCCTGAACACAGCGCTTCCATACAGGTGTCCCAGTACCAGCTCCACCCCTGAACACAGTGCTTCCCTACACATGTTCCAGTACTGCCCCACCCTGAACACAGCACTTCAGTTGCACAGATGTATTCACTGTCCTTTGGAGCAATTGGGCCTATTGTGTCATTGGCCCCACTCCTTGCAATGTGTCCCGAACCTTCCCTTCTACCCTCTGTCTGAAACATACACAGCTTTTGATACTTACCTGCCCAGTGGTATTTTTTAGTTGTTTGCTTGTAGCATCTTATATATTCTTCCTCTGCTCTCCTCTGCTTAATTACACTTGTTCACATGTTTGTGTTTCCATTTAGTTAGATTCTCAACTCCATAAGAGCAGAACCATGTTTTCATTGTTTTGTATCCTCAGCACCTTGCAAAGTGCCCTACGTATGATTCATCACTAATGGCCTGTTGAATGAATGAATAGATTTGTAAATAAAGAATCATCTTGCTTTCTTCCCTGTCTTCCCCCAGGTACAGAAATTAATGCGGAAAAAGCAATTAGATGTGGCAGAGTTTAGCGTCTATTGGGATGTGGATTGCACTTTATTGGGGGATTTGCCTCAGGTGGAGTTACAGGTATGATTCTGGCAGGGCTCTCCTGTAACACAGCACCGCAATGAAGTGTGTAGGATCACGGCCATATGGGGTTTTGTTCTCTGTGTCTCTGTTCCCGTTCCCACCCTCTTTCCCTCCTTGGCATCCGTTCTCAAGTATGTATATGTTTTCTTGAGGTACCTGCTATGTCTGTAACTCTTAAAAAATATATTAGGGATTTGTGTATGTTTTACATTTATAGTGTATTATAGATTTGTTTTCTTTTTTTCATTTAAAGCTCTGTTTTTATCAGTGTTGCTGCTTATACTTCTGATTCATTGCTTCTGTTGGATGGTATTCAGCTGCATGCACTTAATGTATTAGTGTTCTCTACTCTTTTGGCCACCGTTGTACATGCAGGTTTTCAATGAATGAAGCACCACATCTGATTGTTAAGAAGAGATTTCTTACTATGTTTTGTGTTGAAATTTCACCTTTGGTGACATTCCTTTAAGAATACTTAGAATGTCATTGTAAATCATTGGATGTAAAATATTACTGTTTGTGAAGGATATTTAGAAAAATCTCAGTTTAATCTTTTTGTAAAGAAATTGTACTTGGTTTTAAGTGAAATGGAAAGAAAGTTCTCATATTTCCCTCAACCACCATTATCCTTGCATGCTGTTGTCCAGAATGGTTTTTGTTTTGCCAGTTTGATTAAATAAATATTGTGCATTCATACAGTAGAGTATGCAGCTATAAAAAATAAAGGGCAGAGATCTTTATAATGAATACATAATAGTCTCTAAGACAGTATTAAGTTTCAAAAACTAAGGTAAAAAAGCATGTGTGCCTTCTGTGTAAGACTGGTTTTAAAAACCAAAAAGTTATGCATTTGCCTGAATCTGTACAGAATGCTTCTGGTGGACTGTGTAAGAAACTGGTGTCATTGTTGCCTCAGAATAGGGTAACTGGCTGACTGAAAGAAGGAGTAGGAAGGAGACATTTCACTTTTTTTGCCTTTAAAATTCTAAACTGTGTGAATGTATTACCTGTAAGAAATATAAACACAAATTAAAAAATGCTGGAGAGCTTTAGATTCCCAGTTTTCTCCTGCTTTTGGATTCTGATGTCATATGCTGTAGATTAGACAACATTACACCAGGTGACTTTGATCTGGGGAACGTCTGCTGTAATGACAGCCATTCTTGTGCCACTCAGGAGGCCATGGACAGGAGCATGGAGAGTCGTGACCATCACTACATCTTGGAGCCTGTGTGTGCATCTGCTCTTCTGAAGAGAAACTGCTCCAAAGAGCCTCTGCGCTCTCGGCACACTCCCCGAATCGAATGTGATATTCACCTGGAGACCATTCCCTTGAAACTCTCTCAGGTACCCTCCTCCTTCCTGTCACTGTCTGCTGCTAACTGCGGTGTTGATAGAAGGGTCCCCTCATGGGAAAGGAAGTGCGCATGAGACCCAGATGCAGAACCCACTGTCTTTATACGCTCGGGTTGGGTGTGTCTCAGGTTAGTTTGATTTGATGTTTTTAAGTGCTGAATGAAGAGCATAAGAGAGACAGTGAATCTGTGTACTTAGCTGATAGTGTTCAGAGAGACATGCTACGTAGTGCTGGAGCTTGGTCTTGCAGTTGGCATTGGATTTCAACTCACTGGGTTGACTAGTATGACTTATCCCTGTGATGTGTAATGTCTTTACTGAGCAAAAGAAATAAACCAGTTCTAACCTTGTACCGCTTAACTTCTAATAAAAAGCTGCAGTACCGGCAAATCATGGAATTCCTCAAGGAGCTGGAGCGAAAGGAGAGGCAGGTGAAGTTCCGAAAATGGAAACCCAAAGTGGCTGTGTCTGAGAAGTAAGGCTTGTCAATTAAGTGTTGTGTGTGGAATGCATTTTCTAGCATGTTCTTTTTGTATATAGATCAGAGATATGCCTCACTGCCTTCACATGGTTGAAGATGAAAATATAGTCGATTTTTCTGGCTTTAAAAATGCCCTTTCTGTTGTCATTGTTACCATGCTCTCGTGTATCTCTGGTGTTACGGGTTTACTCTGAGGTCGAGCATAGTGGAATTTAGAAGGTCCTCTCAGTCTCAGGCATGTTTCCCTGGTGCTTCAGTGGCAGAGAATCTGCCAGCCAGTGCAGGAGACACGGGAGACTTGGGTTCGATCCCTGGTCCGGGAAGATCCCCTGGAGAAGGAAATGGCAACCCAGTCTAGTATTTTTGCACGGAGAACTTGATGGACAGAGGAGCCTGGTGGGTTATAGTCCATGGGGTTGCAAAGAGTCGATACGAGTTAGCAACTGAGCAACAGCAACAACAACTCAGTCTCATGTAGCGAGGAGACTAGCCTTGCTCTGGTGGGATCTGACCGTGTGGTAAATATTTTGTAGCACTTCTGAACCTACTCCCTTGTACCTTTTCTCCTAACCAGTTTGGTCAGCGTTTATGTAATACACTTGATGACATCTATAGCATAAATGTCCAAAGCATCGCCAAGAGTCAGACACAACTGAAGTGACTTACCAAGCACATAGGATAGATAAATGTTTTCATGTAAATGTGCTCAATTTGACCAGTCAATATATTAAACCTTTTTTAAAGATCCTATGTATTTCCAGTCTTTCCTGAAGTCTTCCATTTAAAAATCTTTAACAGTCAAATCCTTGCTGATTATCTTACAATGGTATTTACTGTAAAGCCATCACTTGATTGTCTGTCAGTGGGAGAGGCTGATGTCATGGGTCATTCAGACCAATTGAGTAATGTTCTATTACCGGTGTATCTATCGAGGATGCAGTGGATTAGCTTTCCCCACGGATTGAAGTTAGCCTAATATTATTTGAATTTGAGGCATAAAGTGATGGCCGACAAGAGAAGACATGTCTAGAATGGGAGTAGTGTGCTGTGGATCGCCTTGGGTCGATAGCATTTTCATCGCTTTTGCTGTAAGTAACTAGATGGCTATGAAATGTTTCAGCTGCCGCGAGTGGTGGTATTTCGCTTTGAATGCCAACCTGCATGAGATCCGGGAGCAGAGAAAGCGCTGTACATGGGGCTTCCTGTTGGGCCGGGCCCGTGATGCCGTGTCTTATACCGACAAGTACTTTACCACGTTGAGAGGAGGCTTGCTATCTGCAGACGACAAGGTAAAGGGTGTTGTCTCGAGTTTCTCGTCTCCACTCAGAGGGTAAGACTGTCTCTTCAAGACTGAAGAAAATGGAATTTGTGAAGAAATAAAAGTGTTTGGGATCATAGTTTTTTAGGATAAAGTTGGCCTTACTAGGGTGAGAGCTTCTTGGAAGGCTGGGTTTTGCCTCAGCAGAAAGCTTTCTCCACCTTCTGTTGCTAGAGGGTAGCCAGGCCATGGGCTGGGAGAAGGAAAAGGGGCTGTGATCCTGCCAGGCCTCCCTGCTGTCTGTGCAGGGCCCAGAGAGACACTGCATCTAGTCTCTCCTATCGAACACCTGATCCTAACTCTTCTCCTCACATTTCCCATAATCCTGATGGACTTGATGGACCCTGGAGTTTTGGGGGTAGAGCCTAGGCCGAGGGTGTGCAGTGAGGGGAAGGCCAGCTCTAGTTTCAGTTACCTGCAGGACCAGAGACACTTGGAGCTGGCAGTCCTAGGGTCCTGGCCTGGAGCTTCCTCTAGTTCCAGTCTGGCTCCTCTGTCTCCTCAGGGAGGGCCGTGGGGAGTGTTTTCCTCTTTGATTTGTTTCGGTTTTGTGAGCGTCAGTTTTTGAAATAGCAATTTAGACTTATTCCAGCCTGGGGATTGTCTCAATTAACTGTTTCTTTAGTGAATACTTCTAAGCTTCCCGTTAGCACCTGTTTTAGCTTGGGCCGCTATAACAACATTCCACAGGCTGGGGTGCTTTAAACGGTGGATGTTTACTTCTCACAGTTCTGGAGGCTGAAATTCCATGATTGAGGTGCCAGCAGATTCGGTTCTTGGGGAAGACCATCTTCCTGGTTTATAGACAGCCGCCTTCTCCCTATGTGCTCATGTGGCCTTTCCTGGGCAGAGAGAGAGCTGTTTGTCTTCCCCTTCCTACAAGGGAACTAGTCCTATAATGATGGTCCCATCCTCATCACCTCATCTAAACCTGTTCACCTCCCAGGGGCTCTACCTTCAGATCCTATCACGTTGAGGGTTTAGGCCTCAACATGAACTTATTGGGGGGACACATTCAGCCTATGAGAGCACCCCACTGTGGTAACCAGTGGCAATGCTGCCTCTTTGGGTGTTCTCACCTGTCTTGCCAGCACCCTGAGGTATGACCCACTCTGCTAGTGCTTTTTTCATGGGTGTCAGGCGTGGTTACTGACATAGAAGCCTTAATAAAAGGATGGAATAAACTAGACCTTTTGTTTTGGATAGTTTTCTTAAAGGCATAGGGAAAGACATGGAGCAAGGGAAAAATCTAAATTACAGCTGAGGTGAGCAAGTGAACATGTATAATCTCCTTTTCCTTAATGGCAGGGTGTAAGGCTTCCCTGGTGGCTCAGATGGTAAAGAATCCACCTGCAGTACAGAAGACCCAGGTTCCATCCCTGTGTCGGGACGATCCCCTGGAGAATGGAATGACAACCCACTCCAGTCAGTATTCTTGCCTGGAGAATCCCATGGACAGTGGGGCCTGTTGGGCTATAGTCCATTGGGACGCAGAGTCCGACACCTCTGAGCGACTAACAACTTTGACTTTTGAGAAACAGCTTAGGAGAGCTGACTCCGCTTTCTTCCGCGTCTTTGTGTGTCGCTGGCCAGTTGTTCTTTCCTAACTAGTATGAAACAAATGATAAATGACCACTTCCTTGCCAATGTCCCACATGAAACATAAAGAAGCTGGAGTCCTGCATACTTACTCTGTAAACTAGGTGCTCAGTTTCCTCCTCTGACTCGGGAAGATTAACAGCCAGCCACCAACTTGAATCAGTTGAGGTAGCGCATGTGAAAGCACTTTGTAAACTGCCTTTGCTGAGCAAAGATGGGCTATTCGAGCAACACTTGTCCTTCACTTACCCGTTAACAACTCAATACCATCTTTGCTCCCTCTGCACTTCCTGTTAGTCTCAGAGTACAGGTAGGATCTACTGGGGTTATATGGAAAAGCTGTTTGAACCAGAAGCTTAGCAGTTACAGAACTCACTGTTTATCTTCATGGTTTCTGGGCCTTGGAAATACTGGAAACATTGGGGGCCAGGTGGGTTCCTTTAGTACTGGACGGGTTTGTGATGGTGTCCACTTCTCTGCAGCCATGACACCTGTTTTGTCTGACTTCACCCGAACAGGAGGAAATGTGTCGGATTGAAGAGGAGCAGAGCTTTGAGGAACTGAAGATTTTGCGTGAACTGGTACATGAGCGGTTTCATAAGCAGGAAGAACTGGCAGAGGTAGGAGACCCTCCGAGAGAATCTGTGTTCACACCCAGCATGCTGAGTGCCTCTTGGGGCACAGAGAATGAGGAGTGGCACCTCACGCCCTGTCTCTGTCTTTGGTGCTCACGTGTGCTCATTTCTGATTGACACAGAGCCTACGGGAGCCTCAGCTGGATCCTCTGGGAGACTCTCCTGGAGACCCAGGCCCTGGGGGAGGCAGCGGGATGCTGCAGTACCTTCAGTCCTGGTTTCCCGGCTGGGGTGGCTGGTACGGGCAGCAGAGCCCTGAAGGGAAGCCAGTGGAGGGCCTGATGGCGGAGCCGCAAGAGCAGTGGACTCCCGAGGAGATCCTAGGTAAGGCAGGAACTGGCTTTCACGTGCCCTTCTTGATTACAGTGAAGGGAGACACTTGGTTCATGGTTCACCTATTATTTGTGAAACTGGCCCATGGTATATTTAAAAAAAAAAAAGACATTTGTAACAGTTTGTTTCATGTTATAGAGGCAGAGAGAGGTTTTTTTAAAAAAAGTAATTTTCTTTCTTTATATTTGGCTGTGCTGAACCTTTGTTGCTGTGTGGGCTTTTCTCTAGTTTCGGCTCGTGGGCTTCAGTAGTTGTGGCACGTGGGCTCAGTAGTTCCGGTTGCTGGGCTTTAGAGCACAGGCTCAATAGTTGTGGCCCATGGGCCTAGTTGCTCTGCAGCATGTGGGATCTTCCTGGACCAGGGATCAAACTTGTGTCTCTTGCATTGGCAGGCAGATTCTTTACCATTGGACCTCTAGTGAAGCCTGAGAGTAGGTTTTAAGAGGTACTTTGTTTACAGCTCCATTACTGAATTTGAATATTTGCATGGTTTCAAACAGATCGGAGTGGGAGTGATTATAAGAGAATTAAGCCTGAGCCAGTTCAAAAGTTTGAAACCCTGAGAGCTTGAATACCAGTCCAGAGTCACTCTTTAGACCCAGGCTGTCCAGTATGGTAGCCGCAGTCACAAATGCTATTTAAATTTATTCAGCTAAAATAAAAAATTCACTTCCTCAGTTGACTAGCCACATGAACCACAGTGCTCAGAGCCTCCTGTGGTTAGTGGCCACCATGTGGACAGTGCAGTGTATAAAGCATTGCCCCATGTTGGGCAGTGCTGCCTTATACTGTAGTTTATCATGAATTTGACATTGCCCCTCGTTTGACAATAAGTTGATCAGGGCCCTTATAAGGCAGTTAGAGTCGTTTCATGTTGGTGAATAAAAGTCACCCATGACTTTGGAGTTCTTTCCTAAAGGGGAGATAATAGTTATGTCATATCATTGAGACTACGATCAGTGCTTTTTAAACTTTCCTATGTGTTTTCTTAAAGCCTCTTCTTCCTCATGTTCAGGCTCCGAGGAGTTTTTTGACCCTACTGCGGATGCTTCTTGTATGAACACGTACACAAAGCGAGACCATGTGTTTGCGAAACTGAACTTGCAGCTGCAGCGAGGGACCGTGACTCTGCTGCACCAGGAGCAGGGGGCTCCCCAGATGAACCAGAGTGCTTTCATGCAGCTTGAGTTTTCAGGTGCTGCCCCCAAAATGCTTCCTGATGCTCTCTGTCTCCCCAGACACCAGTGTCCACTTGAGTCTCGGTATTTGCAGTAGTTCTGTTGTAGAAAGTTGCCGTGAGTACTGATTCATGGCCCCTAGGGGCAACACAGGGTTAGGTGTCTGTAAGCATTTGGTGATCACATTCATCAGTGGATCAGTACATAATGCTGTTCTGTGTGTGTGTATGTTTAATGACACCTTATTTAATACATGTTGTTGACTCGTTAGTGGAACTCATGGCCAGCGACACTGAAACTGTAACTGATGTCTGAGTGAAGGTTATCTACTACCTGTATTTCCTCTGTAAGACATAGCGCTTCCGCGCTGTGCTTGGGGTCCCTTTTAAACAGTGAAATCACCAACAGACAGCACAAAAATGCCAAAAGCTGGCACTAATTAGATCATGATAAGGGCACTGGTATGAGCTGAAACAAGAAGGCAGAGTGTTGCCTTGTTCAACTTCAGCTAGAAACACGCACTTCAGGTGACTTGAATTTTTTGCTGCTCTGTACATGTCTGCAAAGCACTGTGCATGTATTACTTTTTGGGTTACGGTAAATTTTAATGAGTAGATGAATTTGCAAATATGGAATCTGCAAATAATGAAAAATTTTTTACTTCTTTTTGTGAATTTGAATTGAAGGTATGTAAATAAATACCCAGATGTTTGTTTTGTCTTCTCACAAATAGATGTATTGTAGTTCATAAAATAGCCACTTATCTGAGGTCTGTCAGTAGTTTAAAGGCAAGTGACCAAAAAAAAAAAAAAGCCAGTTTTTGACTGGCTTTGCCTTTGTAATCTTGAGAGCTGAGACGTCATAAACTTAGTGTGAACTAGCAGATTGCTTGAACTAAATTGTGACGTGCTCTGTTTAAAATTCATTGTGTTGGAAAACTTCTGATATTCCTTACAAATTTATGTCAGTGGACAGGAAAGCTTGGCATGCTGCAGTCCATGGAGTCAAAGAGTCAGACATGACTGAGCGACTGAACTGAACGGAAGTAGACATTTAGATAAGTAGATAGGGTTATTTTGTTCCAATTTGAAGGAGAAATAGTTCATGATATCTGATAGTTCACTGTAAAATATTATATCTAATACTTTGAAAATACTTAAGGCTGTGATGGCATAGTATCAGCTCTTAACATTTATCTTCTTTAGGTGTAAAACTTCTAGCAGAATCTCTTCCTCGAAGAAACTCCTCCTTGCTCTTAGTCCGGTTGGGTGGACTATTTCTTCGAGACCTGGCTACGGAAGGAACCATGTTTCCTCTTCTGGTCTTCCCTAATCCAGTACGTATAGCTGTATGATTTGTCCAGGGTGTTGGTGAATTGCCGTCTTTTTTAGGCAAGCAATAAGTAGTATTAAGTTGATTCGTTCTGACATTTGATCATTTTGAGAGAGATATGGTAATCAGAATATAACTACAGTTAGATAAGTTTTTTGATTTTGTTACCATGTGTTGGTGGGATTTATGGCAGTGGCTTTCCCCCACCTGGTGTTGTAGCCACCTTAGAATAGTTGCCTGGATTTGGAAGAAAATGTTATCAGCATGACTATTTCCTGCATTTCAAGGTCAGTGTTTGAATTTCCTCTGTATCTTGACAGTGATTTTCATGCATTCTGATCCTTAGTCACTGATAGGACTTCTCATCTCTCTAGAGTTACAGAAGAACCACTTTAAGTTTTCTCTATATGTGTACTTTTTTATATACAATATTCTTCTTAGACAAGAAGATCTTTGATCTTACTGAGTTGGCAAAGATATGATCAGAAGTGTTGAATCTTTAGCTCCTTATTATGCCTCCCATAGCTTTTTGGCTTGGGGGGTTGGTGATAGGGTGGGAGGGCAGAATAAAAGTGTGAAAAGCTGTGCACGTCCAGTCCTCGTTGAGCAGTAGTTCATGTAGTGCCGAGTGCAGAGCAGCACACTGCCTGTACAGGCTGGGGAAGGCACAGGCTGGAAGGCTCAGCCTCCAGGTCTGCATCCCCTGATGTCACATGAGTTTTGATTCGACTGTGCTAAGTGAGAGTGACGTCAAAGGGTAAGACTGGAGAGAATGTGTGCACGGTGAACTGGCCCCTCCCACCCTGATCCGTATGTGTTTTGTGTGTGTTCATCAGCAAAAGGAGGTTGGCAGAGTCTCCCAGTCTTTTGGACTCCAAACAACATCTGCAGACAGAAGCCATCATTATCCTGGTAAATTGTCATGTGTTCTTAAATTCATCCTTAAAAATGCAACGATTACATATCAGTAGTCTTGGTCAGAGAGGGAGTGAGTCCTGTTTTGTGCCCATGGACTTGCTGTGTGGATCCTTATCTGACTTGGAGACCACCCTGTGCTCTCCCTTAACTAGTGAGTGACTGGGGCAACTCCCAGGGCCTCCAGGTCTAGGGTTCCATGATGGGAGTGAATACAACAACCCAGTCTTGAGGAGTCCTGTTGATACCAAGAGGCAGCCCTTATTAGGCTCTCTATTTTATAAAGTTTTTGAAAATGAGACTTTATTGGAAAATAATTGAGGAAATGTCTTTTTTCCCCCCAGAATTCTTTGCCAGTTATAAAGAATAAGGTGATTGTTTTGCTGTGTTCTATTTATTATTTTTTTCCTCTGGTTCTTTTCCTCTAGCTGCAGATCCAGATGACCCAGTTTTTGAGATGCTGTATGAGAGAAATCCAGTGCACAGTCATTTTGAGAGGCGGCTGAATGTCAGCACAAGGCCCTTGAACATCATATATAATCCCCAGGCTATTAAAAAAGTAGCAGACTTTTTCTACAAGGGAAAGGTTCATACCTCAGGTTAACTTTTTTGTTTGATTATGTTACTTTCTAATGACCTCTTTGTTGTCACTTCTGGGACAAGGGTTATTGTACATTCTGGTGACCTGGTAGTGGTATAGAAAAGGCCTGAGAATAAGTGGAAGGGTTGTCCTTAGATCTTGAATCAAAGTGAATATCCTTGGAAAGTTGCTCTTCCAAGAGAAATCAATGACTTAATATTTTTTTTCTTTCTTTGCCTTCATTTAGCATGTATTTAAAATACTTTCCATCTATTATGACAGTGGTTTCCTTGGCTACCCAGGATATTTTAGACCAGAGAATTTAGGAGGAATGTTCAAGAATTTTCTCCTAGATGACAGGATCAGTGGTTTGTTTTACTTGTTTGGTGCAGCAATAAATAGTGCAGAGGTCGTCACTGGACTCTTCTGTGTCATCACTGGTTTACATATGTCTTCCTTTGTCTCCCAAAAAGATTTGAGACAGTATGTGCAAAAAAAGCAATTCTGTTGCTAGAGAAATCGATAAAACAATAGTGCTTTCCTAAATATATCCGTCACTCCCCTGTCATAAGGGTTGTTTTAGTTTTTGATCCAGTTTTTGAGTCTCTTCATGTACATGAATGTGTGTACATGCTTAGTTGCTCTTTGTGACCCCATGGACTGTAGCCCACCAGGCTCCTCAGTCCGTGGAATTTTCCAAGCAAGGATATTGGAGTGGGTTGCCATTTCTTCCTCTAAGGGATCTTCCACACCCTGGGATTGAACCCATGTCTCTTGCATTGGCAGGTGGGTTCTTTACTACTGAGCCCCCTGGGAAGCCCCTTTCATGTAGACGGTGACCATAAATGTCTTGGCTCCATTGCTCTGACACTGATAGAATGTAGAAGGCAAATCCTCCTAAATTCCAGTTTCCCTTTCAGTACTGATCATGCTGTTAAGGATTTTGAAATATTATAGTTTGGAATCTTTCAGAAACTGATTCTAGAAATTCTAATAACTTAGATGCCCATTTCTTATGTACTTAACCTTCCTCTGCATGGCTCTCTTCACTATCTTTGCCACATTCCTGTAACCCCAGCTCAGGCTGGAGTAAGGGACTCTTGTTGTACAGACTGTTTTTTAGCTTTGGTGGAAATTCCTGGTCAGAGAACATGTTGCAGCACTTTCTTTCACCCAGTCATAAGAAGATTGTGACTCTTGGATGCTTCCAATCTTGCAGGTTTCGGTTATCAGTCTGAACTTGAGTTGAGAGTGGCTGAAGCTGCACGAAGGCAGTACAACAGACTGAAGATGCAGACCAAGGCGGAAATCCGGCAGACTCTTGACCGATTGCTAGTGGGTGATTTCATTGTAAGTGGACATAATGATGCTCCTTTTGTGGGGCGGGGAAGAGGAAGGCATTCTTTCTGGGAAGTTCTTTACAGTAGAGAGTCATGCCTGTATCAATTACACTGATAAGTAAACGGAATCTATGAAATACTTATCAGCTAGCAAAAAATAAAATCCCATGTCTTTTATAGTCAGGGTGTAATAAATAAAAACAAATGACTGAGACTAGATCATATATTATTTCTTCCTTGTTTCCGACTTAGAACATTCTCAAGACTTGTCTTTGTTCCATTTTCTAGACCTGACATTTTGTAAATATTTCAATTAAGAACACCCCCTTTTAGTTACTGTTATCAGAAGAAAAACAATTGAAATGATGCCCCAGGAATTTTTTGTTTTAGAGATTTATTTACTTTTTTGGCTGCGTTGGGTCTTTGTTGCTGCACGTGGGTTTTTTCCAGTTGAGGCGAGCAGGGGCTACTCTTTGTTGTGGTGTACGGGCTTCCCGTTGCAGTGGTTTCTCTTGTTGTGGAGCACGGGTTCTAGGTGTGTGGGCTCAGTAGCTGTGGCTCTCGGGCTTAATTGCTCTGCTGCATGTGGTATCTTCCCGGACCAGGGATTGAACCAGTGTTCCTTGCATTGCAAGGAGGATTCTTGCACTGGTCCACCAGGGAAGCCCGATACCCCAGTTTTGATTCCTGGGAGTGATGATCACTTTGTGATGCTGAGTGCCCAGCTGATATGAGGATACTTATGCACAGGGAGAGCCAAGAAACATCTCAACAGTCCAGCTAAACTGAGTTTCTGACCCTGTGGCCTGGGGATGTGGTGCTCAGATGTGGCAGTAGGTGTACCACTCAGAGGGTGGCGTGTATTTGGTACAGAGCCAGCTGGGAGTGTAAGGGATGGCAGAAATGTTCAGGGGAGACACTTAGGGGGTTGTAGTATGGGATACAGAATTTGTCCCATTTTTTTGTTTTTGCATGTATTTCAACACAAATAACATTTAGTATTTCTGATTATCTTAGACCAAGAGGTTTCTCTTTCATGGCATTTATATAAATCAGCTTTTACTATTACATATAATTTACCAAATGTTACTATTACTACATGTAATTATATAAATTATATATTTATATAGTGTATATAAAATGTGTAAATTATCTATTTACAATAACTAGGACATGGAAGCAACCTAGATGTCCATTGACAGATGAATGGATAAAGAAGTTGTAGTACACACACGATGGAATATTACTCAGCCATGGAAAGAAATGCATTTGAGTCAGTTCTAATGAGGTGGATGAACCTAGAGCCTATTATATAGAGTAAAGTAAGTCAGAAAGAGAAAGATAAATACTGTATATTAAGGCATATCTATGGAATCTGGAAAGATGGTACTGACAGTTCTATGTGCAGGGCAGCAAAAGAGACAGACATAAGAACAGACTTTTGGACTCAGTGGGAGATGGCGAGGTAGGATGATTTGAGAGGATAGTATTGAAACATACACATTACCATATGTAAAATAGATAACCAGTGCAAGCTTGATGTATGACTCAGGGCACCCAAAGCTGTTGCTCTGTGACAACCTGGAGGGATGGGGTGAGGAGGGCAGTGGGAGGGAAGTTCAGGTGGAGGGGGAACATATATACCTATGGCTGTTTCACATTGATGTATGGCAAAAACCATCACAGTACTGTAATTTTCCTCCAATTAAATAAATTGAAAAAATACATAAATTGTTAATTTTTTACTGTATATGATCCTCTTTGATAAGCATTTATATAAATTAATTTATATAGCAAATTCATGGGAAGAGCCATTAACAAATTTGTGAATTGGTGTATTTTTTATATTTCAAATGTCAAAGCTTATGTTTTTCAGTAAGATATTTTGGCCTGAAAGTTTGTGCTTAGCAATGTCCATAAATAAGTAAAAATATTTGGATTTCTCATTTATTTGAATTCTATAATTTCTACAGTACTTTAAAGTATTAAGTCTTTAGAAATAAGAGCTTTCTTAAACCATCGATCATCAGAATCAAAGAGCAAGCAATCCCCAAACCAGTAATTTGCACATTTTTCTCTCCCACTTTAGCCATTTGCCTGTGGTAATGTCTCATATCCTTAAGCATTTGGATCCAATTTTGTTTTAAATGTTTTGCTTTAATACCATAGACCATTAGGTCATCCTGTGATCCTAGTGTGACCTTCAGGGAGGCTTGAGCTCCAGCTGATAAAGCTGCCCACTCTTAGCTGTTGTAGTTCAAGGCTATTTCATTGTGATTGATTCTATTTTCATAGGAGGAGAGTAAACGGTGGACAGTGCGACTGGACATTTCTGCCCCTCAAGTGATATTTCCTGATGACTTTAAGTTCAAGAATCCTGTGTTGGTTGTTGTGGATCTAGGAAGAATGCTGTTGACCAACACCCAAGGTACAGTGTGAATGTGAAGTAATAAAGGCGTATCTTGGCAGATTGATCTCACTCTCTCATTGAACCAAGTAAAGCTTAAAAAGAGTTTATTTAACATTTCTAGGCTCCAAAGTTAACTCGTTACTTTTTTATATAATAGTTTTCTTGAGATCCATTTGAAAATGTACAATTCAGTTGTTTTTGGTATATTCATAAAATTGTACAGCTTTCACTGTTATCTAATTCCAGAACATTTTCATTGTCCCAAGAAGACATTCTAGACCCATAAGTAGTTATTCTCTATTACCACCTCTACTGGCCCTTGCTAACCACTAATCTTTCTATCTTGTTTATATGCCTATTCTGAAGAGTTCGTATGAATAGAATCATGTAATATGAGACCTTTTATATATGACTTCTTAAACTTAGCTCAGTGTTTTCAAGGTTTATCCATTTTGTGAAAGAAGGGAAAGTGAAAGTGTTAGTTGCTTAGTTGTGTCTGACTCTTTTTGACCCCTTGGACTGTAGCCCTCCAGGCTCATCTGTCTATGGAATTCTCCAGGCAAGAATACTAGAGTGGATAGTCATTCGGTTCTCCAAGGGATCCTCCCAACTCAGGGACTGAACCCTGATCTCCTGCACTGTAGGTAGATTTTGTCATCTGAGCCACCAGGGAAGCCCTGTAGCATGTTATCAATACTTCATTTCTGTTTGTGGCTAAATGATGTTCCCTTATATCGATATACTACATTTAATAATATCCACTCATCAGTTGGTGTACATTTGGTTGTTTGTGCTCTTTGGTTGGTATGAGCTTGGCCCTAAGGGGATGTGAAAAGGGAATTACATCCGAAGAAAAGAATCACACAGCCGCATAAAGTACCTTCTTGGATTTATAAAACATAAACTTGGGACAGAGACACAGGTTACCAAACCCAGGGATGTGTTTTTGTAGTTGTCGTGACACTGCTCAGGTGCAGAAGAGAGGGGTTGAGTGAATTTGGGGCTGGAACTTGACATATTAAGCAATTACTGCTCGCCAAGTGCTGCTCTAACACGTGGGTATTGTGTTGAGGAACGCAGAGGAAACCTCTGTTCTTTTGTAATCTTCTAGTTGGGGGGACAAAACAAACACATAGATGAATACAGGAAAAAGTAAACAAATAAGGATGGTTGGTGATGGCAGCTCATGCATTGCAGCTCAGATGTTGGGGGGCGGGGGGCAGTGACCAGAGGGCATTGTTGGTTTCTGCACCCTGACATGTGTTCCTGTGTTAGCAGGTCTCCATCTTTCCTCACGTTCATGAACTTTTACTCTTTGTGTTTTGATTTCCAAATCAGTAGATAAGTTCACTCTGAATACATGGGAAATACAGAATACTGTGCTTAGAGTTTTCATCTCCTTATTTTTAAAATCAGAGCTGTTGATTCTTTCTTGTTGTTGTTCAGTCTCTTAAGTTGTGTCCGACTCTTCTTTACTTTTCTTAATTATTACATTAAATGGGGGAGGAAGGCAAGAGCCAACATGTACTTTAAATCTTCCTGTTTTCATCTGCAGATGACTCCAAGAGGAAGAGTGGGGATGGGTCAGCATCGGAAGAGAATCAGTTCAGTGATGATGAATATAAGACCCCTCTTGCCACACCTCCCAATACCCCACCTCCTGAGACTAGCAGCAGTAATGGGGAGAAAACGCCTCCATTTTCCGGAGTCGAGTTCAGTGAAGAGCAGCTTCAGGCACATCTAATGAGCACCAAGATGTACGAGAGGTACTCGCTGTCCTTCCTCGACCTGCAGATCATGGTTGGACGTGTGAAGGACAACTGGAAGCATGTCCAGGATATCGACGTGGGACCGACCCACGTGGTCGAGAAATTCAACGTTCACCTCCAGTTAGAACGTCGATTGATTTATACGTCAGATCCCAAGTACCCCGGAGCCGTGCTCTCAGGCAACCTACCAGACCTGAAGATCCACATCAATGAAGATAAAATATCTGCTCTGAAGAATTGTTTTGCTCTCCTGACCACCCCAGAAACTAAGACTTTTGACTCTCAGATGAAGGAGAAGATTTTTCCCCAAGGGGGACAGCGGGGAAGTTTGCAAGACTCGGTGATGAACTTGACCCAGAGCATCGTGATGTTGGAGCAGCACACTCGGGAGGTCCTGGTGGAGTCACAGCTCCTCCTGGCGGAGTTTAAGGTGAATTGCATGCAGCTTGGCGTTGAGAGCAACGGCCGGTACATCTCTGTGCTCAAGGTGTTTGGCACCAACGCTCACTTTGTGAAGAGGCCTTATGACGCTGAGGTCTCCCTCACCGTTCATGGTTTGCTCCTGGTGGACACCATGCAGACGTATGGCGCTGATTTTGACCTTTTGATGGCCTCCCACAAGAACTTGAGCTTTGATATCCCGACAGGAAGCCTCCGGGATAGCAGGGCCCAGTCTCCCGTCTCTGGGTCCAATGTGGCCCACCTCACGAGTGCTGCCACACGGAACAACCAGTCAGCCACTAGTATTTCTCTGGACAGAGTTCTCACCAAAGAACAAGAGTCCCTCATAAAACTGGAATATCAGTTTGTGAGTTCAGAGTGCCCGTCCATGAATTTGGACAGCACCCTTCAGGTGATTTCATTGCAGGTGAATAATTTGGATATCATCCTAAATCCAGAGACAATTGTGGAGCTGATTGGTTTTCTTCAAAAATCTTTTCCCAAGGAAAAAGATGAGTTGAGTCCTCAACCTTTAATGACTGATTTTGAAAGGAGCTTTAGGGAACAGGGAACTTACCAGTCTACATATGAACAAAACACGGAGGTTGCGGTAGAAATCCACAGACTTAACCTGCTGCTCCTTCGGACGGTGGGAATGGCAAATGGAGAGAAGTATGGTAGAAAGATTGCAACAGCGAGTATAGGTGGCACCAAAGTTAATGTCTCCATGGGCAGCACATTTGACATGAATGGTTCTCTTGGCTGTTTGCAGCTTATGGATTTGACACAAGAGAATGTTAAGAACCAGTATGTTGTCAGCATTGGAAATTCCGTAGGCTATGAAAATATCATCAGTGATATTGGCTTCTATGAATCTGTGTTTGTCAGAATGGAAGACGCAGGCCTCACTGATGCTCTGAGTTTCACCTTTGTTGAGAAATCTAAACAGGAATGTTTTCTCAACCTCAAGATGGCCTCCTTGCATTACAACCACTCCGCTAAATTCTTGAAGGAGCTGACGTTGTCCATGGATGAGCTGGAAGAAAATTTTCGAAGTATGCTGAAAAGCGCAGCCACCAAAGTCACCACGGTCCTAGCCACTAAGACAGCTGAGTACAGTGAGATGGTGTCGCTCTTTGAAACTCCCAGGAAGGCCCGGGACTCCTTTTTCTTAGAAGAAAATGAACCATGTGGGTTTGGCCTAGGCGCGTCTCATTCTGACACAGTAAAGCTCATCTTGAACATAAACATTGAATCACCAGTGGTTTCCATCCCTCGGAAGCCTGGGAGTCCCGAGTTGCTGGTGGGACACTTGGGACAGATCTTCATCCAGAATTTTGTGGCAGGAGATGATGAATCCAGAAGTGACCGTCTGCAAGTGGAAATCAAAGACATTAAATTATATTCTTTGAACTGCACCCAGTTGGCAGGCAGAGAGGGCCCCGGGCCAGAAATGAGCCGGGCGTTCTGCCCTCTATCTGGGTCTGCCAATGCCAATAGTCAAGAGGAAGCTCATTTCACCCGACATGATTTCTTTGAATCTTTGCATAGAGGTCAAGGTGAGGCATGGGTAACTTTTGTCTCATTTTGTTTAGATTCCAGACCCAGCCATGAATGTAGTACCTGGCTTAAAATAACAACAAAAACCTTTCTTTTAGAATTACCCTAAGTGAATATTTAAGGAGTTAAAATAGAATTTTAATAGAATGCTTTCATATTATGTTTGAATGTTTGCACCTTTTCTCACTGAATACCATTTTTGGCAAAATAAGGATATATTTTTTTAAGTGGCCCCCTTGGGTGAGTGTTCATTCACTGGGATTTAGTGGGTGAATTCTGTTAGAGTATTATGTAATTTAGTCAAATGCATCTGACTTTTTCATTCCTAAGCTGTAGGTCTTTTCTAGTTAAATATCATAGTCTAAGACAGCTGGAGGAATTGACAGAAATAGAATGTGAAATTTAGTCTGTTAGTGTTATGGTCTCTGTTGACTATCCTGCCATCTTCTGTAATCGTTTGGTACAGGGTTCTAGGAATAAAGTGCTCGTATTTATGTATTCTCGATCTGATCTGCTAAAATCAAGCAGTTCAATCCATTAGTCTTGGCATCTATAGAAATCAGGTAAGCTGTATTGATGGTGAAGATATTAATGCCTTTGAGAACTTCTCCTGTGGTTCTCAGATGTTAATTCACTGATTCATGTTTACATAGTTACCAAAAGATTGCTTTTTCTGCTTGGGTTAAAAGTTGTTCACTTAGAATTCTATGTTGTCCTTGATTCTGAGCTAGGCCCCATAAGAGGGATCAGTCTAAAGCTGAGCATGGATGAACAGTTTTGGTTGGAAAATGCCAGTTTGGGAGATTTAAGAGAAGCTTACTGAGGACCCTTGCCTGGGTTAATGTTCACTGCACCATATTTTGAAACCATCAAATGGAGCTTGTTATGAAAATAGCTGTAGCATGCTCTGTGTGTGTAAATTTATCTTATACCCTTGCTTGCTGTGAGTTATGGTCTTGGAATAGTTACCAAGGTTTGTACTCAATTGTAGACCCTCAGTGCCAGGCTAACCTGCCTTCCTGGTCTAAGAGCAACTCCTGGGCTTGTTTATATATACCCTCACTTAATCAGCAATGACGCAATCAATCTGAGTGTTTCTAGTCGGTCATTTCTTCTCTCGTACGCCAGCTTTTCACATCCTCAACAACACGACCATTCAGTTTAAACTGGAGAAGATCCCTATAGAGAAAGAATCTGAACTGACTTTCTCACTTAGTCCAGATGACCTGGGAGCTTCTAGCATCATGAAGATTGAAGGAAAATTTGTCAATCCAGTTCAGGTAAGCACACTATTGATTTTTATGTCAGGACAGTTGAAGTCATGTAATGATTTTATATTTGTTATATACATGTGTTATGTTTATGTCTTGTTATATTTTGTATATATAAAATGTTAGAAGGAAAATATAAATTCAAAGAGATATTGTTCATGCACATTATTGTCAATAACTTGTTCCAATAAGCATGGAATCCTTTTATCATGTCCTTCTATTACTGAATCAGTCTTTGTTAGCTTCTTCATGTGGAGGGGTGAATTATAGAGTAGAAGAGGGCAAATTGTTAATTCCGTTGCCATTAAGAAATGAGGAAAATTATTGCTTAAAAAGTCAGGATCTCTCTTTCCCAGAGTGTTATAATTCTTGTCACACTTTTGGCATATGTGGCCCACCTACAAAACGATCTGATTATCTGAGCTGTTGGCAGATCCTTTCAAGGGAGAATTAGTCTTGCCCTCATTGAAATGAAATGGTCCAGGGTGTGTGTGTGATATGTGTGTATACATCTTTCATCCTTTTACCTTCAAAAGTATCATTTTTCCTGCTTTCACAGGGAAGAGAGCAAAAAGCATAACATAAAACAGCAAGGATAGGCAGACTCTTAGGACAGTGCACAGGATCTAGGGAAGTGACTGGTCATTAGTTTGGCAGCTGCTCTGCAGTAACCCAGGGGTGCTGTTAACAGAACATGTGTAGCTTTTGACATCAGTAGTTTCTGGATATGGGTCTCTGGTTGAGAGAACTTTCCCTGGATCTTTTCCTTTTTGGCTTTTAAGCTTTTTCTCTTAAACTTTTGCCTCATCAGTGCTGGATACTTAGGGTGGAGTTTACACCTTAAATCTAGCACATAAGGTGAATTCTATTGGATTATATTGACTTTTTATTCTTATGGTTACCATTGACTTACTGTTGTTTTTGATGAAAATCTTAGAAAATTATTCTTTAAATTATTATGCAATAATTAAATTTAGTAGTTTAAATAATGAAAAATATTTTGTGTTATGAAAGATTTTAAAAATAAAGTAGACTACGCTGGTAAACTTCATGTACCCATTACTCAGATTCAACAGTTACCAAGATTTTGCCCCATTTGTCTCATCCATTTTTTTTCTTCCTCCTTTGGAGAAATATTTTAAGGCAAATCCCAGACCATGCCATTTTTAATCCTATATATTTGAAGTGTATCACTATAAATTAAAAAAAATAACTATAGTGGTGCATTAAAAGAAATAACTATAGTGGTATTATCATGCCTGACAAAATTAGTGAAGATTTCTTGGTATCATCTGAATTTTAATCCATTTTGAGATTTCAGAGACATTTTTGATTTTTTAAAAAGATGTCCTTTACTTTTGGTATATTTGAATCAGGATCCAAATAAGGACTGTACATTCCATTTGGGTGATATATCTTGTAGGTCTCTATTCATTTAGTTTCCCTCTCATTTCCCCCTACCGCATGACATTATTTTGTTGGAAAACTAGGTCAGTTGCCTTGCAGAATGTCCCGCATTCTGGATTTGGCTGTTAGTTTGTGGTGTTGCTGAACCGATTTTTCTACAACCAATTTTTCTGTAACTTAACTCTGTAGGTTTAATTGATTGAGGTGTTTTTTTGTTTTTTTTTTTTTGCCAGAACGCTTCAAAGGTGGTGCACTGTAGCTTATATCAGGAGACATGCAATGTCTGATTGACTGTCAGTGATGCCAAAATTGTTGATTGTATGCAGATGGCAAAAAGTTGATCCATTCATTGTAAAATTCCCTGTCAGTCATATGAGGTCTTATTCTACTGATAACTGGTGGGATCCATTATTTATCTAGCAGTTACAAAGTGATCACCTTCCAATTCTGTGTTTTCTATATCTATTTGGAACTCCTCTGTTAAAAAATTACCCTTGAGCAAATAAAAACTTCCCTGAAAACAGTTTTAGTAAGAAATTGTAATTAAAAACAAAGTGAGGGGATAACAGGTAATGATTGCCATAAAAAAGTACTATTTGTTTGATCAGCTGTACTAGTCATAGGTTGTTATAATAATTGGTGATGATCAGCAAGTTTTATTTTTTTGACTTTTTATTTTATATTGGAATATAGCTAATTAACAGTATTGTGGGCAGCAAAGGAACTCACCGGTACATATACATATATCCATTCTCCCTGAAACTGCCCTCCCATCCAGGCTACTACATAACACTAAGCAGAGTTCCCTGTGCTAAACAGTAGGTCCTTGTTGGTTATCCATTTTAAATATAGCTGTGTGTACAAGTCGATCCCAAGATCAGTGAGTTTTAGAATCATGAGAGTTTCTTAGTCCTAAGGTATAACCCACGTTAGACTTTTGGCAGGATTTCCTTCAATTTCTGTAGTTGTTTTGTGGGGTTAGAAAGAATGATTTTACAGATTCAGGCCTACATTTAATAGCACTTATTGAAACATTTATTGTGTGAAGACTGTTCTGTGAGGTACTTGGGGACGGCCTTGTGAATAGATATAGATCAGAGAGAGGTAGAGGTGTAAGGAAAAAAAGAAATAAAGAGATGATCCTTGCTGTTAACTGATTTAAAACATCTTGGAGAGTTGATATATATATCAGAAACCAATGTGATATGGTAACGCAATTATCCTCAAATTAAAAATAAATAAATTGAAATAAAATATATCTTATAAATTATATTTAAAAAAACACTTGGGTAAAGTCATACAAAATTTGTGGGCAGTGCACATGAATGCATTTGACAGTAGTAGTAGAATAACTGAATTTTTCTCTTCAAATGCAGGTGGTGTTAGCAAAGCATGTATATGAGCAGGTTTTACAAACGCTGGACAATCTGGTGTATAGTGAAGATCTGAATAAGTTTCCAGCCAGTGCAGCCTCCTCACCCTGCCCTAATTCTCCTCTGCCTCCCCTCAGTACCTGTGGAGAACCTTCCGCTGAAAGGAAGGAGAATGGATTGTTCAGCCACTCCAGTCTTTCTAACTCTTCTCAAAAGTCCTTGTCTGTGAAGGAAGTCAAATCCTTTACTCAGATTCAAGCCAACTTTTGTATATCAGAGCTTCAAGTTCAGCTAAGTGGAGATCTGACTTTGGGGGCCCAGGGTCTTGTGAGCTTAAAATTTCAGGATTTTGAGGTGGAATTCAGTAAAGACCACCCCCAGACTTTATCCATTCAGATTGCCCTGCGCTCTCTGCTGATGGAGGACTTACTGGAGAAAAATCCAGATTCCAAATATAAGAACCTGATGGTGTCTCGGGGAGCCCCAAAGCCATCTAGTTTAGCACAAAAAGAGTATCTCTCTCAGTCCTGCCCTTCCGTGTCCAACGTGGAGTATCCAGACATGCCTCGGTCTCTCCCCTCTCACATGGAGGAAGCTCCCAATGTGTTTCAGCTGTATCAGAGACCCACCTCGGCCTCCCGGAAGAAGCAGAAGGAAGTCCAGGACAAGGACTATCCCTTGACCCCACCTCCTTCTCCAACGGTAGATGAGTCCAAGATACTTGCGGGAAAGAGTAAATTTGATGATTCCTTGGTCCATATCAATGTATTCCTGGTGGATAAGAAGCATTCAGAATTCTCTTCCAGTTACAATCGAGTTAACAGGAGCATTGATGTTGATTTTAACTGCTTGGATGTGCTAATCACACTGCAGACCTGGGTCGTGATCCTAGATTTTTTTGGAATTGGCTCCACTGCAGACAACCATGCGATGAAGGTGCCGCCTGAGGACACCCTACCAAACGTGAAGTCAGAGTCAAGTGCGTTAGAGTCTGAACTGCAGGATCCAGTTAACACCAAACTGGATCTCAAGGTATCGGTTCCCTTAGACTCTTGTTACGTTCTGAGTACGAACGTGGGCTTGTTTACTTAGATGCTGTCACCGTGCATTTATGCCGGAGAATCTATCTCATTGGCAGAGGAGGTATGTGGTCTTTTGGATGTCTATTCCAAAAGGGTAGACGTTAATACCTCAGAAAAGGTTTTAGTATTAATCCCATCTGGAGGCAGGGGAAATAAACGGTTTCAGTAACTTCTTGTCTTTCCTTTGGGCTGTAAAATTCAGTGGAATTATTTAGCTTCTTTATGCCTCTGTTTCCTTATCTTCCATCATCTGATTATGATAACTAAATGAGGAAATTAGGTGAAGCACCTGGCAATGTGTCTAGCACATAATAACCATGTTACTATGTAACTAGTACCTAGTACAGAGTAGCTATTTTCAAATGTGCCTTTTATTATCTCCCTCTCACTCATACCATTATTGGCTTTTAGTGAGAGCAAGAGTACAGGTGTCTTAAATGTCAGACTACCTTGATTTGAAACCTGGCATTTTTGTTGTAACCATACAGCTATTTGGCTGTGGACAAACCATTTAACCTCTTTCTCCCTTAAGTTTTTCATCAATAAACAGAGGTTGTTTAATGGTGCCTGTGTTATCGGATTGTGGAAGTTCAATGAGATGACCTAGATATGGCCCTCCTCATGTGTGTGACAGAAATGATCATTCAGTGACTGGTACCTTCCCCGCTTCTTCCTCCCATGCAGTTGTCTATAGAAGTTGGGTTAGTGTCTCCTAGAATGTTCCGCATTCTGGATTTGTCTCTGTTTCTTTATGGTACATTTGACTCCTCTACTAATTTTAGAAATGGAAGTTAGCTCTAAAGACTTAATCAGGTCCAGGTCCGACACTTCGTAGGTGGTGCCGAGTGCTTCCTGTTGCGTTACACCAGGAGATCTACAACACCCAGTCGTCCCACTTTCAGTGATGGTAAGATCCATGCCGAGAGTGGGCTCAGATGGTGACAGCTGGATTCTTCCAAACGAAGCATATTTAGACACATTATATGCATTATTTTGGTGATGAAGTGACTAGAGGTTTGTTTTTTTTTTTCCCCCACTTCATGATAACCTCATTCCCTTGAGATCCTTTTGTCATCCATGTCCAGAAGCCACTGCAAGGGGACCCCTTGTGCCATTGGAGTGGCCCCCATGATCACTGCTCCATCTGTAATAATTCCCTCCTTTTTTCTCTTCCTTCCTCTACAAATGTTTTTTCTCCTTCCTTTTCTCCTGCTATTTTCTTTCTTTTTCCATTTTTTTTTGTTCATTTATTAGACATAGGCTGAGCACCTACTTTGTTGTTGTTCGATTGCTAACTCATGACCAACTCTTCGCAACCCCATGGACTGCAGCATGTTAGGCTTCCCTGTCCTTCACTGTCTCCCGTAGTTTGCTCAAACTCATGTCCATTGAGTCGATAATGCCATCCAACCATGTCATCCTCTCTTGTGGTAGGCATTAAAGATAAGGGGTGCATATCACCAGGCTCTGCCACTCAGGAGCAGAGAGTGTGAACTGGGATGTGAGCTTCTATCTCCTCTTCCCTCCTTCCTTCTCTTCAGCTGATGCCTTACCTAGTGATGGCACTCAGGGGTATCTGCCTCCATAAATCATAGACACAGAGTCCTTTTTGTAGCTAAAATGACAAAATTATGTTACTGGATTTATTTGTTGCCAAGAATGCTATTCCTGAAACAGAGGATTTTGGTTTTCTTCTATTGGTGGTTGTCTCTGGGGAAGAAAATCTTTGATTGTTCTTCCTAAGTGAAGTCCCAGTTGGTCACCAAGGGCTTCTATTAAATATTAGTTTGAAGACATTAAACATTAAGTGTATTTATCACTTCGCTTTGACAAATTTCTTAGGGTGCACTTAATGAATCTGTATGAGTGATTGCAGAAGAGTGCAATATTAGACATAAATGCTGAAAGGGGAAGAATTGTTTTATAATGTAAAACATTTCACTGACAAACAATAGATGAAATCCAAAGAAAGCATCCCCCCCAAAAAACCAAAAAGCCAACCAACCAACATACCAAAAAAAAAAAAAAAAGAGAGAGGAGAAAGAAAAAAGAAAAAAAAAAATTCAAAGAGAACAGATGAGGCGACCATAGAGAAGACACCACAGAACCTGGGTTTTAGATTGCCCAGTCGAGTTCTTTTCCTATCAGCTCTCTCCTCTTACTGTGGTCTGACTGGCTAAGAAAAGCTGAAATGAATTTGGTATGAGTCGGACAAAAAGGTTTATCTTCAGCTCTCCTGAGACTTGCAGCATCTTTCTCGATGCCATTTGCCTGAAAGGTACCTTTTCCTCCAAGTAACATTCGCCTTTCCTTACCTCCTGTGTTCTTAGGTTCATTCGCTGTCTCTCGTGCTGAATAAGACCACCAGTGAGCTTGCCAAGGCGAATGTGTCTAAATTAGTGGCACACCTGGAAATGATTGGTAAGTGGAGAAAATCAGGCTTGGGGAATCTGGGGAGAATTTGAACATCCTGCTCACAAATCTAATTGTTTTCACAGGCGCTAAGTAAGGTGTGGCTCAGTGGCTGGATTGTGGTTACTGGTCTGGCCAGGACTGATGGTGGTGGTTTCCAGATACTGGTTTATGGATCAGAATCATCTGTTAGAAATGCAGCTGTCTGGCACAGCTCCCTTCCCATCCCAAGACTCTGATTCTGTGGGTTGGGATGGGACCCTGGGATCTATCTGTGTTTTAAAAAAGCTCTCTGGGTGTCTATATAATTTCTTTGTCTGAAGTTTGGACATGTTGGGGCGTGAAAGGGGGCATTATTAATAATTACAGCTGGGAAAGCGGCATATAACAGGGGCTGCCTCTGGGAAATCAGGGCATATGTTCACTCTGTTGCCATAATTAGGGGGAGCCCATAAGAGGGGATGGGTTTCCCTGATAGCTCAGTTTGTAAAGAATCCGCCTGCAATACAGGAGACCCCGGTTTGATTGCTGGGTCGGGAAGATACACTAGAGAAGGGATAGGCTACCCATTCCAGTAATCTTGGGCTTCCCTTGTGGCTCAGTTGGTATAGAATGTGCCTGCAATGCAGGAGACCTGGGTTCAGTCCCTGGATTGGGAAGATCCCCTGCAGAAGGGAACAGCTACCCACTCCAGTATTCTGGCCTGGAGAATTCCATGGACTATAGTCCATGGGGTCGCCAAGAGTTGGACACAACTGAGAGACTTTCACTTTTCTAAGTGGGGGTGGTTTAAGCAGGGAGATATTGTAGCAAAGCTAGCATTCTTCCTAATGGGACGCAATAGGCTGTAATCCCTAGTAGAACATAAGTGAAGAGCTACATCAAGCTCTAAAGCAGAGGAATTTACAAAGTGAGCATAAAATACTGCTCCTTCCTTAAGCAACTGGTGATAAAATAAGAAGACTGCAAAGCTCAAATGTTGACTCTGTAGTAAAATAAGAATGTCTTTTGGGGAAAGGGTGAATTAAAATTGAGGTTTCATTCCTGGTATAAATTAATTTATAAAAGGTTCCTAGAAGAGATGAGTCTTTAGAATTGGGAGAAGCTTGGCTAGGATAAGTTTCCCTGGTGGCTCAGAGGGTAAAGCGTCTGCCTGCAATGCAGGAGACCCAGGTTCGATCCCTGGGTTGGGAAGATCCCCTGGAGAAGGAAATGGCAACCCACTCCGGTACTCTTGCCTGGAAAATCGCATGGATGGAGAAGCCTGGTAGGCTACAGTCCATGGGGTCACAAAGAGTCGGACATGACCGAGTGACTTAACTTTTTCACTTGTTTTTTGGGGGTATATTTTTGTTAGAGGACGTTCGGAACCAAAAATAAGTATGTGTCTTCATTGGGAGCAGAACTAGCCTGCCAAATACATACACCTCAGTCATTGTTTTGTTGTTAATTATGATGACAAAATTTGTTTTACATAAGCAACAGTTCAGAATATTCCTTTTCAGTATCTACCCCATGTTAAGAATGATTCACACAGGTTCATAGCCCAGGGGTGCATGTTTCAACATTTCCTCTTTCTTCTGCCCACCTTCCAGGAGCTTCACTTGTGTAATATTGGAGTAGTTTCAGATCTGTGTCTTCAGTGTCTTATTTTATTAATGTTGCCTTTTAATTAAGTTACACTAAAACCCATTTAATACTGCCTGATTAATACATCTCTGACATTTTTTCTTTATTCTTTTATTGATAGTATAAAATAGACCTTATGCTATTTTGCTAATTCTAATTAGTGGTCTGATCTCAGAAGAGAGCATGTTTCTATCTGTATTTGTAAATGTTTTATCCTTTAATTTATGTTTACCCTTAATTTCTTCCCCCTTGTAAGTGTTAAAGTGTGGTGCTATGGTATTATTTCAATCCCTTTGGACTTCTGCATTGAGGCTATTTGAAATAGTGCATAAAATATTGTTCTGGGTGTATTAGAATATGAATATTCACTTTTGACATTTCGTTTTATTAAATGGTATAAAGTCTGGGGCATGTGTATATCAATTTTTGTTTTAGGCAGAGTTAGGGTGTGTGACAGAAAAAAGACCATAAGAATGCATTCTGATTTTTAATCTTCCTAGAGGGAGACCTGGCCTTACAGGGAAGCATTGGGAGCCTGTCTCTGAGTGATCTTACCTCGCATGGAGAGTTCTACCGAGAACGGTTCACTACGAGTGGGGAAGAAGCCCTCATCTTCCAGACTTTCAAGTAAAAATATTGAGCTTTTCCGTCGTGATTGTTTCCTGTTTCAAATTCTTGTCCGCTAAGCAATGAGGAAAAGTTTAAAAAAATCATAGCCTCTTATGTAGAATCAAGTTGATCTAGTTGTGAGGAATCTCAATTTATATTAAAATGGATCTGCATTGAAGTGGGCTACTCAGGCTTTAATAAATTAAGGGGATATGGTTGAAATAATTGTGGTTATCATTATAGTCCGGTTTCACACCAACGTGTTGTGTGACTTGAACAAGTCATTTAATCTCCTTGCATCAGTTTTTCTATTGAAATAGTGAGGAGACTATGTTAGATCAATTTCGATTTAGCTCTGAATGATCTGGGATGATTTCAGCCCGAGAAAGCTGTTGAAGATAATGGGTTTTAAATTGCATTAGGCATTTTTCCCAGTACAAATACAATCTGTATTCAGTTTTAGAATTTAAAAGGCAGTTTTAGGCCTATGTAGTTATTAAAGAATAGTTTCCTCAGAAAACAGAAATTTTAAAAGGTGGTTTTTCAACCTTTTGGAGAGCTGTTAGAATGTATGGATATCCATCTCTGGTATCCAGCATTCTGGTCTGTGGTAGTGTAGTGTTCTTTTTTTTTTTTTAATCCAAAGTATTTTAATGTTCAACCAGAGTTGAGAAAAATGGTCCCTAAAGATGTCTGAGAAATTTTTCTTTCATTTCCAGAGGGAGTATATCATACTCCCTCAGAGTACTCCATCTGAGAAGTTAGATTGGTTTATTTGTATTGTTACCTACCACAGTGGCATGGTTCTTTAATAAATGAGATAATTAATGTAAAACTCTTAACTCTCTGCCTGGCAAAATAATAGTTGCTCAGCTAATATGAATTCCTTTCTCCAGTGACTATGTCCTGTATAATAATTTATTATCGTGGCATCATGTCCCATTAAAACCATTTGTCAAAGTTTTCTAATATCCGTGAATGTGGATGCTAAAACTCTTTGGCCTGCATTTCACTGAAGTAAAAAGACTTCTTTCAGCGTCCAGAGACAGATTGCCTTAGGAACATTGGTTCTGTTGCCTAATTTTCTTTACCAGTTGTTTCACAATGTAGTTTTTATTACCCTGAGTTGTCACAGTCTTTGCTTGAAAAGTGAGCAGGAATATTCACTTTATCCTTAAAGTCAGGGACAAAGAGACTCAGGTGAAAGGTCTGAACCATGATGGCTTCTGAGTGAGTTCTGGAGCCAGGAGTGATCGCAGCCCCAGACCTATCCCCCTATTTATAGCCCTGGCCGTCATACCAGACTTTTTTTTAACATCCTCGACCTCTGGTGGAAGCTTAGGAAGGAGGTAGTTATTGGAGTTTGCTTTCTAAAACCTGATTGTGGATTTCCATTTTTTTTTTGGGGTGGGGGGGGTTCCATTTTAACAATTAAAGCTGTTTCCTAGGAAAGCCTCTAAGTTTTCTTCAGACACTCATTTGCATCCTTCAGCTGTCTCCGAGTCACATTGTTGCCCTTCCTCCTAGGTATGGCCGGCCCGACCCTCTCCTCCGGAGGGAGCACGATGTCCGAGTGAGCCTCCAGATGGCATCCGTGCAGTACGTGCACACCCAGCGCTTCCAGGCGGAGGTGGTGGCTTTCATCCAGCACTTCACTCAGCTGCAGGATGTGTTAGGGCGCCAGCGAGCTGCCATCGAGGGGCAGACGGTAGGTAGTGCCTGGATACAAGGCACTTTTCAAGTTTGACTCATCAGCAGAACTTTTAAATCTCTAGGGATAAATCTGGAAAGTGTCACTGAGAAAAGTGAAGGTAATCAAGTAATCTTAAGCTTTACTAATGTCCTCCATATAGCTGATTAGCTACAGAAATCTTACTGTAATCAGAGAGCTTATATTCCTTGTTTCTTGCATCATGTTTTAATTTCCTTTTAAAGTTTAGCTTTGGCTTGCTCTAAAAAAGATAAACAAGTTACTTCAGTGGGGATACTTCTCCTGGAAAGTGGTTTCAAGAAGGTATCTGTTATAAAAAGAGGGTTTCTTTCAAATGTAGTTCTCAAACTTCTTAGCTCATGGCTCCCTTCTTGTCTTAGAAGTTTTTCTGAGACACGTCTGAGGCCAAAAGAAACACCTAATGGTCTTTCCATTCCAAAAGTGATTAAGTCCGAACAACTTCATAATTACGTTTGTCCAACAATTTAGTAGCTGTTTGAAAACGTAAAAACATAAGTGAAAGATGATATTTTTATTTCATTCTTAAATCACCATAATTGCTTCCTACTGAGATGTATGTGCCTCTTGGGCACTGAACAGCTCCTCAGTCTTGGAATCGGGTTGAACGTCACAGCCCTTATTTCCTTTTCCACATTTATTTTCTCATGGTACTTGTTTTTTATCTCAGCAAGTGCTTAAGACCCAGCTTTGCAAAGACGTGACATCACTGGAAGGAATGTAGCATGACCTTACATTGGGTGTAGACCACCTCGAGCTGGTGGTGTGTGCAGTGTTCAGGTGACATCACTGGAAGGAATGTAGCATGATCTGACACTGGGTGTAGACCGCCTCGAGCTGGTGGCGTGTGCAGTATTCAGGTGACATCATTGGAAGGAATGTAGCATGATCTGACATTGGGTGTAGACTGCCTCTAGCTGGTGGCGTGTGCAGTGTCCAGCCGATGATGTGTTTACATGAAGGATTTAAGACGCCCTGGCAGCACACCTCTTAAGTGTGAGGCAGCCTCTGGTGTCGTCTTGGAACCACAGAAAGCAGTTACAATGTGGTTCTTTGTAAAATGTGTTGATTATTTATTTTTAAGTTTTATTAGGTAAAAGATTATAATTTAAGTTCTTTGTAGTGGCAGCGTTTAAAAATTTTATGTTTTAATTTAAATAAAAATTTTTTTGAGTAAGTTGTATATTGTTTTAGTACAGAATCAAAGCCAAAAAGAGCATTTGGAGAAAAGTCTGTTTCTCAGCTACTTCTCCTCACCCACCCAGTTTCTGTCCTTAGCAGTAGTCAGTATTACTGGTTTCCTATGTACATTATAGAGAATTTATTTATTTTTTTAAAATATAAAAGTAGTACAATCAAATGACAGGGAATCTGGAAAAAAATAGCTTAGTTTTCTAGCACCATAGGTATATTTTATTTTTTATTTTTTCCCCATGTAACCTTTTTTTCTCTCTTTAGAAACTTATAAAAAACAGTTTAGTATTTGATGCATATGAAAGAATATCTGTAACATGTATATAAACTTCAAAGTATGGTAATAGAAGGAACATCCATGAAACCACCACCAAATAAAAACTGAACCATTACTAAGACGTGTTGCATGTAGTCTTTCCCTATCTCATTCTGTTGATGCCTCAAGAAGCCACTCTCCTGACTTTTGGGTCTACTAGTCCCTTTAAGATTAAAAGAAAACTTCGTATACCATATCTTTTGCTCAGCTTGTTTGCACTTTATGAAAAGGTTATGAGGTTTGCTTGTGTCCCTTTGCTAATGGTCTCCCAGCCCTAATCCCTGCTTCCTGGTAGCCACTGGCCAGCTTGCTGTTATAGCAGAATGCAGCCACATTCATTCATTTCCTTATTGTCTGGATGCCTTTACATTTTCTTAATTTGCTCTGATATCTTAGGGATTTTTGTATCTAAGCTCCTGAGCATTACTAGCTTGTAGTTTTCTTTTCTTGAAAAGAAAAATGCCTATTTTAGTTTTGGTAACTGGGCCATGCTATCCTTGTAGGATGAATTGGGAAGTGTTCCCTCTTCTATTTTCAGAACAGTTTGTGTAGAATTGACATCAGTATTTCTTCCTTTATATCTTCCTTTATATATTCTGGATACCTTTGATATATTTATTGCGAATATTTTTTTCTAGTCTATGGCTACCCCTCCCCCATTTTCTTAATACTATTTTTTGAAAAGCAGAAGTCTTTCATTTTGATGAATTTCAATTTTTTAATTTTATGGTCAGTGCTATTGTTTTGTTAAAGAAATCTGCCTACCACCAGGTGGCAATAAATCTCTCCTATTTTCCCTTTTTAGAAATGTTATAATTTTACATCTCTTCCATTTTGAGTTAATTTTTGCTTATTTTGTGAAGTGAGACTTGAGTTTTTTTTTTTCCCCAAATACCTATCCAGACTGTTCTTTTCCCACTGAATTACCTTGACACTTATATTGAGAATCCACTGATCATATATGTATGTGTATTTCTTTATTCTCTATTCTATTTCTTTGATTTATATTTAATTGTACACCCCCTTGTCTTTCCTAAAATAATACTATTTATTTATTTCTTGGCTGTGTCGAGTCTTTGTTGTTGTGCTGTGTGCAGGCTTTCTCTAGCTGCAGCAAATGGGGGCTTCTCTTATGGAGCAGGGGCTCTAGGTATGGGGGCTTCAGTAGTTGTGGCTTACCAGCTTAGTTGCCCTCCGGTATGTAGGATCTTCTTGGACCAGGGATTGAGCCTGTGTCCTCTGCATTGGCAGGCGGATTCTTAACCACTTGACCATCAGGGAATACCTTCCCCCTGTGTCTTTTTTTTTTTCTTTTTAAACTTATTTTTAAAAAATTTCTTTAGCTGCCCCAGTTGTAGCATGTGGATTCTTCCATCTTTGTTGCAGCATGTGAACTCTTTCGTTGTGGCATGTGGGATCTAGTTCCCTGACCAGAGATCAAACCCATGCCCCCTGCATTGAGAGTGCAGTGTCTTAGCCACTGGACCACCTTGGAAGTCCCCCTTCTCCCTTGCCTTGATAGCTGTTGTTTTATGGTATGTCTTGAAATCAGATATTCTAAGTCTTCCAACTTCTTTTTCAAAGATGTATTGGCTCTTCTAGGTCCTTTGTTTTTTCTCTATAAATTTTAGAATCAGCTTGCTGTTTCTACAGTTAAAGTCAGCTAGAGTTTTGATTGAGATTGTCTTGAATCCATATATCTGAAGAATTTACATCTTAACAACATTGAGTCTTTGGATCCTTGAGTATGGTGTATCTTCCATTGAAGTAGGTCTTTAGTTTCAGCAGTGTTTTGTAGTTTCAGGTATATTGTTCTTACACATTTTTTGTTAAACTTATCACTAGGTATTTCAGCATTTTGATGCTATTCTAAATTGTATCAATGAAAAAAATTCAATGTCCACTTATTTATTGAAAGTTTAAGAGATATAATTGACTTTTGTTTACATAGATGTTGAGCTCATATCCTGTAATCTTGCTAAACTTACTTATTCTGAAGTGAAGTTGAAGTCACTTGTCCTGTCTGACTCTGCGACCGCATGCTCTGCAGTCCATGGAATTCTCCAGGCCAGAATATTGGAGCCTTTCTCTTCTCCAGGGGATCTTCCCAACTCAGGGATCAAACCCAGGTCTCCTGCATTGCAGGCACATTCTTTACCAGCTGAGCCACAAGGGAAGCCCAAGAATACTGGAGTGGGTAGCCTATCCCTTCTCCAGCGGATCTGCCCAACCCAGGAATCAAATTGGGATCTCCTGCATTGCAGGCGGATTCTTTGTCAACTGAGCTATCAGAGAAGCCCTCAGTTATTTATTCTAGCTCCTTTATATTCTTAAGAGTTTTCTACATAAATGATTACATTGTCTGTGGATAAGAGAGTTTTCTTTTTTCCTTCCCAACCTATATACCTTTCATTTGAACTAGGAGTTCAGCTACAGTGTTGAATAGAAATGGTGAGAGTGGGTATCCATGCTTTGTTCCTTATCTTAGAGGGAAAGCATTGTCTTCTGCAGATGTTAACTAATATGATGTTAGCTGTAGATAGTTTGTGTATGTTTTTAAGGAATCTGTCTACTTCATCTGAATTGTCAGTTTGTTGGCCTGAATTTGTTCATAGGTTTCCACGTCTCTTAGTATTTTTAAGTTCTGTAGCAATGTCCCTGACTCTTCTGATAGTGGTGATTTTTGTTTTCTTCCTTTTTTCTTGATTCATATAGGTAGAGGCTTTATCACTTTCATTAATCTCTTTAAATAATCAACTTATTGAGGGCTTTGTCAGGCCTGTGCGTACTCTTAATAAGCATGTGTGCACTTGTAAAGAATGTAAAGTGGTAGTTGAGTAGAGTGTTCTATAAATGTTCAATTGATTTTTTTCTCTTACTTATCTGTTTCCTAAATAACTAGTTTCTGCTCTTTATTATTTTCTTCCTTCTCCTTACTTAGGTTTATTTTGCTTTTCTAGCTTCTTAAGCTGGAAGCCTTATTGATTTTAGATCTTTTACATAAAATAAGCATTTAATGCTAAACTTTTTCTTCAGGTGCCTTCCCCCTCCCCTTTTTTCCTTCTTTCTTTTCTTGAGTTAATTTTTATCAGAGTGTGGTTGCTTTACTATGTTGGTAGTTTCTATTGTACAGCCAACTGAATCAGCTATACATATACATATATCCTTGCCCTTTTGGACTTATATCCCTTTCAGGTCATTGAAATCTATAAGTACCTTTTTAAGTGCTTTAAAATTCATTCCATGAATTTTGATGTGCTGTGTTTTTTTAATCAGTAAGGCAAGATATTCTTTTTTAACTTCCCTTGTGATTTCTTCTGTGACCCATGGGTTATTTAGAAGTGTGTAGTTTAATTTCCAGATACTTGGGAGTTTTCCATTATCTTCTTGTTACTGTTTTCTAATTTAACTCCTTGGTGTTCATAGAATATACTCTGTGTGATTTTAGTTGTCTTAGATTTATAAATTCATGAAACTTTTGGGAACTTGAGGTTATTTGATTGTAAAATGAGGGAATGAATTGAATGTCTCATTCAGTTTTCCTTCTTTCAGGTGAGAGATCAAGCACAGCGCTGTTCACGGGTTCTCCTGGATATTGAGGCTGGTGCTCCTGTTCTTCTTATCCCAGAAAGTTCCAGATCAAATAATCTGATTGTAGCAAATTTGGGAAAGTTGAAAGTCAAGAACAAATTTCTCTTCGCTGGTTTTCCTGGGACCTTTACCTTACAAGATAAGGTGAGCAGTCAGCACCCATTCCCATCTCAGTTTACCTGGCATTGGAATACCAATTGAAAAATTCAGATGTTACCATAAGATAATTACTAACCACTGTACTTTTGTAGTATACGTGGCTTGAAGAGTATTTTTTTTGACATTTTATTAACATTTCAATTAACCCTTAATAGAGGTAGTATAAATTATAACTTTTACTAACTCTATGTAGTAACTTATTTTAGCAAACAAATCAACAGAACCATCTTTATAATGTTTTCCTCCCAGGCTGAATTCATAGTTATCAACTTTATACTGTGTAGCTTTGTTTTCTGGAGTTTGGCTCAAGGCTTATCTGAAGCCATTTGAAAATATCTTAATAAAATCATATGTAGTTTATCTCTTTACAGTTTAAAACTGCATCAGCACTTATTTCTTATAACAAGTTTGGAGGTAATTGGGATAAGACTGCTTTTTTCATTTTACATTTAGAAAAGCTAGAATTCATTGAGAATAAATGATGAAAATGGGAAACTTTTGTGAATCACAGACTTAGCAGTGATAGGACCTTGGAGGTGGTCCCACCATTTTTGCAGTTGAGGAGACTGAGTAACATTGCTGGAATTAAGAGATGCTCTTGGGTTCTAGGTGTGTGCTTTAATGAAACTCTGCTGGTTTCCATGGCAGCTGACAATAATAGCAATGGAAATAGTGTTTGTTGAATGCCTAGTATACAGCAGCCTATGCTAAACTCTTTTTGTATTTGTTCATCTTGTCCTCTTGTCCTTATTAGCAAGCTGAGGGGTATTATTTACACTATTTTTCCCTGTAAAGAAATTGAGGCTAGATAAATTAAGTAATCTCTTTCAGATTAAACATCTAGTGAAGAGTATAGTGTGGACCTCAGGTTTTGGTGGTGTTCATTCACTAAGTCGTGTCCAGCTCTTTGCCACCGCATGGACTGCAGCATATCAGGCTTCCCCATCCTTCACTATCTCCTGGAGTTTGTTCAGGCTCATGTCCATTGAGTTGGTGATGTTATCCAAATATCTCATCCTCTGTTGCCCCCTTCTCTTCCCGCCCTCAATCTTTTCCAGCATCAGGATCTTTTTGAATGATTTGGCTCTTCACATCAGGTGGCCAAAGTATTGGAACTTCAGCTTCAGCATTCATCCTTCCAATGAATATTCAGGGTTGATTTCCTTTATGATTGCCTGGTTTGATCTCCTTGCAGTCCAAGGGACTCTTAAAAGTTTGCATTCTCCAGCACCACAATTTGAAACTATCAATTCTTCGGCATTCAGCCTTGTTCATGGTCCGACTCTCACATCCATACATGACTACTAGAAAAACCATAGCTTTGACTGTATGGACCTCTGTAGGCAAAGTAATGTCTCTGCTTTTTAATATGCTGTCTGGGTTTGTCATAGCTTAGACTTTAGTATATCTGCCTTTAGTACTCCACGCTCATAACTGTGGTATGATTTTACCTCCCAGCATTGGTGGCGGTAGTTTAGTTGCTAAGTCATGTCCGACTCTGAGACCCCGTGGACGGTAGCCTGCCAGGCTCCTATGTCCTTGGGCTTTCCCAGGCAAGAGTACTGGTGTGGGTTGCCGTTTCCTTCTCTAGGAGATCTTCCCGACCCAGGGATCGAACCCACATCTCTTGCATTGGCAGGTGGATTCTTTACCACTGAGCCACCTGGGAAGCCCCTCCCAGCATTAGGATTTGGTTTATATAGGATAGGGGAGAACAAACTGACAGAGGTTGTTCCTGTCTTACTATCCCTTTCCCAAATAACTCTGGTGCTTTGAAATTTTCTAAAGGATGTGGCAATGAGTTCATTAAAATAACTTCAGTGGAAGAACTCCAGAGTTTTTCACAGAAAAGATACAGATTTGAGCAGCTGCTGTTCGCCTCTTTAGGTGTAGGAAGAAAAGAAAATGGAAGAGAGTGATTAGGAAACTCGTCTTGCCAGGCCTTTGCCAAGGACCCCAAGTCAAGTTGAAAGTAACAGGAAGACTGTATTTGTTGTTATGTGTAGACTCAAATAGTGTTACTTTTTTCAAATGATTGTCTCTATAGTTTTCTCCATTTGTTTTGCTTCTCACTCATCCAGTTACTCACTACTACTAACCCAAACACCCTGAACTGAAAATACTTGATTCATTGAGTGGGAATGGCTGGAGTGAGAAGAGTGGAGATGAGACAGTGAGAACCATGGGAACCATGTTCAAGTGTCATGACCTTGGGCTCAGGGCCCAGAGTAGGGGTGTTTGGATGATGGGTTAGAGAGCAGGTTGTCCATATCTTATCTCACTGCAGCTGCTGAGACAAACCAGATTTAGTGATTGGAGCATAAGGTGAAACCAGTACAGAACAGCAGTGATAAGCAATGCAGATGGAAGTGCATCACCAGGTTTACTCATCCGCATGCCGCACATTCAGACAGCTGGTGGCTGAGGACTTGCTGGTTCACCTTGCTGTCGGAAGCCCCTCCTGTTGGAATAATAGGCCTTCTTTCCAGATGGGGCTTCCCTGGTGGCTTAGCTGGTAAAGAATCCACCTGCAATGCTGGAGACCTGGGTTCGATCTCTGGGTTGGGAAGATCCCCTGGAGAAGGGAATGGCTACCCACTCCAATATTTTGGTATGGAGAATTCCATGGACTGTATAGTCCATGGGGTCACAAAGAGTTGGACACGACTGAGCTACTTTCACTTTCATTTTCCAGAGTGAGGAATAGGCCTCCACTTAGGTATATATGTATATTTTTTTCCGTATATTTTTTAAGACAGTTAAACAAAATCACCATTGACCTTTCATAGTAGGCCTAGTAGAGAACTGGTAACCTTGGTGTTAATTAGGAAAATCTCTTTTCATATTTGAGTCGTAGGCGTTTTGCTATTTACTGGCTCGAGCCTTAAAGAAAATAAAGAAAAATCCATTTATAAAAAGAGATTGATAACTGCATCTAAAATTTCTTACTTTTTTTTTTTTTTACTGTGCGATGCTTGTAATTAATGCTACTAGATATTGAACAAATGTATCAGAGCTGGTGTTGGCACATGACTGTTGTCCCCACGGTCATCTCAGGGCATTTGCCTCTCTTACCCACGTCTACTGCCCTTCCTTGCTGCCCTAGGGAGAGCTGAATTCTTCCTTGGAAACTGTCTTCTGAGACTTCAGTTAGTTCTTTGAAATATATTTGTTTGTGGGAAATCATTGTTTTGAGGCCCAAGTTTTTAGGAAGAGATCCATTAGAGCCAGAATGGGTGATCAAGCTCAATGATACCATTTTTTTCCCTCTCTCCCTCCTGAAAAGATAAAGGGCTTATTTTTCTGTATCCGATATATCTGTATATGGGCTTATGAGCTGACTCTGAAGTTAGCTTCTGAAGAATTGCCAAAGTATCTCAAGAAAGTTTTGTAAAAGGGTTTCTATTATGTTAAGTACTACCAAATAACAAGTGCATAGTTTGTAGCATTTTAATGAAAAAATTTCCCTGTATTTTGTTTTCGAGGATTTGATTTTAAGTGGCAGCACATACAAGGATCGCTTTTCCTTCAAGGTATAATATACATTTTTTGCCTCCTGGTTATTCGGAAAAACCTTATGGGATTCAGCAGTCAACTCCCATTCATTTGCTTAAAAAGGAAAATCTTGAAAACCAATCCTTTAAAATATTTCATTACTTGGGAAAGCCTGCTTATCACCCCCCCCCCCCCCCCCCCCCCCCCCCCCGCCAACTTTGACAAATCACTTCCCACCTGTGTTGAGGAATTCTCCTTAAGGATCATTAAAAGTAATTCCTTCTTCCCTGCTTCCCTCCTTCCTTCCTTCCTTTCTTTCTCCTTTCCTCCCCTAGGTAATACTTTCTTAATGACCTTATTTTATTTCCTTCAATCCTAAAAGACTTTATCTTGTTACGTGCCAGTGGGTTGTTCTGTGAAATTCCATAAGGTTTGCTTGGAGTGTGTTTCTTGTTAAAGTATTTGTAATTCAGTTAATTCATCTGTGAAACTTAGCTCTCCACATGTACAGTCAAGCTTCACGTAGGCTTGACTACGTGAAGTGAGTAATTACTTTTCTTCTTCAAAAAATCCTTTGTATTTACATTTGCTCTTTAATGCATCTGCCCATGTGAGGTTTGTCTAGTATGCATTCCAGTGGTTAAAGAACAGGAAATAGTCCTGGAATCAAAGCTTGCAGAGGGGTCATTTGCCTTTGAGTTCTGTGACTCCTGTGTGTTTGGAATTGTTTTACATAAGTCCTTGTCTTAATGAGGGCAGGTTTGAATTTTTTGCATATGCTTTTTCTTTCATTTTTTTCAACCATAGTTTGTGCTTAAACTTAATTTCTTAGTATTTCAAAAGCTTTGAGTTAATCCCCTCAAGCCACTGATTTATTTAAACCAACTCAGAGAGGATGGAGGGATGAATCAAATGAAAGAGCAACAAATACTCGCAGATGTTTAAATAAACTAAAGCAAGAGGGAAGGTTTTTAATGTTGAAATACTTAAATGATAGCATTTAGCTAGTCATTTGCCTTGCAAAAAGGAATTGCAAAAAAAATAACTGGTTTCTTTCACCGTTACATGTAATTACTACTCAAGATGACTGTGAAGGTGAATAGTACTATCATCTCCCTTTAGAATGCTGAGAGGAATATACATATAAAGCAGTCCTTGGGAGAACCATTCTTCCTCTCCTTCCAGCTTGCTAGTGAGAAGGGATAGATGAGAACAAACTGATGCTGCAGAGACCATGTGGATATGTAGCTCTGAGTCTTGAGGGAAGGAGCCATGCAAACTTTAAATGTCAGTTATTGGACCATTCTGGTGAAAAAGATTTGCCCTGTCAGCAATTAACTGAAGGTACTAGGTATGTAAGAGAAGCATGTGATATTTTCAGTAGAGTTATAGAATTAATATTATTCTGTATTTGCCCTTAATTTTTATGCCCTTGAACAGAAACATGATAGGAATGGCTTGCCTGTGTTTTCCATTTGCAGTTACTTAGATGAGAAATGTAAACCTGGGAGGGGAGACTTCTGGAATGTACAAACACATTAGTGGGGCTTCATTCCATATTGCTGTTAGATGCATTTTCTTAGGAAAAAAGAGTCCCTCCCCTCCAGCAAATCAACAGTATATTGTATGGCTGAGAGATTTGCCTTTGTAGCATTGATCTAGATTAAACCACCAGTTATTAGTATCTTGATATTTACTCTTAAGCCAAAAGATAACATGTTCTATGTTCAGTTGCCAAGTCGTTTCTGACTTTTTGCGACCCCATGGTCTGTAGCCCACCAGGCTCCTCTAGCCATGGGATTTTCCAGGGAAGAAGATTGGAGTGGGTTACCATTTCCTTCTCTAGGGTCTTTCCAACCCAGGGATTGAACCTGTGTCTCCTGCTTTGGCAGGTAGATTCTTTACCACTGAGCCACCAGGGAAGCCCAAAAGATAAAATATGTTCCTGCAAAATTGCCAGAGTTTTCAACAGGTACTGAATTATATGTAATGTCTCTGCAGAGGATTACATGTGGAAGAAAGAATCATGACCCTGTGGCCCTTTTGTTTATGGGATCTGGGGGACTTGGGAAATACCATGTGGCAGAGAGTCTTTGAAGAGTCCAGGACTGGGAAGGGACTTCCAGGATAGTAGATAGTTACCACCCGCATCCCTGCTGCTAGTTTTCTTTTCTTTCTTCCCAGGAGTCTGTGCCTTCATCTTCCCCAACTGGTACTCCCAAGCACAGTGTGAGGAAAATGACAAGCACGGAGGACCTGAAGGGGACCCACTCCGAGGGGCTGATCATGATGCCTCCTGCTGGAATGAGTCCAGGCAGCTTGAAGAGCGAGTCTGTGCCCAGCACCTCGACCAAGCAGCAAGGGCAGGCAGCCACACCCTCTGTCGGCCGAGCTTCCAGCAGTCCAGGTAAAGGAGGAGCGAGGAGCTGCATGAGGAAGGAGGGGAAATTCATGAGACCATTGCAGGATACTAAGGGGCGATGCATCCCATTCAAGTAGATGCCGACAAACGGGTAGCGTGTCTTTAGTCATCGTCTGATTCTGATACTGATTTGGAAGGCTTTAGAGTCTTAGGATGTAGATAAGGATTAGGTGACTTCTAAAGTAGGATTGTTGTTGTTCAGTCACTCTATCATGTCTGACTGTGCGACCCTGTGGACTGCAGCATGCCAGGCTTCCCTGTCCATCACCAACTCCCGGAGCTTGCTCAAGCTCATGTCCATTGAGTCCATGATGCCATCCAACCATCTTATCCTCTGTCATCCCCTTCTCCTCCTGCCTTCAGTCTTTCCCAGCATCAGGCTCTTCACATCAGGTGACTGAAGTGTTGGAGCTTCAGCTTCAGCATCAGTCTCTCTAATGAGTATTCAGGGTTCATTTCCTTTCAGGTTGACTGGTTTGATCTCCTCGAACTCCAAGGTACTTTCAAGAGTCTTCTCCAGCACCACATTTCGAAGGCATCAGTTCTTTGGTGCTCAGTCTTTTTATTGGCCAGCTCTCACATCCGTACATGACTACTGGAAAACCCATAGCTTTGACTATATGGACCTCTGTAGGCAAAGCAGTGTCTCTGCTTTTCAATATGCTGTCTAGGTTGGTCATAGCTTTTCTTCTAAGGAGCAAGTGTCTTTTAATTTCATGGCTGCAGTCACCATCTGCAGTGATTTTGGAGTCCAAGAAAATAAAATCTGTCATTGTTTCCAATGTTTCCCCATCTATTTGCCATGAAGTGGTGGGACCAGATGCCAAGATCTTTGTTTTTTGAATGTTGAGTTTTAAGCCCGCTTTTTCACTCACCTCTTTCATCTTCATCAAGAAGCTCTTTAGTTCCTCTTTACTTTCTGCCGTAAGAGTGGTGTCATCTGCATATCTGAGGTTATTGATATTTCTGCTGGCAATCTTGATTCCAGCTTCTGCTTTATCCAGTCTGGCATTTCACATGATGTACTCTGCTTACAAGTTATAAGCAGGGTGTCAATGTACAGCCTTGATGTACTCCTTTCCCAATTTTGAACCAGTCTGTTGTTCCATGTCTGGTTCTAACTGTTGCTTCTTGACCTGCATACAGGTTTCTCAGGAGGCTGGTAAGGTGGTCTGGTATTCCCAACTCTTCAAGAATTTTCCAGTTTGTTGTGAACTACTCAGTCAAAGGCTTTAGCATAATCAATGAAGCAGAAGTAGATGTATGATTAAATTAGTAAGATAGGGACTTCCCTGATGGGCCAGTGGTTAAGAATCTTCCTTGCAATGCAGGGGATGTGGGTTTGATCCCTGGTCAGGGAACTAAGATCCCACATGCCTGGAATCAACTAAGCCCACATGCAAGTTCTCAGCCTGTAGGCTTTGGAGCCCGTGCACCACAACGAGACAGACCCAGAGCAGCACTTAAAAGCTCTCACATGATGCAACGAAAGATTCTATGTGATGCAATGAAGATCCTGCATGTAGCTAAGACTCGACACAGCCAAATAAATAAATTTTTTAAAAAAGAGAGAGTTTAAGAACAAACCAAATAGTAAAATGCAGTATAAATAAAGACGTTTAGGTAGCCTCTAAGGGCTTGTCAAGATAGTTGCCACCAGATGGTGGTTGTATAGCTGGAGTAATTGCTACATCCTTAGACACATCCTTGCGAGTGACTTTTCAGACACTATCCCTTCAAGTCATTGGTTCAGTCAGTTCAGTTCAGTTCAGTCGCTCAATTGTGTCCAACTCTTTGCGACCCCATGAATCGCAGCATGCCAGGCTTCCCTGTCCATCACCAACTCCTGGAGTTTACTCAAACCCATGTCCGTCGAGTCAGTGATGCCATCCAACCATCTCATCCTCTGTCGTCCTCTTCTCCTCCTGCCCCCAATCCGTCCCAGCATAAGGGTCTTTTCCAGTGAGTCAGCTCTTCGCGTGAGGTGGCCAAAGTACTGGAGTTTCAGCTTCAGCATAAGTCCTTCCAATGAACACCCAGGACTTGTCTCTTTTAGGATGGACAGGTTGGATCTCCTTGTAGTCCAAGGGACTCTCAAGAATCTTCTCCAAGACCATAGTTCAAAAGCATCAATTTTTCGGTGCTCAGCTTTCTTCACAGTCCAACTCTCACATCCATACATGACCATTGGAAAAACCATAGCCTTGACCAGACGGACCTTTTTTGGCAAAGTAATGTCTCTGCTTTTTAATATGCTAGTCATTGGTTAGTTCTGGAGAAATAAAAATCCTGAAAAGTAGGTAACAGCAGAAATACCCTAAGTAGCAATTTTTGAAAGACATGAACCACCAAGTTATTGGTGTGCTGCTCTTGAATTTGACAGTTTGCCATTGTATTTCAGATGAGAGTCTTGATTGATTTTGACCTTTTGGTTTTTCCGGATAGTGTGGATTGGATAAGTGAGGTGTTGCTCCAAGGAGTTTGGGAAGCAGAATATGATTTACTATCAGAATCCATTGGTGAAGTCAGTCCAGTGTGGTTGAACTTTGAGAGATGTGGGACGCTAACAGGGATATGTTGGATGGATATAAAGAATGGTTAATCCCTTCTGGGTACCTTGTTGTCCCAGAGGGGACAGCAAAAGGGTTTATGATTACGTTGGTGATTCAAGGAGATTATTGTAATCCTCATCAGAAGACTGGGTATTGAACATTTACTACATGCCAGACATCGTGGCACATTTTTTCATAAATGTTTGCAGTTTATCGTCATGATACTCCTATAGGGTTTTATTTTTATCCCTGTGTTATAGATGAAGAGACCCAGACTTTTTGAACCAGTAACCAAGAGACCCAGAGAGACTGAGTAACTTGCCCATAGTCATGTCAACGTATGTGGTAAATGGTAGGGTTCGACTATGAGTCTAGGCAGTCTGTCTCTAGAGTCTGAAGTCTTAACCTGCATGATATTACTGACTAATCTATATACATAATGGACACTCACAGCATGGGGTAGGGGGGTGGGGCAAGCTGGGTGCCTACATAGGGCCAGTCAGTACATGAATCTTCTATTGTTGTTGTTCCGATAATAGTGATGATTAGGAATTGAGGCCAAAGGTACATGGGCCAGCAGTAAGAATCCACCTGCAATGCAAGAGATGTGGGTTAGATCCCTGGGTCAGGAAGATCCCCTGGAGAAGGAAATGGCAGCCAACTCCAATAATCTTGCCTGGGAAATCCCGTGGACAGAGGAGTCTGGGAGGCTACAGTCTATGGGATTGTGAAAGAATCAGACATGACTTAGCGACTGCACAACAACAGTACATATGTCTGGAAGCCTATTAGGAAGTGATTTGGAATTTTTTTGTTAATTAATTTCTGTTGGAGTATAGTTGCTCTGCAGTGTTGTATTAATTTCCACTGTGCATCAGAGTGAGTCAGCTCTACTTGTACATACGTCCCCTCTCTTTCGGATTTCCCTCCCATATAGGTCACCACAGAGCACTGAGCAGAGTCCCCTGAGCTATACTGTAGGCTCTTTCTGGGGTGTTTTATAGAAAGATCTCTTTTCCTGACCATATTTCGCCTCCCAATTTGCTGTTTGTTTCTGGAATTCTGACTGTGATTAAGATGGGGTTAAGGCAGTGGTTTTCATACTTCTTTTATATTTCTGATTCCATGACAACCTTTGGGAATTATGAAGCCCTTTGTTCCTGTCCCTTGTCCCTTCTATGAGATCAGCTCTACTTCTGTCTTTTTCACTTTTTTATCCATACAGTAACGAGGCAGGAGCTAATTTAATTAGTGCCTACCTAATCTAGGTGTTCAATGTTTTGTTCTATATAGTAACAAGCTATTAGACATAATTCCTGCCACCTTGTAAATGATATGAGCAAGGCATTCAATAAGCATCTAAATAAGGACAGATTAAGATAAATGTCATGGGAAAGACTGAACGGTAAGAGGGAAATAACAGAGAAGGAGAGAGGAGGGTGATGCTCTGGGCAAGACTTCAGACAGTGAAGAGCCTGGCACATGGGGGAAAACAAAGACCAGTGAGCCAGCGGCCTCATGGGCAAGGTGGAGAATGGGTTGAGATGAGGTTGGAAAAGTAGGCAGTGGGCTTCTTATGCAGGGCTTTCGAGGGATTTAGGGGAGTTTTACAGAAAGAACTGTGAATTAAACTCAGTCATCAAAGCATATAAAGAAAGGGAATGTTTTGGTCTCAATTATTTTTTTAAGGATTACTGAGGTATTTTGTGAGTAGAATGGTTTTGTGAGGGCAGACTGGAATGGAATGGATTTGTTGGAGGGGAGTTTATGGTGGTCTAGGCAAGAATGGTAGTGCTTTGGATTAGATTGCTCTAGTGGAAATGGTTATGTGTGGTGTTTGTTTGGGAAAAGCACTTTGCTGTGGAAAATTTTGTAAACCTTTGGGTAACATCATCTCTACACAAGACCCCTGTGGGATCTCCTTGGGAGGGATGCATGTTAAGTCCTTTTAGTCATAAGCCCTTTAGCCTTTGTTAGTGTCTCGGGACAGCAGTGAAACACTGGGAGGATGTGGCCTGGTTTGTGCCTGTGTACGGGGGGCAGGTAGGCAATGTCCAGCACATGGAGCGGTGAAGAGGGAGGTCTTGGTGCCAGAGTGGAGACTTCTGATCTAAACATTTTCCAAAGACGGAATGAACATTTTGGGGCTATTTAGCTTTTTTCTGGATCAGCCCCTTCTGAGTCCCATCTTCTTCCTTGTCTCCTTTTCCTTGGTTCCACGTAGAAGACCATGTGTGCCTGCTGGATTGCATTGTTGTTGATCTCCAAGACATGGACATCTTTGCTGCAGAGAGACACCCACGAGAGTATTCCAGGGTCTCAGAAGACAGCAGCGGAGATCTGATCTTCCCCTCCTATTTCGTGAGACAGACAGGAGGAAGCCTCTTGACCGAGCCCTGTAGGCTGAAATTGCAGGTGGAAAGGAATTTGGACAAGTGAGTGGTTTATTTTCAATAACTGTCTATTGTAAGTAGAACTGTGATAGCTTGGAAACCAGTGCTGTTAAGTCTGGAAGGGCATGGGTATTTACTTATATGTTCATCTATGTAACAAATCTATGTTGAGTCCCTACCATCTGCTAGTCATGAGGGCTCCTTTGATGAAAGAAAAAACTTCTACCTTTATGGAGCTTGCATTTTGTTGAGGGATATAGGAAGGTAAGTACATGATTCTAATTTTGTGTTTGATTCAGTTTTCAACTGGACTGTAGGATGACAGTAGGTGCCTTAGAAACAAACAGTAAAGGCCCTGAATTTAGCATGGATTTCAATGGCAGAAGGGAGGTAGTGATGGCACTGAAGAAGTGTTTGGAAGAGGTGACATTTGGATTCTGTGTTCCAAATGCAATAGATTCTGTACCTGCTATTGATATTTACCCTGGAGCTCTACCGAATCAGAGTAACTGTTTAGATGCTATTTTGCCCATTTTACTCCAGTTAGCCATCTGAAAGTGCTCCATAAAGACCATTGAACTGACTGTAATTTCCATCTTAATTGGCTTCAAAGCACAGGATGCTTAATTTCTGTAGTTTGGAGCATGGCCTCAGTTAGTTCTATATCTGACTGGGAAACTTACTGAAAAGGAATGCATTCAGACCCCATCTGAGACCAGCAGAAGCTGACTCTCTGGGCCAAACCTCAGGTACATATTAACAAGGTCCTCTGATAGCGCTTACACTCCACTGGCCCCAGCAATGGACTGGGACTGCTGGTTACAGTGTGTGATGCCTGTTCAGTTTGGGGCATTAATTTTGGGGAAAGCAGCAACACTCAGATCTTAACTTCAGGGAGAGATGAGGCGTGGCTGTGAAGTAATGAAAGCAAATGATTTTCATTTGCAGCATTTTGAAAAACAGTGTCACTACTTTTCCAGAGTGTGATTTTAATCCCTCTTGGGCCACTCCCTTCGCAGTTCATTGGTTTGGGCAAGTCATTTAGTGTCACTGTTTTGTTTCTCTCTGGATTAATGATACAGCATAGCCACTCTCACTGGGATTTTTGTGTTTCATTCTTACTTGTTATTCAAGTGCTCTCTGGCTGGTGTTCAGTTATGGTTGGCATGGGCTGTATTTGATTTTACTGGCTTAAACGTCTTAAGAGGAGCTTCATTATTTAGAAATTGAACATTTTGTTTTCTTTTCAAGTAATGCTTTCCAAAAAAAAAATGTGCTTTACTGCTCTGCTTATCTAAACTTCACCCACTTCCATCAGTGTTTATGTGCAGGTAATTATGCCCGGTTAGCCCAGATAGAAGGGGTTGACTAAACACAGGGTATCTGATCAGCTTCTCCTGCCCTGGACCTGGCAACCCAGGGGCTTCTGGGTAATGCTTTCCAGTTTTTTTTTGTTGATTGCATGACTGGTCTTTTTTCACCTGGTTGTATGAAGGTTTTTCTCCATAGACAAAGTAATTTTTAATATTTCTCTTCAACTGCAAATCCTGGCCTTCTGCTCTATATACTTGGAGCATAGCCTCTGTAGTATCTGTGATATCCACTTCACCTTTAGGAGGGTAGAGAAAAAGCTCTCCAGTGTTGGGATGAAGTATATTCCCCCTTCCCTGGGCATTTTTTTTTTTTTTTCAAAGATTATTTTTTGGCTGTGCTGAGGTCTTTGTGGTATAAAGGATCTTTAGTTGTGGCAGGCAGGATCTAGTTCCCTGAGCAGGGATCAAACCTGGGCCCCCTGCATTGGGAGTGTAGAGTCTTAGCCACTGGACCACCAGGGAAGACCTCCCTGACCTGGGCATTTTCAACATCATTCCTGCCTGCCCATCTCAGCTTGAAATGAGTGACTGATTCAGGTTTTATCCTAGTGTCCCATCTTGGCTCATTATGAAACACTGGTTCCTTTTTTTTGTTACCACTAAATGGATAAAGAGCTTGTCATTTTTTCTTTTTTATTGAAATATAGTTGTCGTACAATATTATGTTAGTCTCAGTTGTGCTACATGATAATCTGACATTTGCACACATTATGAAATGATCTCTACTATGAGCCTAGTAACCATCTGTTTCCACACAAAGTTATTGCAGTATCATTGGTCATATTCCTCATGCTATATAGTATATCCCCATGGCTTGTTTACTTTATGGCTGGAGGTTTGTACCTCTTAATCCCCTTCACCTATTTTTGTACCACCCCCCAACTCCTCTGTTCTCTGTACCTGTATCTTTCTTTCCCTTTTGTCTTTTTTTCTTTTTAATTGTTCTCTCAACTATAATGTGTAAATTATTTCTGAGTCTTATGAGATCTTTCTTTATTCATCAATTAGTTAGCTCAGATTTGGGGACTTTATAAATGTATATTTGGGGAGAAAAATGGCCTTTTGTAGCTGAAGGATGACACTCAGTTATACTAACTTGCTTCACTTGGACTCATGAAATTTTTGTCATTGAAGGTTAGAAATTAATTGGTTGATAAGGGAGGTGGGTACATGTTAGCACTTATATTTGGATGTGAGCTGTGTCAATGTTAAGTTCGTGATTTTTTTGTGGAAGTGACCTTTTATCTTTTTCCATAGAGAAATAAGTCATACGGTGCCAGACATATCTATCCATGGCAATCTCTCCTCAGTCCACTGTTCTCTGGATTTGTGCAAGTACAAGCTGATCCGGGGTTTATTGGAGAACAACCTTGGAGAGCCCATAGAGGAATTCATGAGACCTTATGATTTGCAAGACCCAAGGATTCACGTGAGTGTGACGTTAGTTTCTTCTGTAACTCTTGTGGTCTCATGATCATCCTGTGTATCTGTTCCTCAGAGTCAGCTGGGGAAAGAAGATGGAGCCACAAGCAAATTAGATTTCATGACATTAACTCCATTTTGAGATTGACATCAACTATGAATTGATCGACATTTTCCTTTTCCAGACTGTTCTGAGTGGAGAAGTATACACGTGCATGTGTTTCCTCATTGATATGGTAAATGTAAGTCTGGAGCTAAAAGATCCAAAAGGAAAAGAAGGTGCTGGGTCCCTAGCCAGGTATGGCTGTGATTATACGGTTTTACTGTTAGTCATGGTGGTAGAGATCCTGTACACCTTGTGCTGTCATGTAGAACAGAGGTGGCACAGTGGTGGTTCACAGCTGAATCTTGTCTGCCTGCAGGTTGCTTTTTGGTTGGTCTGCACAATGCTTTTTAAAAGTTTAAATTCATCTATCACTCAAGACAGCTGAGGTTATGCTGTGGTAACGGGCACTCCCAAAATACCAATGACTTAGAAGAGTGACAGTGTTTTTCTTCTCGTGTTTCGTGTCCATTATGGGTCTTGGGCTGCTCTGCTCACTGTAGTTACCCTGGCTGACAGAGCTGCTTCCTGTGCCAGCGAGAAGAGCCCTTGAGTGGTCTAGAATGTCAGTGGGATCCTGGTAAACCCTGTGGGGCCAGAACATGGTCCCACATGAGTGCAGGGTCAAGAAGTAGTCTCCCTGTGGGTCTGTGTCGAGGGAGTCCAGAGCTGTCTGGTGAACACCAGTGTTGCCAGTGTCACTGGCCAGAATTGGTGAATTGTACATGAAAAAGTTTGGATTTCAGCTTCCTTTGAAGAACGGTAAGTTTTGGCAGTAGAGGGCCAGTGTTCTCAATTAGAAGCATCTGGGAGCTGAGTGGAAGCTTGGGTGGCCTTTAGGTAAGACATGTGCTCACCCAGCAGTTCACTAACTTATGTCTTCTTGGTTACTATAGACCAGGAATTTGTGATTAGTGGTATAGAACCCTCAAGAGAGCATTGTATTTTCACACTTGACAACATTTTCATCTCTTGACAGCCAAGCAAAGTTGAGTAGATATTACTCCTGTTCTCCAGATAGTTTTTGACTAGTATAAGATCATATGACTGGAAAAGTGGTTCCGTATTTGAAAGCAGGACTTCAAGGCTCGTAATTTTTCTATGGGACACACTCTGTCTTCTATTTTGTTTTTCCCTTAAAAATTCATCCAGGTATCTAACTCAGCTAATGAGAACATGATATGGTGGAGTTGGGGTCCCAGATTGATTATCTTGTGAACCAGCAGTTTTTTCTGATGACTGGTTATGTTCTTATTTTCTTTCAATATGGGGTAATTCTGTCTGAATTGTCATGATGGTACTGAGTGATTAAGAGCTGCCCATTGCAGCTCTGCCTGTTATTTAAAAAATGGCAGTTGCAGATGCATTTTCTGTTGGTAGATGAGCTGCATTACTTCTCTCCATGAAAAGTGTTATTGTGGTGGTGGTTCCCAGGAACTTCTTGCATAAAAATTCAGCAGACTGTGGAGAGAGACTCCTCCAAGCAGGCCAGGAGTTGACAGATGAAGGACTAAAGGGACCCTCACCCTTGGGGATTATTACAAATATATAGTCTTACTAAACTTAAGTGAGAAATGAGAATGCTAACAAACCGAGCATGCAACAAATATGTGGTAGGTTATTCCCCATGAAGTTCCCATGGACAAGAGTGTCTCCTTAGAAATGGAAAGAAGGTACAAGGCAAAGTGAGACTTCGATCCATTTTGTGGAGACTGTTAAAATCAGTGACAGATCTGAGTGAAATTATCTCCTTCATAGAACTTAGGCATATTTATGATTTTGTTCTTTTATCTTAAACATATGTAATTTTGTAAAATGGAAGCATTCAACGTCTTGTCTGCTTTCTCCCATAGATTTGACTTCAAGAAGTGTAAACTGCTCTATGAGAGCTTTTCCAACCAAACCAAGTCCGTTAACTTGGTTTCCCATTCCATGATGGCTTTTGACACCCGCTCTGCTGGGCAGAAGACCAGTCCTGGTGTGACCAATGTGTTCACCTGCATCTTTCAGCCCTCTAAAAGCAGCAGCACCACCCAAGGCTCCATTCAGATCGAACTGCACTTCAGGTGGGAGATCCAGACCTTGACTTTGCCTTTCTTTATCATGATATACCTTGTTGTGGCCTGTGGGCCAAGACCATGTAGGCTTTAGAGCATCAAAAGACTGAGCAATCTTTGAGAAATAAATAATGGCTTATCAGTGCAGTGTACTGTATATTAAGTAACCATGCAGTTTCACTGACTGGCCAAAAGATGTCTCTGTTGCCTTAAGGAAAATAGGATTAAACCAGATTCTTAAAATCAGCCTCCCTATTGGATGTGTATGTGTGTGTGCCTGCCCAGTTGCTAAGTTGTGTCCAGCACTTTGCGACCCCATGGACTATACCCTGCCAGGCTCCTCTCTCCGTGGGATTCTCTTGGCAAGAATACTGGAGTAGGTTGCCGTTTTCTCCTCCAGGAGATCTTGCCAACCTAGGGACTGAACCTGCATCTCCTGTATTGATAGGTGGATTCTTTACCACTGTGCCACCTGGGAAGCACCCCCATCAGCTGTAGACTTTTAATATGTAAAGCGACTTGGGGAAGGAAGAAATTATACTCATTTAAGGGGAAAAACGTCTTTTGGTCTATAGAAATGATAGAAGGGATGTGGTGTTAACTTACATTATCACGTTATCTGTGCAGGTCTTTATGACTGACTTCTCCATATAAAACAAGATTTAGCCTCCTTGAACTAGATTATGTTTTTCTTCCTGGCATTATGGGAGGCACTGTTGTGTGTGAAAAGAGCGTAGGTTTTGGGATCACATAGATCTGGGCTCAAAACCTTCATCTACCACTTCCTAGTAATGTGTCCAAGGACAAGTTTTTTCATCTCTTTCACCTGCATTTTCATCTACTATAAAGTTGAAAAGAGTTACTGTACCTACCTCATAGGAAGGAGGTGATAATTAAAAGGCAGAGTGCCAAAGAATCGATGCCTTCAAATTGTGGTGCTGGAGAAGACTCTTGAAAGTCCCTTGGACAGCCAGGTAATCAAACCAGTCAATTTTAAGGGAAATCAACCCTGAATATTCATTGGAATAACTGATGCTGAAGCTGAAGCTCCAGTATTTTGGTCATCTGATGTGAACAACTGACTGACTGGAAAAGACCCTGATGCTGGGGAAGAATGAGAACAGGAGGAGAAGAGAACAACAGAGGATGAGATGGTTGGATGACGTCACTGACTCATTGGACATGAATTTGGGCAAACTCTGGGAGATAGTGGTGGACAGAGGAGCCTGGTATGCTACAGTCCATGGGGTCACAAAGAGTCAGACATGACTGGGCGACTGAACAACAACAATAATTAAACATCACTTTGCCGAAAAAAATCTGTGTAGCCAAAGCTATGGTTTTTCCGGTAGTCATGTATGGATGTGAGAGTTGGACCCTAAAGAAGGCTGGGCAACAAAGAACTTTTGAATTGTGATGCTGGAGAAGACTCTTTGAGAGCCTCTTGGACATCAAAGAGATCAAACTAGTCAATCCTAAAGGAAATTAGCTTTTGAATTGTGATGCTGGAGAAGACTCTTGAGAGCCTCTTGGACATCAAGGAGATCAAACTAGTCAATCCTAAAGGAAATCAGCTCTAAATATTCATTGGAAGGACTGATGCTGAAACTGGAGCTACAGTATACTTTGGCTATCTGATGCTAAGAGGCAACTCACTGGAAGAGATCCTGATGCTGGGAAAGATTGAAGGCTAAAGATGAAGTGGGAGGCAGAGGATAAGATGGTTAGATAGCATCATGATTCAATGGACATGAATTTGAGCAAACTCTGGGAGATAGTGAAGGACAGAGGAGCCTGGCATACTTAGTCCATGGGGTGGAAAAGAGTTGGACACGACTTAGCAACTGAACACCACCAACATATAATGAAACAAGATATTCTGGCTACTGCTTGGCATAGATGGGAGCTGTTACATTCCTGATGTAGCTTATGTTATTTTATGATACACTACTGTAAAATTTTTTGACTAAGTGGGCATAGACCTGAAAACTGAAAAATTAGGTACGATCGATAGAAATTCAAAAGGTGACCTTTGGAACTGATGTCAGTTTCATTCTATTAGTGATTAATGTCATCGAATAAGTTGTAAATATATAAACCAGTAACTAAAAAGGTTGGGGAAAACTTCTTGTTTAGGCAAGAGAGAAAAAAAAAAACCTTACTAAAATTGTACTTTCATTTGCACATGTGTGACATTTCAGTGTGCTGTTCAGTGAATTCCTCAGGGTTGAGTTTTCCTAGGGAGGGGTCGTGATCTCCATATGTGTTTAGGAATTCTGCCTAATTAGATATTTAAACTTTTGCATGAGCTTTTAAAAAAGTATATTAATTATTTTATTTTTGGTTGCACTGGGTCTTCATTGCTGTGTATGGGCTTTCTTTAGCTGCCGTTGGGGCTAGTGGTTGCTCTAGGGCTAGTTACTCTTCATTGCAGTGAGTGGGCTTCTCATTGTGGTGGCTTCTTTTGTTGTGGAACATGGGCTGTAGGCATATGGGCTTCAGTAGTTGAAGCACAGGGGTTCAGTAGCTGTGGCTCACCAGCTCTAGGGCATTAGCTCAGTAGTTCTGGTGCACGAGCTTCGTTGTCATGTGGCATGTAGAATCTTTCTGGATCAGGGATCGAACCATGTACCTTGCATTGGCAGTTAGATTCTTCTTTACTGTACTGTCAGGGAAGTCCTTGCATGAACTTTAAAACAGTTTAGTAATGGGAATGCTAGTTGCCTCTTACTGAGCCTTACGAAGGGTCAGGCACTTTACTTGCCTTTAACTTAATTCTCACAAGTTTTTCCAGTGGGTGACTTCTTCCCCATTTTACAGATATAGGCATAGAACCTTGGATGGGGTTAAGTAACTCTTCTGAGATCACATAGCCAGTAAGTGAAGTAGTCAGAACTCAGGCTTGGGCCTCTGATTTTAAAGCCTGTGTCTTGTCTAACAATTGTCAAGCCCACCACATTTTAGTGACTGGGCTGATTGCAGTCAGATGATAAGCTGGTTGTGACTTGCAGTGCCTTTGTTGGAAGATGATGTTTATTTGAACAGAAGGCTTGCATGCATTTGGTCCATCTGCTGAAACAGTTTCTTTTTTCGGTTTGCTTTGTTATTGAACTGGCTTTCTCAATATCAACTAGTTGTCCCACCTATTATATTTTTAATATACAAGAAGTCTTAAGATATTAATAAATTTATATACTAAAGGTGTATGATTTCTCAGAGGCTAATAATAAAATTGTCCACCTTGGTTCTTGCTAACAGAAATACTGTTGTTAGTGAGAGGGTTAAAGTGTTCTCTTGATTGGAACTTTGAGTGCTTTCTGTGTCTCAAGAAGAATTGCTCTTCTGTTGGGATTTTGTGTGTCAAGTATAAATCACTTTACAGTGTTTAAAGGCTTGAAATATTTTCCAGAAAAGGGATCAGACATATTTTGACTTTCCAGTTAGTTCATAGCACTGACGATCTGTGTTCAAAATGGGGTGGAAAAATTTTACTGAGGGCAACATTTTTTCTCTATTACAAAAGGGTAAAGTGTTTCTGTGAAAAATGCTGTGTCTGTATGAAGGAGACACGCACTACAGTGCCCTTTTTCTCGGGGCAGTGAGCCAGGTTTAGGAGCAACAAGAGACTAGAGAAGCTAGCCTTAAAAAAGAAAAATCTCTGAGTCAACTTTTCCTGAATAGAAGCCCCTTTTAGGGCCGTGAAGCAGGTGTGTGTAGCAGCCAGAGCCCCAGAATCGATTTTGGGAACAAAGTTCAGCCCCGAAAACTATAGGGGTGTCCCTGCCCATTTTTCTTGTCTTACCCATCTCTGCCCACTAATATACTGACAGTGCCTGGATAAGGCCCTGACCACACCATGGCTTGAAGCCAGGCCTAAGAGTCCTTCTAGGGTTTTCACCTCAAATATAGACTTGGTAATGATGGCAACAAAACCAGTACCCCCTCCTCCTCTCCCGCAGCTTTACTTCTAGGGTGCTTGGGGTGTCAGCCACAGTAAGCATCATCTTATTTGTCCTCCCTCTTTGGCTAAAAGATCTGGGGTCTCAGGCTAGTTCCAGCCAGAGAAACCATCATGTACTAGTATGTGAATTTGATGTTTATAAAGAAGTGATCTTAGACATTGAAGAAAGAATACCTGCCTCGCTGATCTTGTAGAAACAGCCTGTAGTGGAGAGAACTGACATTTATCAGACTTGATATGTGCCTGGTGCTTTCTCTCTTACTGTTTTATTATTGCTTGGTTTATAAGTGAGAAAACAGAAAGATAAATATATGATATTATTTGTATGTGGAATATAAAAAAAATGGTACAAATGAACTTAATTGCAAAACAAAAATAGAGTCATAGATGTAGAAAACAGTTGTCTTGTTACCAGGGTAAAGGGGGAGGAGTGGTAAATTGGGAGATTGAGATTGATAGGTACACACTTCTGTATATAAAATAGGTAACTAGTGAGGACTTACTGTACAGCACAGGGAACTCTACTCAGTACTTTGTAATGACCTATATAGGGAAAGAATCTTAAAAAAGAGAGTGGATATATGTATATGTATAACTGATTCACTTTGTTCTACAGCAGAAACTAACATAATGTAAATCAACTATTTTGTTATTGTTCTTTAGTTGCTAAGTTGTCCCACTAAGTCAGGTCCGACTCTTTTGCCCCATGGACTATAAACCGCCATGCTTCTCTTTCTGTGGGATTTTCCAGAGAAGCATACTAAAGTGGGTTGCTGTTTACTTCTCCAGGAGATCTTCCTGACCCAAGGGTTGAACCTGTTGACGACTCAGTCGTAAAAAATCTGTCTACTGATGCAGGAGATGCAGGTTCGAGCCCTGGGACAGGAAGATCCCTGGATAAGGAAATCAGCTATACCCTGATAAAATTTTTTTTTAAAAGTGAGGAAAGAGGCTCAGAGAAGGTAGACAACTTACCCAAGATAACACAGCTTTTAAGTGACACGATTTAAGCCCATCCTTTTTCTACCACACCAGGATTTCTCAAACTCAGCACTGGTGACATTGTAGGTTAGATCGTTCCGTGTTATGAAGGCTGTCCTGTACATTATGGGTTGTTTAGCTGCATCCCTGATTTATACCCACAAGATACCTACAGGAACCCCTTCACTTGTGACAAAAATGTCTCCAGACATTGCCAGATGATTCCCAGGGGATGGAAACACCTGAGATGGGGATGTCTGAGAACTGCAGGATGACATACTTCCTACTGCTTTCTTATAATACATTCCTTCTTGTTTAAAAATATGATTGACTTTTGAAAACATACTGAATGTTTTATTAGACTCGGGGTCAGAATTTATTGATATTCAAAGCTTAGTTTAGAAGATGCTGTAGGGTTTCCCTAGTGGCTCCATGGTAAAGAATCCACCTGCCAATGCAGGAGACATGAGTTTGATCCCTGATCTGGGAAGATCATACATGGTGCAGAGCAGCTAAGCCTGTGTACCACAGCTATTGAGTCTGTGCTCTAGAGCCCAGGAACCGCAACTATTGAGCCCACCTGTCACAACTGTGGAAGCCTATGTGCCCTAGAGCCCATGCTCCACAACACGAGAAACCCCCACAATGAGAAACCCAAGCACTGCAACTAGAGAGTGGCCCCTGCTTGCCGCAACTAGAGGAACGCCCACAAAGCAGCAAACACCCAGTACAGCCACAAATAAATAAATAAATAAATAAATAAATAAATAAAATTTTAAAAAAAGAAAATGCTAGAGTATCACCTGCCCAAACTGAGTGATATATTTGCAGGTTAGTGAAATGTCATGTTCCTCTTTTCCTATTTTATTTTTGTGATCTTCTTTCTTGTAGGTCTACAAAGGATTCCTCCTGTTTCACAGTTGTTCTCAACAATCTCCGTGTATTTCTCATATTTGACTGGCTGCTGCTGGTGCACGATTTTCTCCATACCTCCAGTGATATTAAGAAGCCAACTAAAGCTACTCCTTCTCGCCACCGTAACTCTAGCAGCGAGTCTGCTGTAATCCCCAAAACTGTGAAAAGTGGAGTGGTTACCAAGCGGTCTTCCCTTCCTGTGTCCACCGAAAGGCACCTGGAGGTCAAGGTCAACGTAACAGGTAAGTGTATGTAGTTGTGAGTCACTGATTCTTGGTTTCGATTTTAGGCTAATTTTATGTCTTACAGTATGGCTTTTCTGTTGCCTCTGCATTTTGACACGAACACTTAACGTGTTTCCACAATTTGCAGACTAACAACTATTGACTTTCTTGACCTCTGTTTTCAGATGGGAATTGCCTGGTCCACAGTGAAGGCTGCAAGATCTAGTCCCTCTCCTCTGACCACCCCCAATGCCTGTGCCTGGCCTGAGTACCCACCTGGGCAATGGTCTTTTTTCTCAGTGTTAAATCTGGCTTCAATTTTCTGTTTGATCTCCAGGGCCCCAACAGATGTGCCTTGCTGAGTTTAGGCAAAGGTGGTATGTGAAAAATCTCAGTTTAGAAGATAAATAAATGAGGGGATTGGTGCTGGCTTTACAAAAAGAATATTTTCCTTTATAAACAGATTTACCATGGTTTCTGTTAACTAGTAGACTCTCACAGCACATCTGTACATATATGTGTATTTATTGTTATGTTTGTGATATATTCCATCTCCTGCACAGTGATTTGAAAGAATCTGGATAGCTCACAGCATTTAAAATAGATTTAGTTTCAAAAGTTCAGTTTATACATGTTTTTTGATGAAAACAAAAAGTAAATTTGCCATGTCCATGTCCAGATGAATAGAAAACTGTCTGTATCTACCAATTTAAAAAGCAAAAAAAGTGGTCCACATTCTTTGTAAACAACCCTGAACATTTACACAGATATGACCTGGTGCTCTTTGCTGCCTGACCAACATCAGTATCTGAATCTGCTTCCTGGGAATTTAAAACAAATCGTCGCTTGGAGAAGGAGTGGTTTCCCGAGCTTCTTAGTGTCTGTTCTGCCTCCCAGGAGACCTAGCATACAACTACATTCTAAAGAGAGAAAGTGCGTCCCGGTCTTATGTCTGTGCAGTGCTGTGCTGGCTCAGCTGCGCCTGGCCAGATCTGCAGGACCTGCTCAGGGTGTCAGCAGAATGTCGACAGACATTCTGGACATCCGATCTTTCTGGCTGACCTGTCAGCCCCCCACCCAGTAAACATGCTGTCTGGTTTACGACATCTGCTGCTTTCACTTTCCAGCTTTGCCCTAGTTGACGACACTGTTCTTTCCAGGCACGGAGTTTGTGGTCGTTGAAGATGTATCTTGCTTCGATACCAATGCCATCATTCTCAAAGGCACCACTGTGCTCACCTACAAGCCCCGATTTGTCGATCGGCCCTTTTCAGGAAGTTTGTTTGGCATTGAGGTAAGAAGTCTTTGTGTTGATTGAAGCACTCAATGTTTGGCTTAAGAGAAAAGCAGCTGGAGAATAATTTTACCTCCTAAACTTTCCTTCAGGGTGATAATCAATGGGACCAGAGGACCCTTGCCCTCTTCTCTTCATTTCCTCCTCACATCTACCAGGTTATTCTAATGTGTGAATTCAGGCCCCCAGGGTCAGGCTGTGAATGTGTGGAGGGACTGTACCTCTTTCTCTTAGACCCAGTCTTCCTCAGAACATTCAAGGAAGCTCTTTCAATCCCCCTTTCCGCAACAGGCTCCTTGTCATGTCCTCCTGGTTCTGTGGGTCTAGGCCCTGGCTAATTTGTGAGCGTGAGGAAGGGGTCCTTGTTTTTCCTGCATCCCCTTCCGCACATTGAGTGCTTGTCCTCGCGAAGACCTAGAGCTTTCTGGTTATAGAAACGTGATACTAAAGTGTTAGAGATTTTCCATGTTATCCTTCCAGGAATATCTGATCTATTAAAGGGCACCTCTGGAGAGTCAGCCCTGACCTCAAGGGCTGAATCTCTAATTGTGATGCTCACGGCTCTGATTCAGTCTCGTGAAGGAGATAATTTGGATTGGGATGGCTTTTGTAGCCAGAAGATTACGTTCTACAATATTATGCAAAAAACTGCTCTGTCTCTTCTTAAGCCAGGATATGTGGAGACAGAAGGAGAAAGGAGACAGAAGAAGAAATGAGGCAGATTATTATCTCCTCTGGCAAATATTCTTGTCACTGATCTCCGCTAATATTCCTCTTGTTAGAATACTAGAATATTTAGTCAGAGTTACTCACCATTTGCTTCCCATTTATGATTAAACTTTTTCATGCCCAGTTCTTTCCAGTGTTATTTCAGAGGTTAAGGGAGCAAAAATTGTTTTCACCCTCAGCAGCAGATGGTACTTTTTTTTCTGGTCAGAAATAGCTGAATACAACCTGTGGAGATTTTACTTCCCTACCACTTGTATCTCTCATGTAAAGGAACCTCAGTTTGAGAGGAAGGATCTGCCTGCTAGCATGATGTGACTTGGTCCTGAAATTGCAGTTCGTCTGCTTTCCAAGCCCCCACAATACCAGCTTTGAATGGGAGTTTGGTGATTGATTAATGAACTGTCAGGTACAACTGGGTTTTGTGTAGCAGAAGCCGGGGAAGAAAAAGGGAAAATGGAACTTTCCTGCTCCAGAATCTTAGAAAAACTCCATGGCAAAATATTCGAGCTTCCTGGAAACTCCTTTCAGTCTTGTTCTTAAGGTGGCACAGTTAGATCTGAATTTTAAGACTACCCTAATACATCCTTGGGGGAGAATTTGTAAAGAAGGCAAAATGATGTTGAATACAGCAGAGGACTTTGGTGTCACATGCTTTTCAATGGCTCTAGAAAATGCCAGGCTTCCCTGGTGGTTCAGACGGTAAAGAGTCTGCCTACAGTGCAAGAGACCCAGGTTTGAACCCTGGGTTGGGAAGATCCCCTGGAGAAGGAAATGGCAACCCACTCCAGTATTCTTGCCTGGAAAATCCCGTGGATGGAGGAGCCTGGTAAGCTACAGTCCATGGGGTTGCAAAGAGTTGGACACGACTGAGCAACTTCACTTTCTTTTTCCTTCTTTAGAAAATGCCAGAAAAGAGGAAGGAGCTCGGGAGACTAAAGCGGTGCTTTCTTCTTCCTCCTCTGCTCTTGCTGAGCATGCAGCATAATATGGTCCTGGAATGGGTGTCCTACGTCCCTATTCTCTCCCCATAAACATGTTTTATCTTATTTTATTTTTATTAGAACATCTCAAACATGCACAAAGTAAACAGAATAATATAATGAACCCCTGTGTACCTTTGACATAGCTTCAATGATTATTTATTTTCACTTATGATAGTAACAACTATATTACATGAAATTAGGGAATGGGTGGGAAAAACCACTTATCATCACCTATCTCACCTACATAATCTGTCTTGACATTTTGATGTGTTTCTTCCCCTATAGTTTTGGCATAATGTTATTTTGATTGGGCTGCTTTTTCACAACTGGTAGTGTAACTGTTTTCCTACCTTTCTAGGTAGTCTTTTAAACTGTTACTTTTAAATGGCTGCAAAATACTCTGCTTAGTAGATGGGGAATATCTTGAAAACACTGATTCTCTTAATTTTTTTTTGTTGTTGTTTAGTGTTAAATGATGTTTCGGAGAATTTTTCTATATTTTGATTACTTCCTTGGACTAGTTCCCAGCAAGAGTAGGATTATTGGATCAAAGGGTGTGAGATTTTTAAGTTTCTTGTTATGTGTTGCCAAACTTGCCTTTCCCACGGGTGAAGCACTGTACTGCTGGCAGCGGGTGAGGGCATCAGCCTCACTCTTCACAGTGTTCATTTCAGTGGTTGTTACGGGTCTTTTATAGGAAAGGACTGATGGCTTCCGAGATGGCCCCTTTTTCTTCTGGTGGTGAGACTTCCTAAATCAGATATTAATTCACGCCATATTTCATTTCATCCTCTAGGTGTTTTCGTGCCGACTAGGGAATGAGCACGACACAGCTCTTTCAATCGTCGATCCAGTACAAATTCATGTGGAGCTGGTGGGAAATTCTTCTTACCAGAATAGTTCTGGATTGATGGATGCATTCAATAGCGAAGATTTTCCTCCCATCTTAGAGGTAATGATGACAAGTCTGGATAACACACCGAGACTCTCCCAAACACTTCCCTTTACTTGAACTACTTATTTGCTCTGCCAGACTCAGCAACAGTTCCATTACTTCAGCAAATACAAAATACATGTGACGTTGTCTCTGCCCTAGAAGATCTTTCAGTCTTGTGGAGGATGAAAGACTTTTTGATTGTTTGGTATGATCTTGAAGTTCAATGAAAGTTTATAGAAAGCAGAGTTCAACATAGTTAGGGATATTGATTGTGAGTGAAACAAAAGAACAGTCTGATCAGGGGAAGTAGGATGTAAATAGGCTAAGAAGGAGAGCAGTTCTGAATTAGGAAGCAGCAAAGTCAGGGGTAGAAGTGGCCCAGCAGAGCTGAGACTGAGGGAGGTCTCACTGCAAGAAGTCTGGGGACGTGAGGAGGAGGGAGAGGAGAAGCAGAGCAGGTGAAGCCAGGCCAGGACCGGTTAAGGCTTGGATGTTTTATTTCTTTGGTAGAGAGGGAGTAATTAATTCATAATCCATTTGAACTGTAGGAGGTTTGAAAGAGAAAAGCCATTCTGATTTTGAAGCTTCAAAAAAAAAAAAAAAAGATAAAAGTAAGTAATAAATAAAGCACTATACCCAGACTTCAAGCCGACATCCCATTTTAAAGTGGTCTTGTGTTGGTGTCTGTACAGCTTTTTCCACTGGTAGCTGAATTGCTCACGGCTGAGGAACACCAGATTTTCAGAAATACTAGTATAGAACTTGACTCATTTAAGGCTCTGTTTGAATAAAGGAGAGAGAAATTTTGTAGGGCGGTCAGTTGGCTTCAGAAATTTAAAAAATTAAATAGATCAAAGCAAAATGGATTAACCGAGTGTTACTAATTGGCTCTGGAGGAGGCAAGGATTGCCCTCCTCTGATTCTCTGCTTTGATGATTGTATATACTTGTAAGAAAATCATTCTACCGAAATATTAAGTGCTCTAGTAATTTTGCCTGCTTAGTATTTTTTGTTTGGTACAGTTTTGTGACATTGGACCTCACATCTGAGACATCGTACCTCATGGCTATTCGTGCTTGATTTCACGATCTCCCCAGTCTTCAAAATGAGGAAGTGTCTGTTGTATTTCTAGAACCAGAATTAGACTGGTACCTCTGAGAGGTGTGGATACAGAAGCCACTGCAGCTTTAAAAACTGCCACCTTTTAAATCTTGTTAGATTCAGTTACAGGCCCTGGATATCAGACTCTCCTATAATGATGTTCAGCTGTTTCTTGCCATTGCAAAATCCATCCCAGAGCAAGCTAACGCTGCGGTGCCAGACGCGGCGGCCTTGGAGGCCAGCTCCGTTCACAGCTACCTTCCCGGTGCTTCTCGAGGGGGCGAGGAGGTCAGAGAAGGGACAAGACACACTTTAGACCCTGTCTTGGGTAGGTATTTAACCATAAAACCTGTCCAACCTTCCCCCAAACTCCCTGTCTTCGTAATGTTTAAGATTTTCTTTTGCACAGTTAGATTATTCAGGGTATAATTGTCTGTCATTAAGTATAATTGTTAAGTCATAAGTATGACTAATTCTTATTTTAAAAATAAAGAAAACACCCCAAACCAACTATTCTAACCTACAGTAATTTTCCTTTTACCATTTCTTCTAGAGATACGGGTAATGCTAAGGTTTAGTTTTAAACTTTGTTTTCTTCCAAAAGTATATGGATAATAATACTGAGTTTCAGTTTTAAGCTTTTAAAACACAGCCAATATAGGGAAAAGACTTAAAAACTTCAGGGTATACTTGATAACTTCCAATTAGGAGCTCATTTTTGCCTATAGAAGTGAAATGACTGAATCACCAGTTTCTGATTTCTTTTTTTGCTTCAGCTAGTCTGTGGGTTAATTTACATTAAATTACTTATAAAAATATATATATCATTTCCTCCTGTAGAGTTACAGCTGGCTAGACTGCAGGAGCTGGGGTTTAGCATGGATGATTGCCGCAAAGCTCTCTTGGTGTGTCAAGGTAATTTGAATAAGGCTTTTTCCTTTATCTATTATCTTGATAAACAATAATGTTTGATAATGTTTATCTTTCCATTTCCTCCCGTACTCCCATGGATGCCTTAGTGAGCTGGAGTGTGTTTTGAAAGCCCTCTGTGGTTTTCTGTGGGCTGAATATAATCTTGGGCCAGTAATAATGGGATGCAGTATTTTATGGTGGACGTAAATGTGGGCTCTGGAGCCGATCGACTGCTTGGCTTCAGATCCTTGCGCTGTTCCCTACTGGCTCCTTGTTAGTGACCTGGGCAAGTTTGACCTCTCTGTTCCAGTGCTTCCTTACCTGCACAAGTGAGGATAGAAGACCTCCCTTGGTCCTTTGTTGCTAAGAAGTACTCTATGCAAAACACACAGCATGTGCCTTGTAGATGTTAGCACTGTTGCTACTGGGAGTGGTAATGGTGGTGACAGTGATCAGCTTGGCCATTGATCAAGCTCCTCTGTGCCTAGTCATGTTTCTTGTCAAATCCTCATTCCCTTGGTGGTGGCGTTCTTAGCCTCACTTCAGATGGGGAAGCTGGCCCAGATGGTTTGGTAAGATGGTTTCGTCTCAGGCTATGTTTTAGCGTGGGGCTGGGATGGGTTTAAAGCCAGGTGTGCCCATCTTCCTTCCACTGTGTCACACCACCTCTCCACCTCCCTCTGTGCTCTCCTTGTCTTTAAATCAGAGATAGAACAAAAACTGTATTTTTTCCTAGTCTTGATACTTGGGTGTGTATCCTCCCTTTTTATTTCTCTATGTACTATATACAGGCGTACCTTGGAGATTTTAGGGGTTTGGTTCCAGACCACCACAATAAAGAAAATACTGCAGTCAAGCAAGTCACACACAATTTTTGATTTCCCAGTGTGAATAAAAGTTGCTTTTACGCTGTATTGTAGTCTGTTGGGCATGCAGTACCATTATGTCTATAAGAACAGTGTATGTATGCTGTTGGGAAAATGGTGCTGATAGACTTGCTCGACACAGGGTTGTCACAAATCTTCAATTTGTAAGAACTGCAGTATCAGCAAAGTGCAATAAAACAGTATGCTCATGTATCCAACAAATACACACACACACACACACACACACACACACACACACACACACACACACACATATATATGTGCATGTGGTATTTATACATGTTGGTAGATTGTATTGCAAATACTTTATAGAATTACAGTTACAATTTTATTATTAATGTAATATTGGCAGCATTGTACCTTGTCATTAAAATTATTTGTAAACGATTCTTTTACATTGATCTGAGGACGTATTATAATTTATTCTTCAGCTGTTTTTCATTCTTTCATTATTATACACAATTCTGTTATTAATATTTTTGTGTATGAACTTTTGTCTACATCTCTTTTAGTTTCTTCAGTAGTGAGATTTAAAAAAAAATTTGTTTATTTGACTGCACCAGATCTGTTTATTTGACTGTACCGTTGGTACAAAGTGTCTTCGATGTTTGATATGGCATTTGGGACTTTTTATTTGTCACACGTGGGATCTTTTAGTTGCAAACTCTTAGTTATGGCATAAGGAGTCTTAGTTGCAGCATGCAGGATCTAGTTCCTTCACCAGGAATTGAACCTGGGCCCTCAGCATTGGGCACTCAGAGTCTTAGCCAGTAAAGCACCAGGGAAGTCCCTCTTTGGTAGTGACACTTGAAAGTGAAAGTGAAAGTCTCTCTGCTGTGTCCGACTATACAGTCCATGGAATTTCTCCAGGCCAGAATACTGGAGTGGGTAGCTGTTCCCTTCTCCAGGGGATCTTCTCAACCCAGGGATCAAACCCAGGTCTCTCGCATTGGTGGCGGATTCTTTACCAGCTGAGCCACCAGTGAGACTTAGTATAGTAAAAACTGGATCAGAGGATATAGATATTTTTTGAGGCTCTTTACTTGAGTCGACAAATCTTTTTCTGAAAGGATTGTACCAGGTTAAACTTTGACCACTTGTGTGGTCTTATCACATGATTGTTTGCATTACCTATCCTTTACCTCTGAAAACAATTGGAAGGTAGGCCTAATTATCTTATGTGCTTTAATTTCATTTTTTCCTAATCATCATTGCTTTTGGTGTAATTAACTTCATATCCCTTAATGTTTACATTTCTTTTTTTTTACTCTTTAACAATTCAAACACATTAAAAAATTTCTAAGAGCCTTTGGGATTTTTGTTACTCTTTATTTCTTTAGTAACTGAGGTTTAGTTCCACCAATAATAAAGACGATAATACCAACTAATGTTTATAGAGCCTCTGTTATATGCCAGACTCTGATCTGAGAACCTCCCAGGTGCTCACTTGTTTCTTCCTCATGGCAGTCCTATAAGTGGGTGCTGTTGGGCAGGGAGAGACCAAGCAACTTGCCCAAGAGCCGATATCTAGTCAATGCAGGATCAGAAGCCAGGCCATCTTGCTCCAAAGCCTATGCCCTGAACCACCCGCCACTGTTACATGCACTGGCCTCTGGTAATTTATAAGTATGGGGCTGCATTGCTTTGCTTTTCGGTTCTGTTCTTTTTTAGCTTTGGCAACCTGATTGTGTTCAGGGGGCTGTTGTTTAATAGTTTTACAGTACATACATGGTTGAGAAGACCAAGTATGTACAACCTAAGACCTTTGAGAACAGTTACAAAGCAGCACATCAAAATATGCAGAACTACATAGTGAAGATTAAATGCTTGAGTACCGAGTGGCACCTGGAAGTTTGGATCCTCTCCATTCCTCTTTCCTCCTCTCCTCCAGCAGATGTCACAGTAGAGGAAGGATGGCTTCCTGCAAGCATTTTGAGCCAGGTCATATGGTAAACTTGAGTAGAGGTGTGTAGTAAAGAGGGCCTTGTTCTGTTCGCTAAAAAAGCAGGATTCCTGTTATTGTGCTTCGTTTTCCTTGTTGTGTCTGAGACTACAATCTGGCATCAAGGTTCTCTTGGACTGTCTAGTAGGTCCCTATCAAATGTATTTCTCTGTTTCCCCTGTGAGTTGCTTGAGTAGCAGTGGGAACAGGTCCAACTGATCACCTTTCGATTTCACAGGTCAGCTGAAAAAAGCAGCCAGTTGGTTGTTCAAGAATGCTGAACCCCGGACATCCCTTTCCCTGGCCTCCAACAGTCAGCAGAGCCAGGGGGCGGCGCCGGCCCGGTTGATCTCGGGCGTGGAGATGAAAGCTGAGAGCGTGTGTATCTGCTTTATCGATGACTGCATGGACTGCGACGTGCCTCTAGCCGAGCTCACCTTCTCCCGTGAGTGATCGCCCAACCCTTAGGTTCATCTCCAAGATCGGCAGCGACTGCCATCTTTTCTTCATGTTACTGATGCTCTTCCATACCTAATAGCATTAGCATGGGAGAGATTTAGATAATGGTTTTACATGTGTTTCCTATTATTTTTATTTTAAAGACATGTATTTATTTGCTATATGTGGCCTTCAGACTGTGGGTTGGGAATAACAGAAATTGTCGTTGATGAAATTTCTTTTCTGTTAACATGTGTCCATGCTTAATCACTAAGTCGTGTCTGGTTCCTTGTGACCCCATGGAGTGTAGCCCACCAGGCTCCTCTGTCCATGGAATTTTCCAGGCACAAATACTGGAGTGGATTGCCATTTCTTCCTCCAGGGGATCTTCCTGAGCCAGGGATCAAACACGTTTCTAATGTCTCTTGCATTGACAGGTGGATTCTTTACCACTATGCCACGTGGGATGTGCCACATGGGAAGCCATTTTTCTATAAACAGCCCTAGTTAAATAATTCCTGATCTCTCCATTTTGTTTATGTTTTCATGTCTCTAAAGATTGTAGTAGTTGTTGTTTAGTTGCTAAGTCGTGTCCAACTCTTTGTGACTCCATGGCTATAAGCCACCAGGTTCCTTTGTCCTTTGATTTCCCAGGCAAGAATACTAAAGTGGATTTCTGTTTTCTTCTCCAGGAAGGTGGGTTGCCATCTTCCCTGAGCCAGGGATCAAACCCATGTCTCCTGCATTGACAGGTGGATTTTGTACCTCTGAGCCACCTGTGGCTTCAGGGAAGCCCAAAGATTGTAGGGAGTACTGTTATTAAAGGGATTTAAAAGATAAGCATAGAAAATAGGGTTTCCATGCTATATGTCTTTTGAAAATTAAAAAATACAGAGGCTTGTTAGAAAGCTCACCCCATTGTCTCCTCCATAGGGCCGGATAGGAAGAGAAACCCTGTTCTGAGAGCTGTCCCTCAGCAGAGTGGGTACGACTGTAGAAGGGCTTTATCCTCAATCACATCATTGTAAGCCATGTTAGATGCAGCCACTAAAGAGAGTAAAGGAAAATCTCACTTCTGTGTTTACTTTTAATTTTCCATCATTTTGATCTTGTAAGTCACTTTTCCCTTCAAGGAAAATTCGATTCTGGAGATTTTGTTCAACCTTTTACACACTGTTTGGGAGTTTTCCTTTTCTCTGTGTTTCTAGGCACCAAAGGGCCACTTGATTAAAACTAACAATGGGAATTTTGACTGTTTGCGTGAGTGTCTTTTCTGCAGAAGATAATTTTTAATTTTCTATGGTAATCTTAACATTTTGAGCTAATATTTATGAGAGCATAACTGTTCTCATTACACTACCTTCTTTTCAGATATTCAGGAAAAAATGTGTTTTTTATGTTCCCTGTTGCTGGGGCTGGGATTGGTGGGGAGACAAATGAGGCATTTACCTTATTCACAACATTTAAAGGGCAACCACGAAAAGCAGTGATTAAGATAAATGATACTTTAATGCAATATTTTTAAAAGTCAGAATTTATTAAATAAAAATCCCATGATGAGCAAAATATCAATCTTTTGTGTGTTCTCCTAGAAGATCATTAGTATTAATTATAACTAATAGCTCTTTGGGCTTCTCAGTTGGTGCTAGTCATAGAGAACCGCCTGCCATTGCAGGAGATTTAAGAGATGCAGGTTCAATCCCTGGGTCAGGAAGATCCCCTGGAGGAGGAAATGATAACCCACTCCAGTTTTCTTGCTTGGAGAATCCCATGGACAGAGGAGCCTGGTGGCTTACAGTCCATGGGGTTGCAGCGAGTTGGACACAACCGAAGTGACTGTGCACAACAGGTCTTTATTTTTATTATGATAACATCAGTTTATAACACACAGCTTTCTTGTGTACAAGCTTGTATTTCACTTCTGTATACACCACAGTGTGCTTACTACCGAAAGTTTAGTTTCTCTCCATCACCATACAGTTGATCACCCTTGCTCCCACCTCTGTCCCTGCCCTCTGCATCTTTGTGTTTATTTTTCTAACATCTCTTTAATAATATGCTGTGTCAGCAACAGAAAGTTTTGGTTGTTTCCGCCCCACTGCTGAAATAAGATTTGCTTTCATTGCAGGTCTGAATTTTCTGCAGCATGTAAGAACTAGCCCCGAAGGCCACGCCCACTTCACCCTTTCTGGAGATTATTATAACCGTGCTCTGTCAGGTCAGTATAATTATCACGGGATTTAAAACATACACTTTAGCATTTGCCTGGGCCTATCTCTACATAAATCTTATATGAAGCAAAGGAGTGGGACAGGACAGGGAAAGATGAAAAATAAGGGCACGAGCACAAAAGGTACAGATTTTTTTCATATTTCTAAAAATATATTTGGTATGTCACAATGGAATTATTTAAAGTTTTCATAGTTAATTCTTTTTGATCCTGGAGTTTGGCTCATTTCAGAACATGAAATTGCTCAGTAGTGAAGGATCACTCGTCTGGCCCTGACAGTAGCTAACTTTCAAGTGAGATTTAAGTCCACACACATTCTAAACTTAAGGCCTCGTCACTTCCTACTGGGCTTGTCTCATTAGAAGAGCACTGAGTCAGTGACAGCACATAACCTGCCTTGCATGCGTACATACTGTCGCTTCAGTTGTGTCTGACTCTGTGTGACGTTATGGACTGTAGCCTGCCGGGTGCCTCTGTCCTTAGGATTCTGGCTAGAATCCTAGAATACTGGAGTGGATTGCCATGCCCTCCTCCAGGGGATCTTCCCTGCCCAGGAATTAAACCTGAATCTCTTACATCACCTGTGTTGGCAGGCAGGTTCTTTACCATTAGTGTCACCTGGGAAGCTTGTAAATGAGTATAACCTGCCTTTTGTATTCCCTAAAGTAGAACGTGGTTGCTCAGGGCAAGCTGTTCTTCCAGAGACATAAACCTGGATACAGTGCAAGTCATTTTCGTATTTCTTTCCTTTCACTGGAAAGACCAGAGTAAGGATCTATGCAGATGGACATTCAAGAACAATCCAGTAACAGGGCTGAGCAGTTTGAGCTGCGACATTCTTTACCTTTAAAGAGAGTTCTTTGTAGGTCTGGACAGAGTAAACCAAGTAGTGTTGAGGAGCGGTTGCTGCCTTTGAAGTCAGTGGAAAATTAAGCTTCCAGTGTGTTTTGCTGCCTGCTAATTGTTCTAGAGTACGTGTCATATTCAATTTTATATGTTAGTTAACATTCTCCCTTCTCTGTTCTGGATTCACTTAAAGGCCACACTCTTTTTTCCTAATTGTTCAAAATGTTTAACTTCAGAATAATGGTCCCAGCCCTACTAGTTGAGAGAAAGTTTTACAGGGCATATGGTAGCTATTTTTTTTGAGAATCATTTATTTTCCCAGAGCAAATATTGCTTACTTTTACAGTTGCAGGAACACATTCAGGTCACTAAGCACTAAATGGCGTGAGGAGATGAACGTACCAATGTTAAGCTACATGTTAGATTGGATTTGTATTAGTAAATCACCTCATCTATGGCCAGTGGATTGTGTTTAGGGAAAAATTAACTGGTTTTGAAAAGCCATCTTTAAAACCACAGCAAGATACCATTTTTCTCATCCAACAAATGAACAAAAAGGAAGTGTGACAGACCTAAGTATGGTGAAGATATGAGCCATAGAAGTGTCATTTCCTACGGTCAGAGTTGTAAATTGGGACAACCACTTTTGAAAACAATTTGACGTGACCTAGAAGCGTACTTGGCAACCCTTCAACATACTTCTTCTAGATCTGTGCCCTTGAGAGTCTCCTATGTGTCCTAGGAAACAAGTGAAAAAGACTGCTTCTAGTAGTGGTCTTCCAAATAGCAGCAAAGCTGGAATCAAGTGCAGTATCTCTTAGCGGTAGAATAGATAAAGTGGTATGTTCATAAGTGGATTGGAACTCAGTGGTGAAAATAATGTGCCACAGATATATGGCATCAATGTGAGCGGATCTCAAAGACATGTTATTGATCAAAAATAGAAACTTGCAAAAGAATACACACAGTTGGATTCTATTTATGTGAAGATCCCCTACATTAGCAGGACACACTAATGTATTTATTCTTCAGAAATGTATGCATGGGTGGTAAAACTACAAAGAAGAACCCAGGAATGATTAAAAATTCAAGCTAATGGGGTCAAGTGGGAGAGGTTTGGTGGGGAGTGATACTCAGGAGCTTCAAAAGCACGTATAATGTTCTGTTTCATAAGCTGAGTAGAGGGTACATGAGCGTTTGCAGTGATTTTATTCTTTAAACCATACATAAATGTTGTTTAAATATACCTTTTGTACATATGACACATTTTAAGATGAAAATTTCGAAAAACTTAATGAATTGCCAAATATACCTATTTATTCAACCAGTGATTCTTGATGTAAGAAGGTAATTAAATTTAATAGTTACTTCAGCCACTGACACTATTTTTCCAACCTGAGTCTGAGACTTTTTTGAGTGTATCAGAAATGGGGCTTGCCTGCTCTTTAATAGAAAAGGGCACCTCCCGCCTGCCTGCCTTCCCCCCACCTCTGGAAGACCATGGTTGTGGTGTATATGTGTTCTACTGCCTATGTCCTTGAGACAGCATAGACATCTGCAGGATAACCTGCAGCTAAAGAGGGTGCCTTCTGCGTGAAATCAAGTTGGAAATAGAAAGCTGTTATCCATAGTATGTCCACTTGTGAACGGTGTTCCCCTGTAAACTCTTGGTATCTGCTGAGCAGATGTCTTATTTCCTGTGTTCTGCTAGGCTGGGAGCCATTTATTGAGCCCTGGCCATGCTCCGTATCCTGGCAACAACAGGCCGCTAGTCGTCTCCATCCTCCTCGACTGAAGCTGGAAGCCAAGGCCAAACAGCGCTTGGATGTCAACATCACCTCTGTGCTAATTGGTGAGTGAAAGTTGTCTTTTGAACACTGGTACCCTTCTGTGCATAAATCCCTTGTCTGGAAGACTGTTAATTCTGGTTTAACAATTACTTGGGCCTGTACCAGACGTCACTTACTCCTCACAGCTGCTTTCCTGATAAACCCTAACTTGGCCTTATGGTGCTCCTCACCCAGTTTTTCCAGAGGTGGCATCCCACGCTGGTCCTCTCGGTGCTCAAGCAAGAGTTATGCCCTGTAAGAAATACCCATGTCCATGACGAACTTTCTCCCCATGATGCTTGGTCACTGGGGTTTATTAAATGTCCTAGAAGTGAGTTTAGATTCATTTCTCTCACCCTATTCACAGAATAATTCTTGAAATGTATGATTTTGATTGTCTTTAGAGCAAGGTCAGTTGTCTGTGCTGTTTCTCATCAATTACTCTGTTGGTGTAATTCTAAAAATCACCGGGTTAACGGATTGTCAAGCTAATGGCATGAACTCTGAAAGTGTCTTTGAGAGCACTGAAATGTACACTCCTGGATTCGATGTAGTGAGTCAGAATCTTGTCCCTATACTTGTCCTTATATCAGAAGAATAGTAAATTATCACACAGTGAGATAGCGCCTTTGTTCACCATGAAACCTACTCACTGTTTGAGATACTGATCTGTAAGCTCTGATTTTTGGTAACACTGTAGTGTCTTGAGTGATAGTAACACATGCTACAGTTGTGCCTCAGTATCCAAAGGGATTGGTTCCAGCACCACACTCCCTGCCCCTCGCCTCCCCCGCCCCCGTCCACATCTGTGTTGCTTAAGTCCCTTGTGTAAAATGGCCTAGTACGGTGAATAGAGTGGGCCCTCCACATCTGCCTGCGGAGCCCGCAGACATGGAGGGCAGACTGTCCTGCAGATTTGTGAACTTTGTTCAGGGTATCTGTTGGGTTGAGTCTCGTAGAATATCCATTGGTTATTCCCTGTCAGAGTTAAGAGAATGTGTAGTGAAATGAGACCAGGAGTTTATTGATCCCCAGATTTTAAAAACACTGTTTTACATTTGTAGGTTTCATTAATATGAGCAATGTAATGGTAAATTGATCTCATGATTCTTCTATATTATTTTGGCTTCTATGTTATTTCTTATATAATTTGTTCATCTGGAAATTTAGATGAAGTTTGGGAAAGTGTTTTGAAAAGCCATGGTAAATAAGAGCTTACCTCAAACAAAAGAGTTCTATTGATATATTTCTTATGAGTATTTAATTTAAAATGTCTAATTAAAAATATCCTCTAAAAACCATTCTTGTCATTGGTAAAGCTGTTTTATTTTTTTAACCTTTAATTTCTTATTTCTAAAATTGTGCTGAAATCCAGAAACACTGCTGTGACCTCTTAGTGTTTAAAGAAATATAATTTCTGTAGCCAAATACTGGAGCTGAAAACCAGAAACTAATCATCCTTGTTTTAAAAAGTGTGATATTAAAAAAAAAAGTGTGATATTTTAATTAGTAAAGAAAGTCTTTATCCAAGTGTGGTACATAATAAGTTTGTTAACCTGCTCTTCCTGTTATAATTCTCCTGTTGAAAAAGTAAAGCCACTTCTGGAGAACTGTCAGCTGGATTTCAGCCTCCTGAGTTTGGTGGCCTCCTAGCTGGTCTTTCTTCCTCCAAACCCTGCCCCTTGGCATGGCATGCCATGCTCTTCACAAAGGAACTTGTTCTCTTTCCTAGATTTCTTTGCTATATCCTCCGTACCCCAGCATGTTGTACCAGAGTCACACCACAGTATTCTGTGTTCCCTAAGTGTGATGTGTGCCTTCATATCTTAAAGTCTTTGCATGTGCTGTTCTCTCTGCCTGGAATATCCTGTCTAGTCCTATTGGTAACCCTACCTGCTTCAAGACCCAGAACAAAGGTCCTCACGTCTCTGGTGATTGCCATGTACTTGGCTGTGCGCTCCTCCACTTCCGCCAATGCAGAATAAACCTTCCCCTGTTACATGCTCCCATAGCATTTTGTTTGTATCTTTCTTTTAGCTCCTTTCACATTGTGGGATAGTTTTGTGGTGACGGTTGTTTTGCTAACGTTCATTTCTTTCAGTGGAGCATGAGGTTCTTCAAGAAACCAGCTTTCTCAGAATCTAGCATAGGGCCCCGCATTTAGGCAGGCATTTGATAAAAGCTTGTTTTGCTGAATTGAATTGGCCTGACTTGAACTCTCAATCTTTACCACTTGTGTTCTCAATACCTTTGGGGAATTTTTCCTAGACCAATACATAAGTACCAAGGAATCGTGGATGGCAGATTACTGTAAACAGGACAAGGAAGTAGACCCCACCCCATCTGAAGACTGGATGGGCTCGTCAGTGGATCCTCCATGCTTTGGACAAAGTAAGATTTTTCTCTACACATGTGTGACTAAATCACCTTTGACCCCAATAGCCATGTTTCAGTGAGAAATTAAAATAGAACCATCATTTTCTATGGAAAACCTACAGGAAGTTCTGACTGCCTTCTACAGTTGTTTTAGTCTGTGGAAGGGACTTTCTTTTTCTGGCACAACACGCTGAACTTTTCCTCTCAGCTCTCATTCCACCATTGTGGGAGAAGAAGGACTTGCCCTGCACCGTTCCTCAATTCCGGTCACATGGCACATAAACTGGGGTACCTGGAAATGCACTGGGGTGGCCGATGGTCAGTTTGTATTTTGCTCAGCAGAACAGTTTAATTGACTGGGCTTTGGGCCTCGATCTTGAAGAACATCTTTTCAAGTTTCTAAATCTAAAGATTAGAGAGTTTGGATATATTCTTGAAGAGGGAGGGCGGGCTCCCACGTGGAAGCAATTGTTTCAAGGGGGGGCCTGTACTATAAAGGAGAAAAGAATTGAATGCCCAGCCTCTGAAAGATAGAGAAGTCAGTGTGTTCTCTGTTAACAATGTTTTCTTTCCTTATTTAACGCTTCACCATGGAGCTCTGATTTCCTCAGAGCTGGGGAGGTTGTGATGGCCAACGGCATGGTCCTTAGTTGTTCCACAAGCCATTGTCATCCAAATTCAACTCAGCCCCAGCTCTTTCAGTGTGGTTTCTTTGGAGAGTCTTGGCCGGACTTCACATAGCTCATGAATACTTAACTGTTCCATCTGGTCTGCAAACGTGTCACGGGAAGATGGATTTTCTTAGTGTACGAAGTATTTGAACTGGTTCGTCTCTCCTTAGGGTGTATAAATGGATTTTCTATCTGCCTTGTACTTCTTGAAGGAGGAACAAGGCCACGTCAGCTCTGTTTGCTCTGTGTGTTCCCAGACTGTTGCTTCTGAGTCTCAAGGCCATTGCTTGGAAGCCAGGGCTTCTCAGATATCATCAGTTTCAATTCTAGCTCCTCCTCTGACCTTCCCCATTTGTGTGTTGAGAGAATGTAATGGAGTCTACCCAGAAGGCTCTAAATAATCTTTGTAATATGCAATGTGTCCTAGAGAGTATGTTTCTAAAAACATTATTCATGCAGAGGGATCTTAAATCCAGACTCAGTGCAAACACTAAGAAGGCTGAATCTTTTGGATTTTGATGAAGGACTTTCTTTTGTCTCTCTCCCACTGCTCCCTTCCCCTTTTATTTTAACATCTCCTCTTTCTTTATAGTTAATAAGCTACCGTATGTATGGTAAATGCCTGTGTTAAATTAAAGCTAGATTTTTATTTACTTACGGATTTTTGTGGTTACTTAGGCTTATAAAGTTTTAATACATCTTTTTAATTAGGCATGAGTGAATATACCTAAATTTCCCAACTCTCTTCTTATTGAGACTTCTTGGATGATAGTATAGCAAGTGGGATTTTATTCTTCTACTAGGCCAGCTAAAGTAATTGTTGGGCATTTGTTTCCAAGGTCAGTCGGTTTGGATCTTGTTGAACCAATCACAAACCTTCAGCTCTTACTCTGGAATATTTAGTAATGATCCCCCCCAGATTTGTGCATTTTATTCAGGCCAGCTTCAAAATAAGACCTTGAACTGGAGGTTCTTAATATGAAGTTCAGCCTAAGGGAGCCACTGATTTCTTACTGTTTCTTTAGCTGGGAAAGAAAATAACGGCCTCTTTTTTGACATTATCACTGGCTTTGTTCAGAAAGGGCTGAGATTCCATAGGTAAACCTGGATGGCATGGCACCTTAATTCATTAGTTTTGTAATCAACGACCTTTTATGGAAATGTTAAAAAAAAAAGTTCTAGAAATGTCCATGTTTAACATGTAAATAAGACCATGAGGTAACTCCTCTACTGAGACTGTAGCCTTGGAACATGGGCTGATTCTTCCCCCTTAAATTTTTGAGACCCGTGGGGGGTAGCATTCTGTTGCTACCGCCATTTCCAATTGGAGCAGAGTAGCTCCCACTGAAATCTGTACTGCTTGTTTTTGGTTAACTTTTCTATGCCATGTGAGAACAAGCATGCTTTAAATTAAAAATCCTCAAAAGGCTGGTCATTCTGTTCAAGTGAATGTGAGTACATTTTCTTTCCCCAACAGAGAAAAAAAGGAGCATGCTCTGTTGACACAGGCTCCACAGTAAAAGCCAGCATTAAAGCTGTCTGGCTCACCTCATCAAGTACTTCGTGAGCGCCTAGTGATCACCACAGGAATGAGCCAATAAGTGCATGATGCTTGCTGTGTTTGTAATGTACACTGTTTGCGCTAATGTTTTGGAGACGAATCTTCTTTTTTGCTGTATTGATTCTCACCCTCTAACTTTGTCTCTCCTGTCTACCAGGCCTCCCCCTTGTCTACCTTAGAACTAGGAGTACAGCCAGTCTGACTAACCTAGAGCACCAGATCTATGCTAGAGGTACAGTACAGCCAAGCGAGGGCTTGCTTTATTTTCCTGTTTTAAGAACTGCCTCGTACATCTTATTTTCTGTGAACACGGGAGCCAAATGGGGGTATACCCAGTTATGAGTATTTTGTTTTAGTAACAGGAAAGATCATTTCCAACTAATGGACAAAGTGCCATCTTGTATTAGAAGGAAGTGACGTGCTGTTCTTATTCTGTCTCTTGCATGTGCTTTTTAACCTTAGTGGAAATAAAATCAACTCTACCGTGTATGATGCAGAAACATCCAGTGTCAGTTAGAGGTGATGTCTATTCTGAAAAGCAAATGAACAGAAGAAAACCATCCTCCATCAAGCCCTGCTGCGAGTCTCTGTTTATAGACTACTCTGAATGTTTATTCTTATGGTAATGCAAAGGGCAGTGTGGACTAGGAGCTATGATGATCAGGAATGGAGCTCAGAAAAAAATTTCCAGTAAATAATTGCTTAGACACAAATCTTAATTTCCTTAGAAATGAATTGAGGTTCTTAGGAGGTAGAAAAGAGAATGTTCTTTGTTTCTATCTCTGATCCTTTAAGGGTTCTTGAGAATTTGACTGGTAAATAAATATGAGAGGAAGACATGATAAACTTCAAGGAATTAGAATTCCAAAATGTTCAGTTCTTCTTTTGTGTGAAGGAGTGCAGTTTAATGTGAATGATTTATGTTTGTTGTTGGCCACCACCACCAGATCCTGGGTCATAGTATATTTTGTAAAAATACACCTTTTGAGCTTCCTCTACTGGGAGTTCAGAACAGGGATATTAATAAATGAGGGCAGTACTATGATTTTTTTCTGAAAGGTTTTACTCAGATTGATGTTTGTGAGGAGGGCTCCCAAAGTCCAGGTTTGATTCTTCATTTTTTCATGAATTTATACCTCTTAAGTTTTTCTATATCTGTTACTTCATCTTTTGGGCTAAGCAGAGCATTATTCCTGTGTAGCCCATGGGGACAGAAGCTCAGAGAGACTAAGTAATTTGCCTCCATTCACATGAGAGGCCTGGGACTTTATTTCTGATTTACAAGCCAGGTCCTTTCTGACAGGCTGAGGTGCTTAGAGCATAAGAACCCGCACTGTGTATAATAGTCACATTTCCCTGGGGATTGGGTCCACAGGGCCGACATTTCCTCAGCTGGAGCTGTTTAAGCTAAATGTGGATGTGAGGAGCTTGGGTTCTTTCAGCCTGTGAACCAATTAGGTCTGGTCACCAGAGGAGGTTTCTGAGGTCACCAGTGAATCCTGTTCTCTTTGGTGAGCTTGGGGCTTTTGTCCTCTGGAGCTACGCCCAAGCCAGGTACACAGTTGAGCTGGACTCTAGCGTGGAAGATGTCCACTTCTTCCCCTGTGAGTTTAGATTTGTGAGCCCCTCCACATATTTTTATCCTCAGTAAGGCAGGCTTTTGAAGTCTCTGTGGGTATGTGCAACCTACACAATCAGCTTGGGGACCTTAGCAGTGTGCCTACCCAACCTATTTAATTCTACAGCCATATACTCGTGAATACCTTTATATGGGTTCCTAGCACTTTATTCCATGTTACAGTGTGATCAAAGCCATTTGCCACCTGTTCTTTTTAAATCTAATTTGCAAATGGAAACTTAGCGTCTGGCTCACAGTGGGATATGAAAGCACATCTGGCTTCTTTTCCTCTTGGGCCCTTTATCTCCTGCAGTAAAGTTGCTCTCTGGCTCAAGGAGAGGGAGGTTCCTTTCAAGGTGCCACAGTGAGTACTGTTTACCCTGCTGACAGCTCTTAAATTTTTTACTCCCCCTCTGCTCTTGTCAGCAGCCTCACAGCTACTCCTTAATTTTCAACTTGTTGAATACTGATTTTTTTTTTTTTTAAATCAAGCCTTGGGAACTAAGTGAGGCCATTGGGATGAGAAATGGGCATATTCTACGTGGAGATTATATTTAGATGCATTTGGGGTGTCTCTAAAAAGCTAACCACTAAGTTGTGGGAACACGCTGGAGCCTACTCACTTACTTAGACTCCCCTGAGCCGTTGTTCTTACCAAGACAGAACTTATCTTAACCTGAAATGGCTTGTTGTGGTGTGTGTAGAGCACTAACTTCTGAAAACTTGAGAAGCTACAAAGGGAAAAGGAAACAGTGGTTACTTTTTAGAAGATGTGACGCTGACTTAGCCCTACTGCCCCTGTGCCATACCCGAGAGGTGGGAGAGGCAGGCTTTGGTGGGGTTGGCCTTGATTTTGCTGGCAGGAAACACACGGTTCTAGAAGATGAATTGAAATTTGCTGTAGTTTTCTCAGCCGGCAACTGCAGGCACCTCCAGCTGTCATTTTCTCCACAGCCGCAGACAACTTGGATCCTGGCCTTCCGAGGGCTGTCTTTGTGCTTTAAACCCAGACACAGTAAGACTGGGCCTCGCCCGGTTTTGTCGGCCGGGTGTGTATTGTTGAGCACGTCAGCCTGGAGGCTCCCAGCCCTGGGCTGCTGCTGCCTTTGTGGTTCCTGCTCCCACCTCGCTCTTTCTTTGTGTAGCCAGTAGAGGAAGCACAGGCCCTGGTAGGGGCCAGGGCCTCTCTGCTCCCAAGAGTGTGCAGCAGGCCGCACGGGCACCGGAGAGCCTTCCTCTGTCTGTTTCCAGTGTTCATAGTCAGGTCCAGCTCCCCCAGAACTGGATCACTTACAGTCTCGTATGGATCAGTGTTTCTCTCCAGTTTCCCCAATTAGAAGCTTCTTGGTTAAGGAAACCAAATTTTGTGTTCTTCTTGGCATCTCCATAGGACCCGCCTAATACAGATGGTGAGGATATCTGTGCAAGAAAAATGAGCTAAAAACTTCATTTAAATAGCTTTGGGATAGTATCTTTTTGAACTTCAGGGAGGAAAACCCACAACTGCATATGTAAGAGAACAGGAAAGGATGTTTTTATTTTTTTATAAATGTGCTTAGTGTGACTCAAGGGTAACTCTTACACAAAAGAGAGCTTCCTGAAAGAAAAGGTGTTTTGGACAAAGTGATACAAGTACACGTGTTCTGTCTTGCTGCAGTTCAGGTTGTCTGTTTCGAATGGCTTTCTTGGGAGCAGTAGAGGTTCATGTCTGTCTGTCTTGCTGCCAGCTGTGTTAGGTCTAATGCCTGCTCCTGAGTTAAGGCCCATAAGATCACGGGAGAATTGTGGGGTGAGAGTTGTTAACCAGCACAGTCAGTTGTTGGGGGCCTGAGTCATCCCACAGTAGGTGGCAGAGTACGTGAAGATGTCCTGCTTGGCCTTCAGCACACCTGTGGTGCTTTGTTCTTTTTTCTCTCCACTATCAGCCTCTTTGCACAAGAGGCCGTGGTGGGCACTGCCTCCAGGTGTGGGGAGGGTCTCTGCCGCCCCGGTCAGGGTGTGTGCTGATGGCCTTCTCTTTGCTCACAGCAGAGATGAAAGCCCCCAAGCGCCGGCAGCCGTTTGTCCCTTTTGCTCTGAGGAATCATACAGGCTGCACTTTGTGGTTTGCCACACTGACCACCACGCCCACCAGGTAAGGACCACGCCATCTGTCACCCGGTGCCATCTCTGTCACCACAGGCTCCTGTGTACCAACCCAGCAGAGCAAGGCGGGCCCTCCGTGAGGCTCTTGGGATCCACTGCATTTGAATCAATAACGTGCTGTCTTGCTGAGACTTACAGTGGAGGTTCTGGTTCTACATAGAGTCTATAGTCAGAGAAGTAGATCTTGAGTCTGAAATATCCAAACTATGATTTTGATCCTGGCATCCATTGTTTTTAAAGTAAAAGTTGAGCAGTTTAAGGATGTGAAAGAAAAGTCACCCCATCCCTTCTCCTTGGTCTTCATTCTACTTCCCCCTTTAAGAGAAGCTGTATGCTATTATGGAATCAAATGTTTTGCCCGCTTTTCTTCCAGAACTGCTTGAAAATACCTCTCATATCCCTCACCTCCAACCTGGAATTTTCCAAACCTGTAGCATGTTTGAGTCCAGATGGAACTGGGTGGAGTTGGGAGGACAAATGAGTTCACCTAAGCCAAGTGAGAAGGCTTTCTAACAACTTTCTGCCGATTTAGACCTTGGCTCAACTCTCCAAATGCAAGCCGATCTTCCCAATTTAGTAGTGAAATGTATGAAATGAGGACCAGAATCAGTTGATTTGAGACGGTATTTCTCTTGCCTCCACCAAGTATGGTAGTGCTCCAGAAGAAACCTTTTTTTTAAAGTCAGTTGTTAGTTAATAGTCACACACTCACACAAAAAAAAGTCACTTAACTATTGGGTTGGCCAAGAAATTCATTCAGGTTTTCTAATACTACAGTTAAAAGTCACAACTAGCTTACATAACCCTTTGGGTACCAGACTCTACTGCTGGCAGCAGGTGATTCTGCAGTGATTGCTTTCAGCTATTTGTAAAGTTTCAAATGTTGTGATTGATCATGAAGTTAACTTGAGTTACTGACCTTTAAGGTCCTTTTTTGCAGCCAGGTTATATGACCTTATTGCTGCAAATTGCGTCCTGGGAAGGTTTCTGCTTCCAGCCCCGAGTTCTGGGTGAGAGGGAGGTAGAGAGAAAGAGGGACCAGCTGATACTGTCTGCTTTGGTTCCAGGGCTGCACTGTCTCACAGTGGGAGTCCAGGTGTGGTTCCGGAAGGGAACGGGACGCTTCTGGATGATGCTCACAATGTTAGCGAGTGGCGAGAAGTCCTGACGGGTGAAGAGATTCCCTTTGAATTTGAAGCAAGAGGAAAGCTAAGACACAGGTAAAACGTGGTTTTCTTTTTGCCTCAAAAAAGGAGGGGAAAAATATATATATAAGTAATTGTCCCTAGTGTTTTGCCTCTTCACTTTCCTTTGTTAATGACTTTAATGTTTTATTTTTAAAAGGTGTTTAGAAAACCAGTGTTTCCTTTTTAAAAAAATATAGTGACTATTTGGGAATACATTTCTTTCCATCAGTTATCCCTTTATTAGACATGTGAGGTGGTAACTGGTATGTTCCATGTAACTGCTTTGGGTAAAGCATAGACAGATCGTAGCTCTCCAGTTCATTGCATCCTAGCTGGTTTTCATGATGGAGTGGTAATGTGGTCTTATGAAAAACGTTATCAAAGCATGGTGAGTTTTAAGCTACACGTGTACGCTTTCAGCAAGCAGATGGTTTCAGGAAACAAAGCCGATAATGATAAGATGCTCTCATTCTTTTCTTTCTTAATATTTATTTATTTATTTGGCTGTGTCAAACCTTAGCTGTGGCACGAGGGATCCTCACTGTGTCATGTGGGATCTTCTGTTGTGGTGCACAGACTCTCTAGTTTCGAGGCTCAGGCTCTTGAGTGTGTGGGCTCAGTAGTTGAGGCTTAGGGGTTTAGTTGCTCCGCAGCATGAGGGATCTTAGTTCCAAGACCAGAGGTCAGACGCATGTCCCCTGCATTGGAAGGAAGATTCTTAACCAGTGGACCCCCAGGGAAGCTGCTTAAGATACTCTCATTCTAAGAATAACTCACTTAGGGAGACTACTTGGTTGATGGACTCAAAACCACCAGCCAAAGGCTAGGAATAAATGTGAAAGAACATTGTGCCTGGTAACCAAGAGGGTGTAAAATGTGTAATAAAATGTTCTTTTACTTGCCAGCATTTTTAAGTAGAAGGGCTGTCTGGTAGATACTGAATAGTTAAGATTTTAGCGTTTGAGCCTCATTATCTAAAACTTAAGAGATTGGCTTCAGCCTTCTGTGGTCACATGTGTTCTTGATGCGTTGATTTCTTTGTATGCAGACGTGCTGCTCAAACACTTCTTCCTTCCATATAGCTCTGTGCCTGTGCACATTACTCCCTAGTGGCAAGATTCTGAACTTGGGTGCCTCCAGTGGTTTTTAGGAAAAAAACAGTTTATAAAAAAAAATCACTGCGCTGGGCACATGTACCTGGAAACCATGTTAGAATTTCCAGGGAAGAGTGGTGAGCGTTTTTCTGTTCCACAGAGTTCCTGGAGAAGCTAATTATAGAACCATTCGCTATATTTCTTAATAAACACTGCCTCTGTTGTAGGAGCGGTTTGGCTTTTTTGTTATTTCCGTTTCCATGTTTTGTAACTTATTTCAAGTCCCACCTTTCTGCTTGAATTCATCGAAATAAATGCCTTCTCTGGTGTTTCCCCCTTTGGCATCCTGTCCCCCCACTCCCTGCCTCCTTCCCCCCTTCCCTTCCTGTCAGCCTCAAGTCCAATTCCTCATTTCAGGCTTCTGGCTTGAATTAGGCAGAATCTAAAATAGAATTAAATGTGCAATTTCCTCCCATTCCTCCTGTTCTGCCCACTGCCTTCTACTGCAGTTTCAGCAGAGCACGTTAGCCCTAAAACCCTGCGGGCTCTGTGTTTCATTACCTCGTCTGTAAGCTTCTAGGACCGAAGCCCAGTGACTGAGTGTGGTTCTGAGAGAAGCTGGAGATTCCACAAAAGAACCAAGGAGAAAATGTCGTTTTAGGCATTTCCAAGAGTGTGGTTATGTGATTACATTGCTAGCGCAGCATTTTCACTACCCCACTGTACCACTTTTAGTTGATGTCGTCATTTCACGAAGGTTGAGGTGTAGGGGTGGGTGGAAGACGGACCCAAGCTAGTTCACCTGGTTTGTGTAGAGGGAGGGCAGCTGCCACTCTTGCTCAAGCTCTGTACATCTTGCAGTTTTGTTTTAAGCATAAGACGCAATTAAAAATATCCTCTTGATTTCCCTTGCATTAGGTAATCACCAAAAAGTTTGGCCAGCTGGGTTTTTATGTCATTATGCAGTAAATCCGATTTCAGGCTTTGCTCCTACTCCTCCCTCAGTAGGATTGTGCTTAATGTCTTTTTCTGTGTTCTGCCTGACAGACACACCCATGACCTCCGGATTCATCAACTGCAAGTGAGAGTGAATGGCTGGGAGCAAGTGAGCCCAGTGTCTGTGGACAAAGTCGGGACCTTTTTCCGATATGCTGCACCAGATAAAAATTCCTCATCCTCTACGGTGTGTGGCTGTGGCAAGGGTGTTCAGTGGCAGGGTTGTGCCTTGGCCGCACACCCTCAAAGCCAGGCAGTCAGACAGGCCTGTAGTAGCCTTGCTCTAGTGAAATTTTCTTTCTTATTTTTAACGTTTTATTTTATATTGGAGTATAGCCTGATTAACAATGTTGTAATAGTTTTAGGTGGCAGCAGAATGACTCAGCCATACATGTCCATTCTCCCCCAAACTCCCCTCCTATCGAGGCTATCATATAATACTGAGCAGCGTTCCCTGTGCTGTACAGTGGGTCCTTGTTGGCTATCCATTGTAAATGAAATTTTCTCGTTCTTCAATTTTCCTAGCGCTGGGAAGAATATCCAAGATTATTTTGGGTCAGTCATAGGCACTGGTAATCACCATATAGATAAGCCAGCCAGTGGTTAGTTTTAGTAGAAAAACAGGACCTAAAATTGGCATTAATGCATATTACCCTACCTGTGCAACTCGGATTTTATCCTCACCCAGACCAACTGGCACTTTACAAGGTTGCTGAACATACATTGGCTTTATTCCACATATCACTATGCTTCCTTTATAGTCTGTCTTCACTACACTTTTACAAGGCTACTCCTTGATCCTTCTAGCTCCGTGTCTCCAAATTCTCCTCTCTGGCATAAAGACAGACGTCCGCTGTTGTTTATTTTCTGGTCATGCATCCTCTCACATACCCTGGCCCTGATTTTACCCAGCTGTAGTTCTAGAGATTAGAGGCCAGCCTGGAGAATGCAGCATTCTTGACCAGAATGTGCAGGTGGAGGCTGGCATCCCAGCTGATACGACCACCGTGGGTGCTCTTGCCAGACAGTTATACTTCAAGGGGTAATGGTGCTCCTTGTTGAGTAGCCAGTGGTGACTAGGAAAGCGCACATTTGCAGAGACGTGGAAGCTTTCCTCATGCTTGCTCGCTTCATGAAAAATATTCTTGGAAGACACTGATGTTTTCATGGTCCATCTCGTGCCCCAAGTTTCTTAGAAAAAGAAGCTTTCTTTCAAGATGACTTTTTTCTGTCCAGGAACAAAAGGACTAATTCCCTCCAGAGATACCTTTCTATTGTCTTGATGCATCCTGGAGAATTTGGGGTATATTGAATGATTGTAAAAGGAATATTGCTTTTCCCATATCTTCCAAGATGCTTTTTCTTCACAGTAGACTGTACTTTACTTTACCTAAGAGTATTTATAAACACCGCCTTTGCAAACAACTTAAGTTGTCATTGAATTTAATGATGCCTGTGTCTTAGTTCTGTACTGATTCTTTGACTTTGGGGATCTTTCTTAGATTGGCAGCCCGAGCAGCAGGACGAATATTATCCATCCCCAGGTTTATGTGAGTATGATTTTTCTGTGTCACTGTGTTTACGGAGTGCACACATAGTTCCTCATGACCACTGGACTCTGTGGTTGGAATTTATCTTTTTCATTTTCTGTTAGTGATTTCCTTCCTTTGAAAAGAACTTGCACGGAAATGTTTTCACCTAACTTGGTCTATGAGACTGAATATTACAGGGAAGGAGAAAAAAAAGGGCAAATGTTTTGGTCCAAGGTCTCTTTTTCTTAAATATAAATTAACCTTTGTACAGCTATACATATTTTACAGGTTTTCCCCCAAAGGTCAACATGAAAGTAACTCAGAATGAAAAATAGTAAGATTCTCCCACCATTTGAATTTTGAAACATCACCACAGGATGGCATTAAAAGGCTGTTTTGTGGTTTTTGCTTATAATTTCTTATAAGCATAGTAAGTTTTAAAATGTGAAATTTCGGATAAGCATAGAGGCAACAAGATCAAGATTCAAGACAGTTGTTACTGGGCCCTCGTTCTCCAGGGCTTTGCTGGGCTGGGTCAGCGGAGGCTTTTGTGATGATTGTGTCGTTCTGATAACACTCTAGGAGGCTGTACTCCACCTTAAAAGAAATTTTTTTTTAATTTAAAAAATTTATTTATTTTTAATTGGAGGATAATTGCTTTACAATATTGTGTTGGTTTCTGCTATATCTCAACATGAATCAGCCATAGGTTTGTGTATGTTATCTCCTTCTTGAACCTCCCTCCCAGCCCACATCCCATCCCACCCCTCTGGGTCATCACAGACCCCGGGTTGACTCCCTGTGTTACATAGCTCCTTCCCACTAGCTATGTATTTTATACATGGTAATGTATATGTTTCAGTGCTACTCTCTCAACTTGTCCCACCCTCTCCTGCCCTTGCTGTGTCATTAAGTCTGTTCTGTATGTCTGAGTCTCTATTCCTGCCCTGCAAATAGGTTCATCATCTTAGGTTCCAGATTTCATAATATGTGTTAATATACAATATTTGTTTTTCTCTTTTTGACTTACCTTACTCTGTATAACAGACTCTAGGTTCATCCACCTCACTAAAACTGACTCAAATGCAATCCTTTTTATGGCTGAGTAGTATTGCATTATGTATATGTACTCCAGCTTCTTTATCCATCCCTTTGTCAACTGACATCAGGTTGCTTCCATGTCCTGGCTATTGTAAATAGTGCTGCGGTGAACATGGGGGTACATTTGTCTCTACTCTTCCTTTGCATTAGAACTTCCTGGAAGCTTTGGTTTAAAACATGGATCTTTTCCTTTGGTTGTTTATTAGGTTGGCTTTCATATACTGTTTATTTTAATGAAAAAATTGGGAGTATAGAACGCGTAGATGTCATGTCATTTGTTTCTCCAATAAGAAAAAAAAGCAGTGTCAATATATTCTGAGTATTCCAGAGTAATAGTTTTAAAAACCTTCTGTTTTACCTAATGTGAAATATTACACTTAAAAAAAAAAAAAAAAAAACACCCTAAATTCTTGGCACATGGTAGTAGCACAAAGTGTGTGTTAAATGGACATGGACATGTGAACACAAATAGGAAACAGTGGCTGCACCTAAGACCAGAAATAAATCAGTTTCCTCTAGTATCTTGGATGGCATCATTGACTCAATGGACATTGAGCAAATCCCGGGTTTTAGTGAAGGACAGAGAGGCCTGGCATGCTGCAGTCCATGGGGTTGCAAAGATTCGGACATGACTGAGTGAGTGAACAACTATTTAAGTTCTTTGAAATCCAAATGTTGACTTTTTATAGGCATGTCAACAAACAGTGTATGGGCATATTGAGTAAATTTCATCACATTTAGGAAAAAAAGTTATTCTTCCTATGAAAGGCATGCCAGAACAAACAACTCTTCAGAATTGGCTGTTATAATAGTGGGTATTAAAGGATATTCACTCCTATTAAAGCAGAGTTGTTTTAGAGCTTAATGACCCATTTCACTGAAGATACATAGTCATAGTAAGATGCTTTATGTAGGCCTTCTGACCAGTATTATTATACTTTGCATGATTTTCAAAAGCCACACTTTTTTTTACTATTCCTCTCTTTTCCATAGTTCTCTTCACTCCCACCTGTCCGGGTCGTCTTTGCAGTGACCATGGAAGGCAGTGCTCGGAAAGTGATCACGGTCCGATCAGCCCTCATTGTGAAGAACAGACTGGAGACGCCAATGGAACTGAGATTGGACAGTCCATCAGCTCCAGACAGTGAGTTCTGGCACTGCCTCCCATGCCCTGAGCTGGACTCTGGGGTGGGAGACATGTCTCAGTGCTGACACGTGTTTCTGTGGCAGAGCCTGTGGTCCTTCCTGCCATCATGCCAGGAGACTCTTTTGCTGTGCCTTTACACCTTACTTCTTGGCGACTGCAGGCCCGGCCCAAAGGACTGGGCGTGTTTTTCTGCAAAGCTCCTATTCACTGGACCAATGTAGTGAAGACTGCTGAAGTGAGTAGCAGCAAACGAGAATGCCACTCCATGGACACGGAGAAAAGCCGGTTCTTCAGGTAAGCATGGTGCGGTAGTGCCATGTAGATTTTGCCATTTTTTCCCCTTTATGCTTTCTCTGAGGACCCTTAGTGACTCAGTTGTGCTTGTTGTAAACCCTAAAGTTCTTACTGCTTAAGTGTTAAAGTTCATAAGAATTCAAGAGTTAACCCTGGGCAGGAGAGTGGCTGTTACTTACCACCTAATATTCATGGGAGAAACAACCACAAACCCAGTACTCACACATGCGCGATTAGAAAGTGGTCTGTCTGCATCAGCTTAAAGAGAAGACATGGAAAGGGACTTCCCTTGTGGTCCAGTGGTTAAGAGTCCAACTTGCAATGCAGGGGATGCAGGTTTGATCCCTGGTCCAGGAACTAAGATCCCACGTGCCACAGAGCAACTAAGCCCGAGTGTCCCATCTAAGACCTGATGTAGATAATAGATAAATAAGCGTATGTGTATGTATATGTGTGTGTGTGTATATATTATATATATATACATTTATTTATTTATTTTAAAAAGAGAAAATATCTGGAGAGGGAAGAAAAAAGAATGACAAGTTCTCATTCCTACATTGGGGAGGGAAATCCTAGAGGGGGGAATTTTTCAAATAACAGATTTCAAAGGAATTTGGGTAGAGGTGCACCTAATACTGACTTTTCTTGGGAACTTTGACAAAATTATTATGTAGACTCCTCATTTCCTCTTCTGAAGAGTACAAGTAATATGTTACTAGATTCAGTGTTAGAAAAAATACTGGATTGCTATTGTGAGATCTTTCTAAACTTTAAACTTGTTTAAATGAGAGATGATCAGCTTTAGTTTCCTTTGTAGCAAAGACAGGCATTTACTTAGTTTAAGAAGATGATAAAGGAGAACAAGAAGAATATGAAGAATGCCAGTATACCCTTTATCCGGGCTTCCCTGATAGCTCAGACGGTAAAGCGTTTGCCTACAATGCGGGAGACCAGGATTCAATCCCTGGGTCGGGAAGATCCCCTGGAGAAGGAAATGGCAACCCACTCCAGTGTTCTTGCCTGGAAAATCCCATGGACTGAGGATCCTGGTAGGCTACAGTCCATGGGGTCACAAAGAGTCGGACACAACTGAGCGACTTCGACTTTCATACCCTTTATCCAGATTTGCCAGTTGTTAACAGACTACCTCTCTTTCGGTGATTTACAAAACAAAAAAACCTAATAAAGATATAAATGGTTTTGAACAGTGCTGTTAGGCAGCTTGTCACAATTGGCATTTATGGAACACTTTAACCATCAATTCCAATTGCATTTTTATTTCAAGTATCTGTGGACATTCATCAGAAGAGACCATCTCCTGGGCTATAAAACGAAGATCAACAAATATTAAAGAATTGAAACCCCTCACAATGTATTTCATTATTATGATAGTTATTAAGTTAGACACCAGTGACAACAACGTGCTTACAAAACCCCAAATATTTGCAAATTAAGCAATACATTTCTAAATAACCTGTGGGTTCAAAAGACATCACAAAGAAAATAATATTTTTAAATGAATACTAAAGAAAACCAGACATATTAAAATATGGGGGATGCAGCAAAGGCAGTCCTAAAGGGAAATGTGTAGCTTTTAATGCTCACATGAGGAAGTCAGGAAGACGTAAAATCACTGCTCTAAACTTCTTCCTTAATGTAGAAGAGCAAACTAAACACAGAGAAATAGGAAAATAAAAGTATGAAAATCAACAAAATAGAAAATAAACAATAAGAAGAATCTACAGTGTCAAAATTGGCTTTTTGAAAAGATTCACAAGCTTGATAAACCTCTAATAAGACCAATCATGTTTTGAGGCAAGAAAACACAAATTGCCAGTATAAGGAGTAGAGAAAAAGGAGAACTGCTCTAGACCCTACAGATATTAAAAGATTTGTTATAAACAATTTTATTTAAATAAATTCCACTCTGGAAGGATAAATTTTTTGAAAGATACAGATCACCAAAACTAACACAAAGAAGAGATAGTAAACTCAAAGAACCTAATATCTATTAAATAAATTTAATTTATAATACAAAGGACTTCACACAAAGAACGTTAGGACCATAAAACTTCACTAGTGAATTCTACAGACATTTAGGGAAGAAATCATACAAGCTCTTTGCAGACTCTTTCAGAAAGTATGGGAGGAGGAAATAGTTTTGACTTATTTTATGAGGCCAGCATTCCTGATACCAAAAGTGATATAGTTATTATCAAAAAAAGAAAAAAAAACTGCAAACTAGTATTCCACCATGAAGAGATGCAAAAATTCTTAACAGAATACTCCCTAATAGAATCCAGGGAGTAAAGTTTATCCTAGTAATATAATAAGCTTAACATTAAAAAATTGATAAATTTTTTTTTTAAAGCATGTATGTGTTAATTGCTCAGTCATGTCCGACTCTTTGTGACCTTATGGACTATATAGCTCACCAGGCTCCTCTGTCCATCAGATTCTCTAGGCAAGAATACTGGAGTGGGTTGCCATTCCCTTCTCTATGGGATCTTCCCCACCCAGGGATTGAACCCAGGTCTTTTGCATTACAGGCAGATTCTTTACCATCTGAGCCATCAGGGAAGCCCTTTAAAAAGCATGAGACTTAATAATTTTATCAAGACTTCAGAATTCCAGATCAACCTATAGAAATCAATTATACACTTACATTTTAGCCATGAATAAATGGAAAATATGATTTTAAGAAACACCATTTACAGTAGCACCAAAAATTTTAATTATTTAGAAATCAGTCTAGGGAATGATATACCAGTCTTTTACCCTAAGAATTACAAAGCTTTGCTGAGGGAAAGTAAAGAATCTGCCTGTCAGTGCAGAAGATGTGGGTTTGATCTCTGGGTCAGCAAGATCCCTTGGAGAAGGAAATGGCAACCCATTCCAGTATTCTTGCCTGAAAAATTCCGTGGATAGGGGAGCCTGGTAGGCCTCAGTCCATGGGGTTGCAAAAGAGTTGGACACGATTTAGAGACTAAACAGCAAAAGAGTTGGACACGATTTAGAGACTAAACAACAACAAAATTAATGAAAACCTATTAACTAAGTGGAAAAACAATCAGGTTCATGAATTGGATTGTTAAGATTTCCATTCTCACTAAATTGATTGGGAGATACAACCCAGTTGGTTATCAATAGAATGAGTTTTTTAAAAAATGGCATATGAACCAAATACGGATACATATAACAACTTGGCTGAATCTTGTTAAAACTTAATGCAAAAAAACCAAACCCAGACACAAAGAGTAAATACATCCTGTATCATTCCATTTATGCTATTCAAGAACAAACACAGCTAATTTATAATGATGACTATCAGAAACTGGTTGCTTGAATAATGGGGGAGGATATTGATTAGAAAGGGATATGAGGGGACTTTCTGGGATGAGAGAAATGTTCTGTAATTGATTTTGGGTGGTGCCTATGGGGTGTGTGTAATTGTCAGAATTCATCAAACTGAACATGTAAAATCCATACGTTTTACTGTGATTTGATTATGCCTTAGTAAATGTGTTTGGATTGAAAATTACAAATATCTTAACAAGTTATTGAACCATTTGAATGTTATCCTGTCTCAGATCATCTAAAGAGAAAAAATTCAAGCTCTTCATTCAGGCTGATGATTTTTATATCATTTTGTCATCACAGGTTTTGTGTGGCCATAAAGAAGGAGAATTACCCAGATTACATGCCCTCCAACATATTTTCTGACAGTGCAAAACAGATTTTCAGACAGCCTGGGCATACCATATACCTCTTGCCGACAGTGGTCATCTGCAACTTGCTTCCTTGTGAACTTGATTTTTATGTTAAAGGAATGCCCATTAATGGGACACTGAAACCTGGCAAGGAGGCGGCTCTCCACACAGCTGATACCTCCCAGAACATTGAACTGGGTAAGGGCTTCGTCAAATAAGTATTTGTAATTATTCTGTGAAAGTGTCAGTGGGTATCTTGTGACTGTTTGGCATACATTTTGGAGAAATCGTAGCACATATAATACTGCAGTAAGTGGGCTCAGGGACTTCTCTGGTGGTCCAGTGGTTAAGACTTCATGCTCCAATGCAGGGGGTGTGAGTTTGATCCCTCGTTGAAGAGTTAAGATCCCATGTGCTTCTGGGCCAAAAATCCAAAATATAAAACAGGAAAATAATGTAACAAATCCAATAAAGACTTTAAACAATGATCCACATCAAAAGGAAAAAAATGCACCAGCTCAGAGGATTTATGCAGTTAAAAAAGCAAAACTCCTAACGTAGAAAATCATTGAAACAAAAAACCTGAACAAAACTAAAAGATCTCAAGGCAAGCACTCAACATAGCCTTTTTTCTTGTGTTGCTCACTTGATGTGTGACTAAGGGAAGTCATTTTGTCTCTTCAAACCATGCTTTTTACTAGCTGTAGAATGAACAAAATCATATATCTCTCCTCTTTCAGAAAAAGGGAAAACGTTTGCCAAGCACGCTCGGTATCCCAGGCAGTGTGTCAAATACTTTGACACACATGTTCTCGTGTAATCCTTATAGCAGTAGTTATGAGTCCCATTTTATTGATGAAGACATTGAGGTTTGGAATAGTTAATACATCAAGTCATTTTCAGTTGTAGGGATGAATGAAGTGAAGGTAGAGTCACTATAATATCTGTAGCTCTTGTAGCAAGAGGGTCCTTCCGGATATGGGACAGAAAGAATGTTTCTTTAAGGCTGCTATAGACATGTTGAAATAATAAGGACGTAGATATTTACCTGTTTTACAGTTTTGTAAGTGATTTCATTCTGTCATCTCATTTGATCTTCACAACAATGGATGTCTCAGGCAGAGAGACAGCTGTGACCCCCTTTTTACTGATGAGGAACCTGAAACTCATTGAACTTCAGCAGCGTGTCCCGCAGGGAAAAGCTTACATTTTTGAATACGTAAATCCTTGAGCTTAATTTCAAAAAGAAAAAGTACTGCAACCCTACTTGTCTGTTTTTTAAAATATAGGTCTTGCTCTACATTTAAATGTTTGTTCAACAAATATTTACTGAGCCCCTGTATAGAATAGAAATGCCCTCTCACCCTCCATCACTATGTGCTCTTTGAGCACTCCTTGTCTTCACTCTCATTGTTTACAGCGAGCATCACTTTTAATAAGAAGCTCTTGAAATAGGTACTGTTGTTATCCCCTTTTGGCAGATGGACACAGTGAAGTTAAATAGCTTGTCCCATGTCACACAGCTGTGAGGACAGACTGGGAATTTGAAGCCAGGCAGTGAGGCTGCAGAAAACCTTAACTCTTACCCTATACTTGGCATTTATTGAGTTTCAGACACCCAGCTGAGGGCCTGTATAGTAAACTCTTGAATAACCACAGCTGTGACTGATAACTTTCATTCTTCTAATTATTACATGGTTCAGACTCCCTAGTGTGACTTCTAGACCATATTTATTCTCACCCCAGCTAAAGGGAGATGGCCATTGTAATAAGGTTTCTGCCAGTTGAATACTGTAGTTACTGACTTTTCCAAGAGGAATCAAATTTAGTTTGGCTATGGGCTATTTTGACAAACTATAAAATGAAACTCATAAAGACAGTAGTTTTATCTTTCTTTAGGGGTGTCCCTGGAGAATTTTCCACTCTGCAAAGAATTGCTCATTCCACCCGGAACCCAAAACTATATGGTAAGAATGAGGCTCTACGACACCAACCGGCGGCAGCTGAACCTTACCATCCGGATTGTATGTCGAGCAGAAGGATCTTTGAAGATCTTCATTTCGGCTCCGTATTGGTTGATTAACAAAACTGGTATGTACAGAGGCTGCTCCAGTCGGCCTTTGGAGTCGGTCATGGGAATTCAGATTTATTTGCTCCATGCACTAATGGAGCCAATGCAAACAGATTACCTCAACAGTGTAAGCTGCTGAACCTTTCCCACTCCATAGAAGTGCTTTAATCATGGTCAAGACTGGCCTTTTGGACAACAACTGAGTCCACTGAATAAATTCAGTCATCCCTTTTTCCCCCTTGATGATTTTTTTTCCTTTTATTATTTGCATCTGTCTTGGATACACTGGGTGGGATTGATATAAACATTTCCCCTCCTTCCTAAAGGGCTACCACTGATCTTCAGACAGGACAATGCGAAGACGGATGCTGCAGGCCAGTTCGAAGAACACGAGCTGGCCCGGAGCCTGAGCCCTCTCTTATTCTGCTATGCTGACAAAGAGCAGCCAAACCTGTGAGTACAGTTATTTATGGGAAGGGGAAATAAGCTCCCAGGGAAGGGAAAAATTAGCAAAGGCTATAGTATATCCGTGTAAGTAGAAATAGACTGTAGATAACCATCCTGACTTGGCAGGGGGACAGCACCATGACTTAATGGGATTTTTTTCGGATCTAATTTCTGTGTTATTTGATATGGAAAATAAACCATTTGGTTTTGGTATATAATGAAAGCCAGTTTTATTTTCTGTGTATTGAAGTGGTTCTATTCATAACTCTGCTGATGGTGAGAGACCCACATGTTCTCTTTTCTGTGCGGTTTCTCTCCCCTGGAAGCACTCAGCGCAAGCAGAGGAGCTGGCTGCAGAGGGAAGACAGGTTAGCCCGTTGGTAGAGAGCCTGCACCCCATTAATCCAATCAGGCCATCTTGTATTCGATTCTGAAATCCATCTCTTTCTGTTGAAATAAAGTGTGCCATTTCAAGATCTCAAAGCACTCATTACCTGTTTAAACACAGGGAAAAGCAACAATTGTGAGGATTAGTGGACATGTCCTTCTTAATGTATGGTAGGGCATTAAGGAAATGACAACTCACTCCAATATTCTTGCCTGGGAAATCCCATGGAGGAGCCTGGTGGGCTACAGTCCACTGGGTCACAAAGAGTCAGACACGGCTGAGTGACTAAGCAAAGGGCATTAATTCACTTTATTTTTTCTTGGATTTGACATTCTGCTTTTTACAGTGGTCTTCTGATGTTTAGCCTTAATCCAAAAATATGTAGGTGAATTTGATACTGCTAAAATGCCATACCCCATTATCTATAGAAGGATGCTACAAACTTAGAGGAGGGCCACTCCAGTGGATACAGATGCATCTGTCTACCTAGAGGTTGGGCTGGAGTCACAAGAGGACTGACCAGGGTGCTGGCCAGTAGGAGACAGAAAACAGACGCTTGACATGGTCAGTAGGCCCAGTCTCACTGTTTCCCTGAATGGATTTTGACAGTTTTAGATCCAGGACTTGAGATTCAAAACAGTTTATTTTGTCCGTCAAATTCACAGTTTCTAAAGCCTTTCCACGTAGACGATCTCATTTGATTCTCCCAACATTTCAGTGGACTAGGCAGCATGGCAAACTTTTTAAGATGAGGAAACTAAGGCCCAGGGAGAGTTATCTGCCCAAAGTTACATTGCTTGTTAGTGGCCAATCTGGAACACACATCTGGGAATTATGTTTCCAGGATCCATGACAGGATGCTGGCCAACTGCATATGGTGCCTTGCCATTATATTAGCACCGGGCCCTTGAATGAATGTACCATTAGCTGCATCTTCTGTACATACTTTTCTCATATGTTCAGGGTATTTCATGAACCCTTGAAACACCAGAGTCAGGAAAGTATCAGTTTACTTTGAATCTTTGTTTTTCAGATATGGTAGCATTTTCCTCATGCCTTATGCTCACAGAATCGATGTTTTCTCCTAAAATGTCTAGTTGTGGAGGTCAGTACGTGCCACACGTTGTTGAGCTGTGACTACCTCTCAGATTGAGTTTTGACCACTGATTAATTGCCTCGCTGTGTTTGGGAATAACATGAGAATGAGGAGGAGTCACTGTTAGAGTTCTAATTTTGGCTGACAGCCACAGCAAGCCTTCCTGATTAGAACAGGTAGAAGAGACTTTCTTACGGATGAATGTCTATATACGTCTTTGCTTTTCTGCCCCACAGCTGCACGATGAGAATCGGAAGGGGGATTCACCCTGAAGGCATGCCAGGCTGGTGTCAGGGCTTCTCCCTGGATGGTGGTAGTGGCGTCCGAGCTCTCAGAGTCATCCAGCAAGGAAACCGCCCAGGGCTGATCTATAACATTGGTGGGTTACATTTGGGGGAGGGGGAGAATCTAAACCATGGGCCGACGATTTCAGGCTGGGAGGGGTGAGCTGGCCCTACGCTTCGGTCTGTTGGCAAGTGCTGGTTTTCTCATTTGCCATTGGGTCAGGTATCCATTCTCTGAATGCTAGATTGGTATCATCACAGACCTGTTCTTCTAGGGATCCAAGGAGCCACCTAAACACTGCCCTTTTGAGGTCTGAGGCTGTTTAGTTTCAGATTCACCTGTGTCAGGAAAATGTCAGTTTGGCTTGAATCCTTATTTTTCTCGGAAATAATAGGAACACTTAGAATGCTTTTCATCCTCCAAGCATTTCCCATGCGTTCATTGAAACCTGCAAACCCTAAGAGGGTAAGAAGCATTGTTCTCCTTGAAACTGAAGCTGAGGGGTTAAGTGACTTGTCCAGATATAAAGGGGAAGTCTGGGTTGGAATTAGGATTATGACTGAGGTGTCCACATTTGAGGCAAAAAATATAAAATGCACTTGGTGGTTATGGTAATTAGAAATCCCTAAGCTCGCTTAGCAGAGAAAGCAATGGCACCCCACTCCAGTACTCTTGCCTGGAAAATCCCATAGACAGAGGAGCCTGGTAGGCTGCAGTCCATGGGGTCACTAAGAGTTGGACACAACTGAGTGACTTCACTTTCACTTTTTACTTTCATGCACTGGAGAAGGAAATGGCAACCCACTCCAGTGTTCTTGCCTGGAGAATCCCAGGGATGGGGAAGCCTGGTGGGCTGCCGTATTTGGGGTTGCACAAAGTTGGACACGACTGGAGCAACTTAGCAGCAGCAGCAAGCTAGCTTAGAGGGCTTCCCAGGTGACTCAGTGGTAAAGAATCTGTCTGCAATGCAGGAGACACAGGTTTGATCCCTGGGTTGGAAAGATCCCCTGGAGAAGGAAATGGCAACCCACTCCAGTATTCTTCCCTGGGAAATCTCATGGACAGAGGAGCTTGGCGGGCAATAGTCCATACGGTCATAAAGAGTTGGACATGACTGAGCACACACAACTAGTCTAGATTGGTGCTTTAACACTTTCCATGCACAAGCTTGCTTAGCTTCTAAAGGTGGGGAGCACCAAGGGAAGATGTGCCTATGCCTATGTACCTCAAAAGATGTCGCAAAAGATTAAGACAAACTTGACTTAATTATGTCTCAGATTTGAAGTGTTAGCAGTGTATCCTTCCTTTCCTATATAACTTCTGGGCTCCATATAGGAAAACCATTGAACTCTCTGTGGTAATGGAAATGTTCCATCTTGTACTGTCCAATGTGGAGGCGCGAGCCACACATGGCTGCTGAGCACTTGAGAGTACATTACTAAGAAATGTGAGTGTGACAAAGAAACTGAATTTTTTATTTTGTTTTTTTATTTTGGTGAGTATGAGTGGTCGTGTATGACTAGTGGCTACTGTTTTGGACAGTGCTGATGTAGAGAGTCATGTTACAGAAGGAAAAATTGAGATGGTATTACTTAGCTGTTTACTTGACTCCCATGGAGTCAGTGCTTTGTTTAAGTGTTGGAGGGTTTATTAGTGAAAGACTCTCTTCCAAGTATAGTTTGCTTTTTTTTTTTTTAAACATGAATTTGCATGCATTCTCCCTTGACTTGGAAGCTGTCTCCTTTAAAGCTGACGTGAAGACTTTTAATAGAAGAGATAAACTTTTATCTGATCCTCCACCTGAGGATCACAATTCTCATGTTTGTTCGCTCCATCCCTTTAGGCAAAGTCCACTTCATGCTGGGTTTGGCTTTTTGCTGAGGTGTCTGGTCCTTGATAGAGTTTCCAAAGCAAGCCCCTGCAGGTTGGTCAGAAGCCACAGTTGGGACAAATTGGAGGAAACACCATGGTGCCTGTGCCTTTTGAAGCAGCTGGCACTAAGGAACCACACAGAACCCTGGCAGAGAGGCAGACTGAGCTCTCCAGTGGAAATATGCAGGGAGTGCACACACAAACTTAGATGCTGCGTGCATTCATTGGAACACATCACTTATGTGTTTAGGGACCAGACTATGTTTCACATTTCGTTGTTAACACTAAAGAAAGGAAGAGAGAGTTTGAGCTAAGATGAGATTTTATGTGAGATCTTAGCATGTATTAAGAGAATTTGCGGAATCTCTTATATGACTATTTTTGAAGAATTGGATAGATAACTAGCTTCCTATCAGGAAAGTTGAAAGCACAGACACAAGTAGAAAAATCATGCAGTGCCTGACCAGGTAACCTTAACATGTACCTCCAATAAGGATGATTTTGTATATTTTGATCTTATCAGCTATTCATTTGTTAAGGGTTTGCCAGGGCAATCTGAGATAAAAGGGAGACAAAAATTTTTTTTTTAATTGAGTCTTGATGCTATAGACTCTTTCTGTGATACCAAATAGACCTTTTTTTTTTTTTTTTTTGTCCCCCAAATATACCTTTAATAGGTATATTAGTTGAGATCAGGCATCCGGTCCCATCACTTCATGGCAGATAGATGGGGAAACAATGGAAACAGTGGCTGACTTTATTTTGGGGGGCTCCAAAATCACTGCATATGGTGACTGCAGCCATGAAATTAAAAGACGCTTACTCCTTGGAAGGAAAGTTATGACCAACCTAGACAGCATGTTCAAAAGTGGAGACATTATTTTGCCAACAAAGGTCCGTCTCGTCAAGGCTATGGTTTTTCCAGTGGTCATGTATGGATGTGAGAATTGGATTATAAAGAAAGCTGAGCGCAGAAGAATTGATGCTTTTGAACTGTGATGTTGGAGAAGACTCTTGAGAGTCCCTTGGACTGCAAGGAGATCCAACCAACCCATCCTAAAGGAGATCAGTCCTGGGTGTTCATTGGAAGGACTGATGCTGAAGCTGAAACTCCAATACTTTGGCCACCTGATGCGAAGGGCTGACTCACTGGAAAAGACCCTGATGCTGGGAAAGATTGAGGGCAGGAGAAGAAGGGGACGACAGAGGATGAGATGGTTGGATGGCATCACTGTCTCAATGGACATGAGTTTGGGTAAACTCTGGGTGTTGGTGATGCACAGGGAGGCCTGGTGTCCTGCAATTCATGGGGTTGCAAAGTCGGACACGACTGATCGACTATAAATTGAACTGAACTATTATATGATAAGGTTGATTTCTGATAATTAATGCTTTTCTGTATGTCATAGAAAAGTGATGGGGATTTATCTCCCTATCCTAGTATTACTGAATGTTTCTTAGATAAAGAGTTTTAGTGTTGAAAGTGTGTTAGTCATTCAGTCATGTCTGATTCTTTGTGACCCCATTCACCTTTGCCTGCCAACTCCTCTGTCCATGGAATTCTCCAGGCAATAATACTGTAGTGGGTAGCCATTCCCTTCTCCAGAGGATCTTCCCGACTATTCCAGTATTACTGAGCATTTCTTAGATACAGAGTTTCAGTGAGTGATTTTGTGATTTGCTGTTTTTCAGCTATTTTGAGATTTACATTAAAGAAACACTAGTACAAGTGAATTAGGGAGTTAACAGATCAGAGTATTTATAATTGAAAGTATGTTGGGACATCCAGGACATCTAGTTGTCATATCCTAAGGTCACTTCTCTTTTTATGATCTCTTGATACTTGTCTTTAATAGGGTTCTTTGTGTCTGTCTCTGAGGCAGGCTCCCTGGGTTTAATCCAGCTACGCCACCTACTGGCTCTGTCACCTAAGGACAAGTCACTTATCTTTCCCTGCCTTAGTTTCCTCATCTGCAAAAAGGAAGGAATGAAAATATCTAGCTCACAGGGTTGTTACAAGAATTAAATGTTGAGCCTTTGGTAGAGGGTGTAATGTGTACTAAGAGTTCAATAAATGTTATTATTTTTATTATTTTTTACCATAAATATTATCATTGTGTAACCAGAGTTCAACCCAATGCCTTGAATATAGTTACTTTATTCATTGTCTGAATGAAGGAATGAACTCGTCCATCGAATTTCAGATTTTTAAAAGTTATTATCAGTTTTTGAGATAATATGGTGTTATTTCATTTTTCTTTCTTTCTTTGGAACTTGGTGTTTTGAGATTTCCTTTTGATTGACTGACTTTGTTTCCTTGGTACGTTTTCTGTTTGTCTTTTTTTCCCCACAGTACCTATTAGGTGCTGAAAACATTTATTTTATGAAGGAATAGATTCAGTAGTATTTAGCATTATATTTGAGCTGGATTTTTTTGGGCTGACAGAAAATACTAAAAGAGTCAGTTGAGTTTAGGGCAGTTGCAGAATGTAGTTAAGTAATACGCAGATTCTCCTCTATGTTGTAAAAGGGGCATGTTCCCTAGGAGGAAATTTTGTGTCCCGTATGTAAGGAGAAATGTGTCACATAAGCTGTCTTAGTAGTCAGCTTCATAAATGGAAACCAAGCTAAACACTTGTTTGTTTCAGTTGCTGTTAAAATTGTACATACTTTATGAAGAAGCTGGGAATTATGGGGATACTGATGTTGCCAAGGAGACTTTTTAAGGTCTAAATGGCAATAAAGAATGGGAAAGTACCTTCAAAGAACTACTTTGAAGGTAGTTGCTGTTTTCGTTCTATTCTTAGGAGATGTCACAGCCTCTGTGGGTGCTACAATCATTATCTCAGAGAAACTAAGTAATTGTGAAGGCTATTTAATTTTTTCAGGCCATATTTTTTTCCTTCTGATTAATTCATGGAACTGGTTCTTTTTATTCATAGGTATTGATGTCAAGAAAGGCCGAGGCCGATATATTGACACCTGTATGGTCATCTTTGCTCCCCGTTACCTGTTGGATAATAAGTCATCCCACAAGCTTGCATTTGCACAGAGGGAATTTGCCAGGGGACAGGTAAGCAGCTTGCTTTTGAAGAATGACTAGTGCTTATTTAATAGCACAGTGAATTTTAATGTCATTTTAATTTTAATGTCACATTTAATTTTATTGACTTATCTCCCTGTCAACAGTAAGTTTGTTGACTTGAGTAAACGACAGAATGATCTTTTGTTCGCTTCCAAGGGAAACCATTCAATATCACGGTAATCCAAGTCTATGCCCCAACCAGTAATGCTGAAGAAGCTGAAGTTGAACGGTTCTCTGAAGACCTACAAGACCTTTTAGAATTAACACCCAAAAAAGGTATCCTTTTCGTTATAGGGGACTGGAATGCAGAAGTAGAAAGTCAAGAAACACCTGGAGTAATAGACAAATTTGGCCTTGGAATACAGAATGAATCAGGGCAAAGGCTCATAGAGTTTTGCCAAGAGCGTTCACTGATCATAGCAAACACCCTCTTCCAACAACACAAGAGAAGACTTTACACATGGACATCACCAGATGGTCAACACCGAAATCAAATTGATTATATTCTTTGCAGCCAAAGATGAAGAAGCTCTATACAGTCAATAAAAACAAGACCAGGAGCTGACTATGGCTCAGATCATGAACTCCTTATTGCCAAATTCAGACTTAAATTGAAAAAAGTAGGGAAAACCAATAGACCATTCACGTATGACCTAAATCAAATCCCTTACTATTATACAGTTGAAGTGGGAAATAGATTTAAGGGACTAGATCTGATAGACAGAGTGCCTGATGAACTATGGATGGAGGTTCATGACATTGTACAGGAGACAGGAAGCAAGACCATCCCCAAGAAAAAGAAATGCAAAAAGGCAAAATAGTTGTCTGAGGAGGCCTTACAAATAGCTGTGAAGAGAAGAAAAGCAAAAAGCAAAGCAGAAAAGGAAAGATATACCCATTTGAATGCAGAGTTCCAAAGAATAGCAAGGAGAGATAAGAAAGCCTTCCTCAGTGATCAGTGCAAAGAAACAGAAGAAAACAATAGAATGGGAAAGACTAGAGATCTCTTCAAGAAAATTAAGAGATACCAAGGGAACATTGCATACAAAGATGGGCTCAGTAAAGGACAGAAATGGTATGGACCTCACAGAAGCAGAAGATATTAAGAAGAGGTGGCAAGAATACACAGAAGAACTATACAAAAAAGATCTTCAACCCAGATGATCACAATGGTATGATCACTCACCTAGAGCCAGACATCCTGGAATGTGAAGTCAAGTGGGCCTTAGGAAGCATCACTGTGAACAAAGCTAGTGGAAGTGATAGAATTCCAGTTGAGCTATTTCAAATCCAAAAGATGATGCTGTGAAAGTGCTGCACTCAATATGCCAGCAAATTTGGAAAAGTCAGCAGTGGCCACAGGACTGGGAAAGATCGATTTTCATTCTAATCCCAAAGAAAGGCAATGCCAAAGAATGTTCAAACTACTGTAAAACTTAACTCATCTTACATGTAAGCAAAGTAATGCTCAAAATTTTCCAAGCCAGGCTTCAACAATAGGTGAACCATGAACTTCCAGATGTTCAAGCTGGTTTTAGAAAAGGCAGAGGAACCAGAGATCAAATTGCCAACATCCCCTGGATCATCGAAAAAGCAAGAGAGTTCCAGAAAAACATCTATTTTTGCTTTACTGACTATGCCAAAGCCTTTGACTGGGTGGACCACAATAAACTATGTATAATGAAAAGTAATGAAATTCTGAAAAATAAATAAAGAAATAAATAAACTATGGGAAATTCTGAAAGAGATGAGAATACCAGACCATCTGACCTGCCTCTTGAGAAACCTATATGCAGGTCAGAAAGCAGCAGTTAGAACTGGACTTGGAACAACAGACTGTTTCCAAATAGGATAAGGAGTTCGTCAAGGCTGTATATCGTCACCCTGCTTATTTAACTTATATGCAGAATACATCATGAGAAATGCTGGGCTAGATGAAGCACAAGCTGGAATCAAGATTGCTGGCAGAAATATCAATAACCTTAGATAAGCAGATGACATCACCCTTACGGCAGAAAGTGAAGAAAAACGAAAGAGCCTCTTGATGAAAGTGAAAGAGAAGAGTTGAAAAGTTGGCTTGAGGCTCAACATTCAGGAAACTAAGATCATGGCATCTGGTCCCATCACTTCATGGGAAATAGATGGGGAAACAGTGGAAACAGTGTCAGACTTTATTTTTGGGGGCTCCAAAATCACTGTAGATGGTGACTGCAGCCATGAAATTAAAAGATGCTTACTCCTTGGAAGGAAAGTTATAACCAACCTAGACAGCATATTAAAAAGCAGAGACATTACTTGCTAACAAAGGTCCATCTAGTCAAAGCTATGGTTTTTCCCATAGTCATGTATGGATATGAGAGTTGGACTGTAAAGAAAGCTGAGCATCTAAAGAATTGATGCTTTTGAACTGTGGTATTGAAGACTTTTGAAAGTCCCTTGGACTGCAAGGAGATCCAACCAGTCCATCCTAAAGGAGATTAGTCCTGAGTGTTCATTGGAAGGACTGATATTGAAGTGGAAACTCCATTACTTTGGCTGCCTGATGCAAAGAACTGACTCATTTGAAAAGACCCTGATGCTGGGAAAGATTGAAGGCGGGAGGAGAAGGGAATAACAGAGGATAAGATGGTTGGATGGCATCACTGACTCAATGGACATGAGTTTGAGTAGAATCTGGGAGTTGGTGATGGACAGGGAGGCCTGGGGTGCTGCAATCCGTGGAGGGTTGCAAAGAGTTGGACGTGACTGAGCAACTGAACTGAACTGAACCATTTTGTGCCTTTGGTGCCCTAAAAAGCTCCTGGTGGAGGGCAAGGCTCAGGGTAGAGAGATTCTCAGTAAACATTTACATCTTGACTTGACTTTTGACTAACGTCAGTGACACCATGTTTTAGGGAACAGCCAATCCTGAAGGTTACATTTCCACGCTTCCTGGTTCCAGTGTGGTGTTCCACTGGCCTCGGAATGACTATGATCAGCTGTTATGTGTCCGGCTGATGGATGTTCCCAATTGTATTTGGTCTGGAGGCTTTGAAGTCAACAAGAATAATTCCTTCCATATCAACATGAGGTGAGTCCAGAGAATATATTTAGTCACAAAGTAGTCTTGTTTGAGGTGTGGCAATATAAATAGTAAGCTGTAAGTACCATATAAATTTGAAATATTTATAAAGCTGTAAATTGCAAGTAGGTACTTTTAGTAAGACTACTCTTGATGAAATGGGCACATATGTTTCTGACTGAAAGGTCTTAAAACTGCAAAGGCTATGCAGATAGGAATGAACCTTTTTATGGAATGAGCTAAAAGGGGGCATTGGCAGTTTTGATCATTGTGCAGTTGCTGTCCTCTGAAGTCACATGTCCAGGGAGTAGCACTGAGCTCATGGTCGCCTGCAACTCTTGTCAGCATTCAGATGGCAGCTTTGATTATGTTTTTGTCTGTTCTTGCACATTGTACAAGCTCTTCTGTCATTAGATGCCATTCCAGTAAATCTCCTGGTCTTCTTTGCCCAACCCAGTGACCCTCAGATCCTTATTAAGAAAAATCAACAAAAGCCAGGGTCAGTTAGCACAGGATGACTCTTTTCTTTCATCCAATGCTTTTTTTTTTTAAATGTATTAAACTTTAAAAAGATTGTGGTAAAATGCACATACCATATGAGAAAGATAGCATAACATAAAGACCCAGACATTATTTTGTGTGCCTCAGGCACATAAAGTAAAATTTACTCTCTTAGCCATTTTTAGCTTTAAAAGTGTTAGGTACATTCATGTTGTGCAGTCTCCTAAACTCTTTTCATCTTGTAAAACAGAAACGCTATACCCATTAAACAACAACTCTGCATTTTCCCTTACTTAACCCCTGGCAACCTTTGTTCTCCTTTCTCTATGAATTTGACTGCTCTAGGTACCTCAGATAAGTAAAATCATACAATATTTGTCTTTTTGTGACTGGCTGATTTCACTTAGCATAATGTCCTCAATGTCATCCACATTGTAACGTGTCAGAATTCCTTTTTTTTTTGGTGACAACATTTAGTTTATTACATTTTATTTCCCTTTAGTGCAGTGAAATTCTATTTCATTCTTTCTTCTTAATTTCTTCAAGTATAACTGATTTACAATGTGGTGTCAATTTCTGTTATACAACACAGTGATTCAGTTATATAAACATGATATATATGTTCTTTTTCATTTTCCTTTCCATTATGGTTTATCACAGGATACTGAATATGGTTCACTGTGGTATACAGTAGAACCATTTTATATTCACCATTTATATTTCACCATTTTACATTCTTGCAAAGAGCACACAAGGGTCCAGTTTCTCCACATCTGTACCAATGCTTTTTATTTTTCTTTTTTTTGATAATAGCCATCCTCATGGGTGTGAGGTGGTATCTTATGGTTTTGATTCTCATTTCCTTAATGATTAGTGATGCTGAGCTTCTTTTCATGTGCTTGTAGGCCATTTGTACATCTTTTGACATGTCTGTTCAAGTTCTTTGCCTGTTTTTGAGTTGGATTTTTGTTGTTGTTGAGTTGTAGGAATCCTTTATTCTGGATACTAACCGCTTATGAGATATATACATGCGTGCATTCTAAGTGGCTTCGGTTGTGTCCGACTCTCTGCAACCCTAGAGTCTGATATATGAGATGTATAATTTACATATATTCTCTCCCATTCATATGTTGCATTTTTACTCTGTTGATTGTATTCTTTGACATATAGTTTTTAATTTTGATATAGTCCAGCTTGCCTATTTTAACTTTGGTTTCCTGTGCTTTCTGTGTTGTATGCAAGATCATTGCCAAATCAGTGTCTTGAAGCTTTTCCCCTATATTTTCTTCTGAGAATTTTATAGTTTTAGCTTTTCTATATAGATCTTTGATCTGTTTGTATTCATATAAGGTTAAGAGTTCAATAGAGACATCAGTTTGCTGACAAAGATTCATGTAGTCAAAGCTATGGTTTTTCCAGTAGTCGTGTATGGTTGTGAGAGTTAGCCCATAAAGAAGGCTGAGTGCTGAAGAACTGATCCTTTCGAACAGTGGTGCTAGAGGAGACTCTTGAGAGTCCCTTGGACTGCAAGGAGATCAAGCCAGTCAGTCCTAAAGGAAGTCAACCCTGACTACTCATTGGAAGGACGGTTGCTGAAGCTGAAGTTCCAATACTTTGGGTTCCAGATGTAAAGAGCTGACTCATTGGAAAAGACCCTGATGCTGGGAAAAATTGAGGGCAAGAGGAGAAGGGAGTGACAAAGGATCAGATAGTTGGATGGCATCACTGACTAAATGGACATGAGTTTGAGCAAACTCAGAGGGATAGTGAAGGACAGAGAAGCCTGGCATGCTGCAGCTCAGGGGGTCACAAGGAGTCAGACACGACTTAGTGACTGAACAACAACAGAGTCCAACTCTATTCTTTTGTTTGTGGATATCCAGTTTTCCCAGTAGTATTTGTTGAAAAAACTTTCTTTTCCCTATGGAATGGTTTCTACACCCTTGTCAAGAATTATTTGACCCTATATGTGAGGGTTTATTTTGGGGCTTTCTAGTCTATTCCTTCATATTTTGTCTTTTTGCCAGTGTCAGACTGTTTTGATTACAGTAGCTTTGTAATAAGCTTTGAAATTAGGAAGTGTGAGACCTCCATCTTTGTTTTTTTTCAAGATTATTTTGGCTACGTGGAGTCCCTAGAGATTCCATCTGAATTTTAGGATAGATTTTTCTATTTCTGGGGGAAAAAAACAGTTGGAATTTTGATGAGCATTATATTAAATCTCTAGATCTACTTTGCTTAGCATTGACATCTTGACAGTATTAAGTCTTCTAAATCCATAAACTTGGGATGTCTTTCTGTTTGTTTCTGTCTTCTTTAATGTTTTTCATCAAATGCTTTTGAAGCCAAAGAGACTGAAATCAGTGCTAGTTCAACACATCTCGAAGCAAAATTTAATTATTTATACCTTATGGTGAGTTCTCTTTGGAGAGAACACTATTATAAGGGAACAGAAAAATGGGTAATTTATTAACAGATGATTCAAAATAATATTTATATTTGACTTTTTAAAAAATGCATTATCTGAGCTTTTTCTTTGATTTTGTTTTTGTTGCTGATGTACCTTAATTATCTTTTGCCCTGCTCCTTATTAGAGCTAGTTGCATCTGGTATAGTGGTTTTCAAGCTGTGTTCCTAGAATTCATACGGGTCTAAGGAGGTGATTTTATAGGCCAGGTGAGTGAAGTGGACAGGGCCCCAGTGCCCTCATCCTGACTTCAACCAGAACTCCTGTCTCATAGTGTCATATGTTCCCCACAAGGTTGGGGTGGGGGTGGGCAAGGTGAGGAATTTGCAGCTAAAACCACCATTGATTTATACACTGCTTTGGTGGAGGCAGCCCAGGTCTGTTGTGTGGTATAAAGCCAATTCAAAACTAAACAGAAAAGTTACTCATGATTACTTAAAAGAAGAAGAAAAGAAAGGAAAGAAAGGTGTGGAGGGTAGTGATACCTTTTAATCCCTTTGAAATAGTTTCAGTGTGTGGCCCTAAACTACTGAGCAGGGACCTGGGCCAGATGTTTCCTTTACTTTCCTCAAGTTTTCATTTTGAAACAATTTAAACCCACAGAGAACTTGTAGGAGTAGTACAAAGACACCCCTCCTTTACCTGCATTTCCTACTTTTCAACATTTGCTCTGTTCTTATTCTCTCTCCACAATGTATTCACATGCATCATTTTCCCTAAACCATTTGAAAGTAAAATGAAGTCATCATAATACTTCAGACATAAAAAATTTGTCACCTGTCATTACACACTGAAGAAATTTAATATCATGTTTTTAAGCATATAAAGTATCCTTTAAAATGTTCTTCACAGTAACCCTGCTTCCCAGATCTGGGGTCCAGTGGAGGATCATGCATTTTATTTGGCTGGTGTGTCTCATCTGCTTTAATCTAGAATGGTCATTGTCTCAGTTTTCCCCTTTTGTCTTTATTAACGTTGACATTTTTGGAGTCCAAGCCAGTTTCATATAGAATGTTTTGTTTTCTGGACTTTTCTGATAGTTTTCGACATTCAAGTTTGGGCCTGACGTTTTTGGTAAGAACACTACTTCTGCGGTGGTGTATATTTCCCATTGCATCTTGTCAGGAGGCCTGTGATGCCTGTTGGTTCCATTATTGATGTTAAATTCAATCATCATTTGGTTTAGGTGCTGTCCACCAGGTCTCTCTATTGTAAAGTTACCTTTTCTTTACAAACAACACTAGTCCATTGTAGGGATAATTTGAACCTTTTTATATACTCACTTTTCACAAAACCTTTCAGTCAGTGGTTTGGTGGTTCTCACCTGAATCAGTTGTTACATTAGTGGTTGCAAAATGGTGATTTCTGGTTCTTACATGTCTTCTACGTTTAATAACTGATATTCTTCCATAAAGAAGAGCTTTCCATTCTCTCCAGTGGTTTGTCTATATTTAAACACACACACACACACACACACACACACACACACACACATTACGATCGCATCTGGTACCTCCATTCCACAGGATTCTTCCTCATCTTCCCTTATCCTACAGTGTGAACCCTGTTCATCAATAACATCAACATATTCGTTTGAACCATATGAAATTCCTCTTTTCTAGGTTAAAAGTAGTCTAGTATCAACAGTTTTATGTAGTTCAACCAATATTTACTCACTTCTTGCACTGACACTATGACCCAAAACAAACCCAAAGTAAAATTTGTAGATCTCATATAGCTATGGCATGCTGTTCAGTTTCTTGAATGATTTCTTTTTTACTGTGTGATTGTACTGTCAATTTCTACTTTTTAAATGTGGCCAAATAACATACAGTGGTAATTGTGAGAAGTATGAGAAGAAAGTGAGTTGGGAACTTGTTCCCTACATTTTATGCAGCCTCTATGATTTCCTTTTGTTGCAGGGATACTCTGGGAAAATGCTTCTTCCTGCGTGTGGAAATTACTCTCCGAGGAGCTACCTATAGGATCTCCTTCAGTGATACAGATCAGTTACCCCCTCCTTTCCGAATTGACAACTTTTCTAAGGTATCAAGGGGAGTTGAGAGCCATTTTGGCTCTTTCATATGTCGGAAAGTGGAGCATATACTGCACTTAAGATGATGATGAAATACATTGTAAACTTGGGTTTGAAAGAAGCTGCACAGCGGTCTCAGGAATTCTAACCACTGGGAGGTGGTTTCTGCTGGTCATTTTGATTGCTGGGCAACCTTGTCCAGAAGTGACTTCTCAGCTCCCAAAAGTTACTTTGACCAGATGGTTTGGTTAGCATGGGGCCCTCTGCAGACACACCATATAAACAGAGAAATCTGAATCAGATTGACAAATGCCCAGTAGAATGGGCAGTTCTACTGATGCTTTGTTAACAGTGAGCTCCCTTCTGAATCTTCCAAGTGCAGCCAAGATGGAGGTTGTTAGATTCTATTTTAAATTATGCCTTATATCTTATAATCTGTAACTTTCCATAGCTGAATCCCAAGATTTTTGTTCCTTTCTTTGTTCATGGTGTATCCTGGGCATGGTGGGGTGAGACTAGATGCCACTGAAAGAACAGAGTTGCTTTCTCTAGGTATTTGGTATGGCAAAGCTTCTCAAAAGCTTTTACCCAACAGACTGTGACCCATGTCCTCTAACTGGTGGGCTTTTTGCAATTTTGAAGATGATTAGAAAGGCATTTGAAGAGGCCAGCTGTTGAGCCTTACTTGTGGTTTTGTACCCTATATAGCATTCATTTGGGAAAGATTTGGAACCTAAGAGGCACTGAATCACTTTCCAGCATCACCCCACTGAATGAAGGTTCTCCTTATTCTCTGCTGTTCCTGTAGGTCCCGGTTGTCTTCACTCAGCATGGCGTTGCTGAGCCCAGGCTCCGCACTGAAGTGAAGCCCATGACTTCCTTGGATTATGCTTGGGATGAACCCACCCTGCCACCTTTTGTTACTCTGACTGTTAAAGGGGCAGGTTCCTCTGAGATCAGCTGCAACATGAATGATTTCCAGGATAACCAGCAGCTTTATTATGAAAATTTCATTTACATTGCTGCTACATACACGTTCTCTGGGTAAGTCTGGGTTAAATTACTGTTCTTGTAAAGCAGAAAGCTCTAATTATTAACTGGTTTTAAATTTTAAGCAATTCTCAAAAGGCTGAGGGATGAAGGAAGATTCCTTCCATTCTTTACCAAATCCTAGGCTCAGACTTTATCTTGAGAGCTCTTTTGTCTAAGCCCTTGTCTTCTGGCTAGAGTAAAATTTATCCAAAGAGGCAAGACTCTTCTCTTTTTAAAGAGCTTCCTAATAATCCATTCTAGTATTTAACAACTCTCCTTGGGCATTGTTGTTGTAATAGCTTCAACTTCTCTTGCTTTATGGTGATATTTCTTATGCATTTTTTAAACTTCTTGCTGCTAACTGCTATTTTTTATTTGTTTTACCTCTTTCCTTATTTGAAACTGACTAATATTCATCCATAATTACTCGAATCACTATTCTGACCCTCCTCTCCCATTGAGAACACTGACTAAGCAGACACTTTAGGGTCTTCTTAATAGTCACCTAAAGGCAAGCAGAGGAGTTTAACTTGACAGTAATTACAGTTGCCTCAGAATTATGATCTTATGATCTTCATTGTTTGTCTGATTAGTTAGTTGTATTTAGAAAAAAATAAATCAAGGTAGGAGTAGTCAGCTTGTTGTAATTCTGTTAGATTGGTACATGGATAGGTACATAGAGATTCAGAATATTAGGCTTTCAAGAGTAGTCATTCCACCAACACATAAATACAGTTGTTTCTGTGCTGATCACAGGGCCAATTTTAAAGTTGATCCATGAAGATACTGGGAAAATAGCCGAATCTTTAGCATTCCAAATATAAGTCACCTGGTGAACAGTACATTTAAAGTCCTATTTATTTGCAAAATGTCCTAAATAGTTTTGCTTATGAAATATTTTTATATGTGCCTGAGGCCCCCAAGAAATTGTCTGAGTCTGTGCATCATCTCTCTCATCTGCTTAGACCCTAGATTTCACTAATAATGATATGAATGGCATGTTTGCTTTGATAAGGTTTTAGTGCCTGAAAAACCAGTCCTTAATCTGGTTGCTATGCATGTTTTTCTCTATACTTCCTCATGTTCTGGTAGTTACTAAGCTCTTTAACTGAAGAATCCTAGTGGAGACTTAGTAGTGTCACAGGTTGAGCAGATATGAATAGATAAAAAGAGAAGTTTCTGGGAATCTAGTGTGCTGAGAGGCTGAACTATATTTTGGAGTGTAGTGGATCCTATTTCTTTGCATCTTTGATGAGAACTAATGATGAGGAAAGAGACTAGGATTTTGTTTTTTGAATTGAGGCAAAGTTCATAAACCATAAAATTAACCATTTGTTAAAAGTGATGAGTTTGGTGGCATTTAATGTATTCATGATATAAAGCTACCACCTCTCGTTCCGAGACAGTTCCATCACTCCAAACCCTAAGTAGTTACTGCCTTTTCTTCCAGCCCCTGGAAATCACAGATCTGCATTCTTGTCTCTAAGGATTTACCTATTCCAAATATTTCACATAAATTATCATTAAATATCTGACCTTTTGTGACTGACTTATTTCACTTAGCATAATGTTTTCAAGGTTCACCCACATTGTAGCGGGTGTCACTTTTTCATTCCTGTTACGGCTGAGTAATATTCCATTGTACGTCTATACCACATTCTCTTTGTCCATTCTTTCTTTGATGGACATTTGTATTGTCCCTACTTTTTGGCTATTATGAACAGTGCTGCAATCAGCATGCCTGTACATGTGTTTAAGTGCTTGTTTTAATTCTTTTGTGTGTATACCTTGGGGTGGAATTGCTGGGTTCCATGGTAATTCTTTGTTTACCTTTTTGAGGAACTGCCGTACTGTTTTCCACAGCAGCTGAATCATTTTATATTCCTGCCATCAATGTATAAGGGTTTCATTTCTTCTACATTTTCTGCAGAGCTTGTTGTTTTCCACTGTTTTTCTTTAATTGTAACAATTCTACTAAGTAGGTAGTGGTATCTCAGTGTGGTTTTCATTTGCATTTCTATACTAGCTAATGACATTGAAGATCTTATCATGTGCTTATTGGTCAGTTGTATATCTTTTTTTTTCCCCATGCTACATAGCTTGTGGGTCTTGAACTCTGGCCACTTGGGCCATGGCAGTGAAAGGTCTGTGTCCTAACTGCTGGACTACCAGGGAATTCCTCATTTGTATATCTTTGGGGAAATGTCTGTTCAAATCCTTGGCCCATTTTTACATTTGATTTTTTTTTTTTTTGCCTTTTTATTGTTGATTTTTACAACTCCTTATGTAATATGTGTGCAGATCCCATATCAGATACATGATTTGCCACTATCATCTATTCTGTGGGTTGTGTTTTTACTTTCTTGGTAATGTCTTTTGTAAGGATAAAAGTTTTTAATTTTGTTGAAATCAATTTTTTTATTTACTTGTGCTTTTGATATCATGAAAGCTAATTTTTAACTTTGAATTTTTCAGTCCCTTTTTTGATGATAGAGATTAATGGAAATAGGAGAATAATCTAAACAAAATCTCATCAAAATACCCCAAAGTATAGTTAAGGCTGCAGCAATTCCATAAAACTTAGGGTTCTTAAGCCCAGAGAAACACAACAGGATAGAATTGGAGGAGGTGATTATGAACCCTTTGTTTTCTTTTCATCCTAAAGGAACTTCTGATTTCTTGCTAAGATGTGAGGATGCAGTAACGCTGATCGTCTTCCTGGCAAACAGTAGAGCCAATTCTTGGACCTTTGGAATGTCTGGCTTGGTTTTTGTTTTTTTCCCTCTAAAAATATATAGTCATTCTTTTATGTCAGAATTTCACTTTTATGTATATCTTCTGACAAATGAATCTTTGAATTATGCAAGAGAACAACACAACCTTAATCTTTCTGCAGCTTGAGTCAGACTTTTTCTTCCATGATTAAAAAAAAGGTTTTCTATATAGTGGAGGTTTAGGCATCTGCTTATGAATACTTGAATAAATACATGTGTGGGGGGTGGGGAGGGTGTGTGTGTATTATGACTGTTACTGTTTTTTCAATTCTAGTTTACAGGAGGGGACAGGACGGCCTGTGACTTCCAACAAAGCCATTACTTGTGCAGAGCTTGTCTTGGATGTCTCACCGAAGACACAGAGAGTCATTTTAAAGAAGAAGGTAAGAGAGCCTAGAACTTGAGTTTAGAATAAAAGATTTAGAATAAAAGTTAGAATAAGAGATAGGCCGCCTGGTCCATCCCCTCCTTTTGCAAACGAGCAGCTGGAGACCGGGGCCTGGGCTCAGGGTGGAACTTGGGTGTCCTGACAGCTCCAGTTGGGGTTCTCCCCTCTGTCCTGCGATGCCTACTGTAGGAACCCTACGTCCCTCTCATCTTTGATACCCTTCTTGGAGAACTCAATTCTTGAATTTATTTTTTTCCCCAAATTTGTGATTTGTCATTTTCCTGACTTTTTTTCTGTTGTAACACTCCCCTAATCTACTTTTCCCTGAACTCAATGGAAAAATGATCACAATGACAGTTTTTTCCCTATTTATGGCAGCATTCTTTTCCAGTTTAGGAAAATGTTTATGCTGTTAGATCTAGATATTGAGAGAAAGAGTAAACTGACCAGAAATATTGTGGCTGACAGAAGGACTAAAAAGAAATAGTTGAGTCTTCAAAATGAACGTTGTTTGAGAACAGAGGTACAGAAAATCACTGTAAGAGGAAGGAGATCACTAACTAATTATTTGAAACACTCCCCCAAGGAGTGTGTTCCAGAAAATTTTGCATAATGTAAGTTATATAATCCATAAATAACCCTGACAGAGGAAGTGTGTTCACCATGTAAGTGGCCCTCATACTAACGGAGAATGTGCCTTTATCACCTGAAGTGGCATCAGTTGTAGCAGTGGGTAGTGCAGGTGGTTGGTGACTCATTTGGCTTTGAGGTTGTGCAACTCTTCTCACATCTTTAATGGGGGGGGGGGTAGATTCAAGTTATTTCACATTTTGCACATCAAATGAAACTTTGATACATGGATTTTTAATTCAGTTTTATATTTTTAACAACTTTATTGATACATAATTCATACACCATACAAATCTTCCATTTAAAATATACAGTTCAGTGGGTTTTAGTATATCTGCAGTATGTACAACTATAACCACACTCAATTTTAGAACATTTTCATCACTCAGGAAAGAACTCTGTATCCTTTAGCTGTCTCATGCACATACCCCATATTTCCCAGCCCTAGGCAATCATTAATCCACTTTCTGTCACTATAGACTCCCCTGTTCTGGACTTCCATGTGAGTGGTCTTCAGTGAGGAACTTCTTTCACTTATCCTGGTGTTTCTAAGGTTCATCCATCTATCAGTCTACCAGTACTTCTCAGATTCCTTACCTATCTAAGCCACCAGGGAAGCCCAGTACTTCTACATGTATTTCTGTATCACACCATTTGAATGCCACATAATGCAACTTTGCTTAAAATCTTATCACACTTTTCTATAAGATTGTGTTAGATACATTTTAGAAATCACATTTGGGAATGGTGATGAGGAAACAGAGCATGTGCCAGAGGATGTTTAAACTACTGTACAATTGTGCTCCTTTCACATGCTAGTGAGGTAATACTCAAAATCCTTCAAGCTAGGCTTCAGGACTGTGTGAATCAAGAACTTCCAGATGTACAAACTGGGTTTAGAAAAGTCAGAGGAACCAGAGATCAAATTTCCAACATTCATTGGATCATAGAGAAAGCAAGGTAATTTCAGAAAAACATCTACTTCTGCTTCATTGACTTCATGAAAGCCTTTGACTGTGTGTGCTGTGTGCTTAGTCGTTCAGTCGTGTCCCACTCTTTGCAACCCCATAGACTGTAGCCCACCAGGCTCCTCTGTCCATGGGGATTCTCCTAATGGACAAGAATACTGAAATGGGTTGCCTAACCCTCCTCCAGGGGATCTTCCCAACCCCGGGATTGAACCCAGGTCTCCACATTGCAGGCGGATTCTTTGCCGTCTGAGCCACCAGGGATCACAACAAACTGGAAAATTCTTAGAGAATAGGAATACCAGACCACCTTACCTGTCTCTTGAGAAACCTGTATGCGAGTTAAGACGCAACAGTTAGAACCTTACATGGAACAATGGAACTGGTTCAAAATTGGGAATGGAGTAAGACAAGGCTGTGTATTGTCATCCTGTTTATTTATGTACTCATGCAGAGGACATCATGTGAAATGCCAGGCTGGATGAATCACAAGCTGGAATCAAGATTGCCACGAGAAATATCTACAACCTCAGATATGCAGATGATACCACTCTAATGGTAGAAAGTGAAGAGGAACTAAAGAGACTCCTAATGAGGGTGAAAGAGGAGAGTGGAAAAGCTGGCTTAAAACTCATCATTCAAAAAATTAAGATATGGTGTCCAGTCCCATCACTTCATGACAAATAGAAGGGGAAAAAGTGGAAGCAGTGGCAGATTTTCTTTTCATGGGCTCCAAAATCATTGCAGACAGTGACTGCAGCCATGAAATTAAAAGATGCTTGCTCCTTGAAAGGAAAGCTATGACAAACCTAGACAGAGCATTAAAAAGCACAGACATCACTTTGCTGACAGAGGTCTGTATAGTCAAAACTGTGGTTTTTCCAGTAGTCATGTATGGATATGAGTGTTGGACCATAAAGAAGGCTGAGTGATGAAGAATTGATGCTTTCAAATTGTGGTACTGGAGAAGACTCTTGAGAGTCCCTTGAACTGCAAGGAGATCAAAGTCAATCCTAAAGGAATTCAACCCTGAATATTCATTGGAAGGACTGATGCTGAAACTGAAGCTCCAATACTTTGGCCACTGAATTCGAAGAACTGATTCATTTGACAAGACCCTGTTTCTGGAAAGATTGAAGGCAAAAGGAGAAAAGGGTGACAGAAGATGAGATGGTTGGATAGCATCACTGACTCAATGGACATAAATTTGAGCAAACTCTGGGAGATAGTGAAGGACCGGGAAGCCTGGCGTATTGCAGTCTATGGCATCACAAAGAGTCAGACACGACTTAGTGACTGAACAGCAACAACAACAATAACAAAAAGAGACCATGAGGTGTAGTAATTGAAAGTAAACAATTTTCTTGACTTCTATTGAAAATTTTGAAAAAGGAAATTTTGAAAGGCAGTAATTTAAAAATAAAAGTCTGACAGAAATCAGGGAATTGGGGGGAAAAAAATGGAAGAGTCCTTGGAAGTGATTCAGATGACCTTCAAAGAAGTGTTCACGTTGATGAGGATGTTAGAGTGAATGAAAGTCAACTCAGGAGAAAGATGATTTTTCAAGTGGGATGTGATCACAGGTGTGATCAGAAAACACGAATCACGAATATACTGGTGATTTCCAAGGCCTGTGTTGACTGTTAAGTAAACAAAAACAAAAATTTTTAATTAAATAGCAAAAAGTATTTTAATAAAAATTTTAATTTATACACTTTCATGTTTGTTATTTCACTTGATGAAGATGAAAACTGGTAAATGAGAGGGCAGGTGATAAGTGAGTTACGTTGACATCTAAGACTAGACAGTTCTTTGAATAGGTGCTAGGAAATGGATCTGTGCATTTAAATTAGGAACCAGGAGTAGGGAGTTTGACGTCTTAGGTTTTTGTTTTTTTACTTTTTATTTTGAAAGTATCTCAAATTTGCAGGAAACTTGGCAGAAATTCTGTAGAAGTGGAGTCCTGTTGCTGGTGATTTTAATGTTAGCACTTGCTTAAGGTGGTGTCTGCCAGTCTTCTCAACTGTGAAGGAAGTTTTTCTTTTTCCTTGTATTTAGTAAATACCTTCGAGAGGTACTTTGAGACTCTGTAAATATACTGTTCCTCATCAGGTTTCCTATGTATGTATGCGTGCATGCATGTGTATTAGCTTGATCTTCCAAAGAGAACATCATAAACGATGGAAATTTATTTCTCACAGTTCCTCTGGAGGCTGGGAGGTCTGAGATCGGGATGCTGGCCAGTTCGGTTCCTGTAGAGGGTTCTCTTCCTGGTTTGTAGACTGCTGCCTTCTCACTGTATCCTCAAATGGCAGAGAAGCGCCGGGCAGGGGCGAGGGGAGAGGAGAAAGCAAGCCCTTTGCTGTCTAAGGGCACTGAGCCTGACAGGACACCCCCACTCTCATGTCCTCATCTAAACTTACTTACTACCCAGAGGCCCCATTTTCATCACAACTGAGGGTTAGGTCTTCAGCATAAGGGGTTTGCAGGGCTCAGTTCGGTCTCCAGCTTTGTGTATGTCACCATGGCTTCCTGTCTTACTCAGTGTGTTTTCTGTTAGTGTCAGGATTTATTTTTACCCTCAGTTCTCCTGTTTGGCCAGTGGGAGTGCCTTTAGCATTCTGTGTCCTTTGACATAATGCCCCCTCGTTCCTTGAGCACTTTTGTACTTTGTGACACAGCAAGTTATTTTGGGCTCATTTTATACTTTCCCTGCAGCATTCCTGGAATTTGCCACTTCTTTAAGGAACCCTGATTCCTTTTATCAGAGAATGGAATTTAGAAACTTAAGGTACATCCACTGATGCCCTTGTTGCTGTTGTGTCACTGATCCCAGGCCCTCTCAAGGGACAGACCTAGGGGTTGTATGTATACATGGCATATATATGCACACACAGGCACATATATATCTTAGTATATACATAACATATGTGCATATGCATACATATATCTTATATGTGTATTTATATATTAAACAGATTTCTCTTTCTCTGTATATTAAAAACCAGCCTTTCACAGTGATAGTTCTAATTCCAGTCCAGCATCACAAAGCTCATTGTAATTTTTTCCCTTTTCATATTTGTGACTCCTTTGTCCAGTACTCAGAATGTACTTAATTTGATCAGTTTTCCTGAATGTAACCTATGCAGTTAGGTTTCATCACAGTTGTGCCCCTGCCCCTCCCCTGTGTGGATGCACCTTGTTACCTGGCATGGGCTCTGCTTGCCACACTCTGAGCAAATTCCCTACCAGCCCCTACCCGTCACAGGAGTACCCTCCTCACCTCACAACCCATCCTAGGCTCACCTCCCCAGCCCCATTATAATCCATGGGTGATGTGGATTATCACCCACATGTGTTTTCACGTCCCACTCAGGGTCGGGCCACCACAATACACCCACCCACTGACATGTATCCCCCAGGTATCTCCTTTCTTCTGTCTCACCTAAAGTTTTAGTTCTAAATTATATAGGAAAGGGGCAGGGGAAGGGAACTGGAAGGAGAATGGTGCATCTCAGATTTTTAAATGAAGGTTTGGGTAGTTTCCAATGATGATGAACCTGTACATATGGGCAAGCAATAGTGGAATCCATATATGAAAACTTGACTCCACCTGGCATTTGGGCTTTGATTCCCAATCTGGAACACCTCCAGGAAAACTGAGATGTGCCATGTGGTTTTGGTGCTCTGGATAGATGTGTTCCCTTGCTGTGAACTGAGGAATAAGCATATGGGGATCGCGGGTGGAGACATGCAGCTAAGTTCGATCTGTGTTCACAGTTGCAGGAGGCAGTAGTACACAGTAGAAAAAATGTCATATCTTTTAGATTTGAGTTCTGGCCTTACCATGTAAAGGTGATATCTACTTTCTCACATTCCTTCCTAAGCCTCATGTTCCCACTGATTTTCCAAGTTTATGAGAAGGATCAACTAAGATACTATACATAGCGTGCTGTGTAAAGAGATATAATCATGATAACATTGCCAACATTTATTGAGACATTACCCTGTGCCAGGCACGTACACTTATCACAAGAACCCTCAGAGGTAGCTTAATTTCCCTGTTTGAAAAATCAGCAAAGACAGGCTCTGAGAAATTTAGTAACTGAGCCAAGGTCACTTAGCTAGTAATGAAGCAGCTGGGTTTCAAGTCCTGGCATTCAACTCCAGCAGTCATACTACTTTCTCAGCTTTTACTTTGGAGAATGTAGCAGAAAAGCTGTTTTTCCAGTGTGAGGCAGTGTGTGGAGGCATTTGTGGAACCCAGGGTATGATCCTGACAGGTCTAGCTGGAGTATTCATTCCCATAGAAAGAGTCTTCTCAATGGTTTGGTGTTACTGAAATGGAGTTATGTGGATTGTTAGAAAGGTAGTGTGGCAGAGTGGTTAATTGTGCCCCTGCACTCACCCTGTGGGAATTCAAACGTTCACTCTGCCACCTACTCGTTATGTGACCGAGCTGGAGTTTCTTTATCTCATTGAGACTTAGCTTCTTCATTTGTAAGTCAGGGTAATAATAGTATATACTTCACTGGATTGTTTTGAAGTTTAAATGAATTACTGTGTGTAAATCACAGTGATCAATCAGTGACTGACACATAGTAAATATTCATAGTAAATAACATAGTAGATGTTATTACTATTATTATTGCTTCTCATGAATTGACCTGGAAGTCTCAAGTGCTGTTTATAAAATATTGCTAAGGAGAAAATATATTTAGAATTAGTAGCAATAATTTAGTATAATTTCTGAATATAATCAGCTTAATACTGAACGCAGCTGACCTGAGAATTGGAAACCATCAATGTAGTAGGTATCGCTTAGTAGCTCAGTCTTGTCTGACTCTTTGCAACCCCATGGACTGTAGCCCACCAGGCTCCTCTGTCCATGGGGATTCTCCAGGCAAGAATACTGAAATGGGTTGCCATGCCCTTCTCCGGGGGGATCTTCCTAACCCAGAGGTTGAACCCAGGTCTCACAGATTGCAGGCGGGTTCTTTACCATCTGATCTACCAGAGAAGCCCTCTGTGTAGTATGCGTCCATGATAAACATGGGATGGGGGAGAGCCCTGGTAAATTCTTGTTGTCTGCCAGTTACGAGCATCACAAAAGACCAAGTGTTGAGGATATCGTATATACTTTATATAATTGGATCTCTCTTCCACTGAGGCATGGAGGGTTACTATCAGGAAGAGCAGTTAACAGCTACTGGAGGGAATTAGATTGAACCTCGACTCACTAGTTTGCTCAGAAAGTAAAATTTTAAAGTTTACATTATTAGGGTTTTTTTTATTGTTTCAAAGAGTTTAGCAGATTTCATCCAAACTGCAACTGGGGACTGACAATAATGCAAGTTTGAATTAAGCATCTGTTAGTATCTAATGTGGAAAATGTCCTTTTTAGTACAGTTCCTCCTTGAGAATTCATCCAGCCCTTGTCTGGAGCTGTGTCTGCACATGATGGCTCTTTCTGTCTCTGCCCGACAGGAACCAGGGAAGCGCTCTCAGCTGTGGAGGATGACTGGAACAGGCATGCTGGCCCACGAGGGCTCTTCCGTGCCTCACAACCCCAGTGAGCCCTCGGCTGCCCGCTCCGCCGAGGGCTCTGCCATCTTGGATATAGCTGGTCTCGCTGCAGTCACTGACAACAGGTAACTTTCTAGGCAGCTTCTGATTCAAGTTTACCACTTTCAAATTCAGACTCAGAGGAAATGTATACCCAAAAGCTATAGTTTAGAAGTGAAGTAAGAATTTGGTTTTTCTTCAACAATAGAATTTTATTTCCAAATATGAGTATTGGGTTTTTTGCTTTTAAAAGTTATTATGGAAATGCCCATGGAGATGTTTAAAAAAAAATCAAACAATAAGAAGGATATGTTATGAAAAGTGAATTTATTTTCAGCCAAACGTCTATCTGCCATTGCTCCCTAGAAGTGAACGTGCTCAGTCACTTCAGTCATGTCCAACTCTGCAGTCCCATTGACTGTAGCCCGCCAGGCTCCTCTGTCCATGGGATTTTCCCAGCAAGAATATTGGCGTGGGTTGCCATGCCCTCCTCCAGGGGATATTCCTCACCCAGGGATTGAACCCACATCTCTTGCATTGCAGGTGGATTCTTTACTGCTGAACCACAGGGGAGGCCCCAACTGCTCTTGGCAAGCACCAGTTTGTAGTTGACAGGGTCCCCTCATGGTTGTAAATTCAACCATACTTTGGGAGGCATTTCATGACCAGCACTCCCTAGAAGGGAAAAGTTTGGTTTTTAATCTAATAATTTAGTTAAATCTTTTGAAAGCAGAAATAAATTATTAAGAAAATAATCAAATGTGTTTTTATGACTTAATTCCTTGAATTCAAATCAGCTCTTTAACTTTGAAGAAGTTATTAGCCTATACCTCAGTTTGCCCATGTAGTCAGTGTATGTTTTCAGCTAATACCTTGTTTATTTCCAAAATGACTTTATAGGACTTACAAGTTAAAACTCAATATAAAATAAAAGTATTTGGAAATAAAGATTTCCAAGAAAAGATTTTTGAAAATATTTTTAAAACCCTTTGCATACTTCATGAGACTGCATGATAACTTGTCATCGTGAGAAAGCAAGAAAACACATATTTCATTTATTAAATTATGAATCCCTAAGTATTTGTATTTGTTGACCTCACTGCTTTCCGTTTTATTTTATTCTTCTTTCCTCATCTAGAGATAACCTAATTGCCATAGGATTCAAGCGAACTGTCTGTTAGATTTCCAGGGCAGAAGATATTAGAAGCAAGAAGAGTAAAACCATCATCCTGATACTCTCTTCAGACATGAAGTGTTTGACTCACAGGACTCGTTACTTTTTCCTTTCTTCCAGATACGAGCCACTAATGCTTCGGAAGCCTGACCGTAGGCGGAGCACAACCCAGACTTGGAGTTTCCGAGAAGGGAAGCTGACCTGCGGGCTACATGGACTGGTGGTCCAGGTCAGTAGGTTTTGACATCCTCAGTTGCAGCAAGCAGTGTTTGAGCCTTTTTTTTTGAAACAGAGTCTCATTTAGAATATACATCAGATGTTGTTGAATGGGGAAAAAAATTACAGATCTAATATGTATTATTTCATTTTAGTCAGGAAAACCATGAAACTTAGTGCATCTGTGTGTATTTACCCAAGAAATATTCTTGAAGGTGACATATAAGAAATGTTTTAGAAATGGTTGCCTCTGAGTGATCCCCCCCCCACCCCTGGCTTATTTGGATTTTTTTTTTCCTTTGATGAGATAAATTACCTATGAAGTTTTAAAAAGAGAGAGAAAAATGTCAGCTAAAAGCTCACCATAAGTTAGATGGATTTGTTTTAGACCTGTGAAGTTAAAACTGCCTTTTATAGTGTTCTCTGAGATGGTAAATAATCACCAAGCACTCTGCATTCTCCAGATTCTGTTTACTTGTGCATTCTTAGTGGTGCCTAAATAAACATTTAATTGTAGCAAATGTCAAAATTTAGATTACTGGTCGGATCTCCCCTACCTTCAACTCAGCCAGTTCACCACATTGCAAAACTCCTGGGTACTTTATAAGCAAATGTGTGTTTGGAAAATTACCAGGAATTTGGATTTTCTCTCCTTCTGGTTTCAGGCCAAGAATGGTACCATGGCTCTGAGATGGGTAGCTGGGAAGATGTGTGAGAGGTTTGGGCATAGAGCAGAACAATACGTGTGACTCTGTATGCAGTTCTGCCTCAGTTTTACCCAAAAGGCAAACGCTAGAGCTAGGCTAGAGAGGTCTTAGTGTGTTTGACGTGGGGGAAACCTGGCCGTCCTTCCATAATGGGAGCTTGTTCTCCAGGGCAGCAAGCGAAACTGTAAGGAGCCTCTGACTGCTGTTTGGTGAGATTTATTTTCTTTATCTCTATTGCCCTGAGCTTTTTTCATCAAAGACAAGCTGCTTATATGAAACACACATCTGGAATGGATTTGTGATTTTCAATTAGCAATACAATTCAGACTTCTAGAGGCAAAAGAGGGCTTGTTATAATTGTTGGGTTCTGTGTCTGACCCCGACTTTACTTCTGGTTTGTTTCTAAAGCCCTTGTAATTCCAATTCTTTTAGAGCATCCCTCTGCCCCACAAATCCCTTTCTGGTGTTTGTTGTTTCTTGAATCTATTTCATCATTTCTCTGGTTGTGAGTGACCCTGTAACAACAGTATTCAACAAAGCAGAATGTGTTTTGGTTAGGGAAATAAGCTTGTTTCAATCTTATTATTCTGAATAAAGTAATTGATGGCATTAAAACATTTTCTGACACTGTCCTTATAAGGTTTTGTGCACGTTCTTCTAAACCTGAAACAGTCATAAAAGGTTTCTCCATGTTGAAATCTGTCCTATAAACCCAGATCAAATTTTCCTTCTCATTACTCACTGTTTAAAAACTAACAAGGGGGAATCTAGACACTTGTGCTGTCATTTTCTCTAGCCCTGTGTGCACTCTCCCAAAGGCATCATCCTATAAAGTTTTCGTTTTTACTTGGGGCATGTAGCAAGAAGGTGCTTTTCTCCAAAGGCCCAAATAACTGGCTATCAATGACATCACAATTCCCTGTTTCATTTTAGAAGAGGCACCATCTTTGATATTTGATGGTCCAGCCATATGCATGTTGGGGGAGGTTTTCAATTCAGAATTTGGTTTTTATTGGAAAGCTGAGTGATGGTGATAATTTTTAAATTTTCAGAATGTTTCAGATTTTTAAGACAGTCCTAGGGAGAACACTCAAAGAAACAGGACTTCTGGAACTTTTTTATTTTTTATGCTTATCTTAGTGACTAGAAGTTATCACTAAGCTAATATACTGTATTTGTGGAATTATCTTACCCAGAATTCCCTAAATTCATGCAGTATAAGTTTCCATCTTGGCCCTAGTAATCCTACTGTTTTTTTTTTTATCAACTCTTAAGACTGAAAAAAACAGTACAAGTTTTGCTGTATGTTGACCATCAGAAGTGAGTTTAAATTTGGTGACTTGTTTCAAATGACATGTTAAATTGTCAAAGTTAGTGCCTTTGCCTTTTTTCATACATCTTTCCTCTGTCCTTTAGGCCAAAGGAGGGCTGTCTGGTTTGTTTGATGGAGCTGAAGTTGTTCTTGGTCCGGACACTTCCATGGAGCTTCTGGGGCCAGTTCCACCTGAACAACAATTTATTAACCAAAAAATGAGGCCTGGTTCTGGAATGTTGTCCATCAGAGTTGTTCCAGATGGACCAACTAGAGCACTCCAGGTGATACTTTATTGTAAGAACTGACATGAAACTCAGTGTTCTCCCTGTGAGTCATTCAACAAATATTTATTGAAATATCTGTGCTGAACATGAGGATATCATGTCCTCATTTATAAAATGGGGATAAGACCTGCCTCACAAAGTTGTTATAAGAATTAAAGTATAAGTAAGATACAAGATGGTATTTTAAAAGGTATAGGAATTAATTTATTATAACTTATAAGGAAATGCGGGAGACCTCAGTTTGATCCCTGGGTTGGGAAGATCCCCTGGAGGAGGACATGGCAACCCACTCCAATATTCTTACCTGGAGAATACCCATGGACTGAGGAGTCTAGCAGGCTGCAGTCCATTGGGTCTCAAAGAGTTGGACATGACTGAGCGACTAAGCACAGCATACTGCACAAGGAAAAAGAATCTGAAAAAATAAGAAGATAAATATATATGTCTGACTGAATTATATGCTATACACATGACACTAACACAACATTGTAAATCAAGTATATGTGTCATTTAAAAAAAAGGATGAGTAAAAACAAAATATGAGAATTAAAGAAGATACTATCAAGAATAGCGCATATTATTATCCATCATTATATACCTTTATTGTACATTTAAATAATTGATATATTAATAACAGTAACAACAAGAAGATCTCTGAGGTCTGTAATCAGACAATTTAAAATGTTATGTTTTGAAAGTAGGAGTGGAAGGTGTTATGAGTAGTATCTATATGATATCTACATGAAAATGTCCAGAAGTCAGTACAAGTGTGGGTCTGTAGCTCAGGGAGAGGTCTGTGCTGGAGACAGGGATTTACCAGGGCTTGATGAATTCAAGTTAAGGAAAAAGAAAAGATGTTGATGATATGTAACAGTGAACTCTCTGAGACAGTACACCCTGATCCATAACACTTCTTTAAAAAGCACCCTTCTCAAGGCAAAAAACTAATGCTGTGATCCTGAGCTTTGCATATTTTGACTTGAGCTATAATATTTCTGGATCACCTACAGATGCCTACCCCACACTGTATGAAACTCTCAAGGTCCACAGCTTGGTGTTAGTCATACAGACTCAAAACCACGTTTGCTTCATTATTACATAAATCTTAGCAGTGCTTTGGAAACCATTAACTTCCATAGGATTATTGAGTGCATAGTGACTTTTGACTCATACAATTGATGTGGAGTGTGTTTCGCAATGGAAGTGTGAGCCCTCTTAATAAGTACAGTGTTTTATTTGACCTCAGATAACAGATTTCTCCCAACGGAAAAGTGACCGTTCATCATATGAAGTGGATGAACTTCCTGTTACTGAACGAGAGCTGCAGAAACTAAAGAATCCAGACACAGAGCAGGAATTGGAAGTACGTTTGAACTCTTGCAAGGTCACATCTTCATTATAAATTTGTTTGGAATTTTGCTCTTTGATATTCTCAGTTGAGACCTTCTTTTTTTGTTTTTTTTCTTTTTGCCCTCTCTGACTTCTAAGTATCCTTGTTACTTCACAGTACTTAATGTTGTCACAACATGAATGTGTGAATATGTTAGTTAAATAACAGCTCAGGTCAAATCAGGGTGTAACAAACATTGCTAGAGTAAGATGAAAAATAAAGAATTTAAACAGGACCGAAGATTGAGAAGAAGCAAACTAGATCTTATCTTTTTTTGGCTCCAGCTGACTCTGACATCTTCCTTCCTCTGCCCCTGTTTGGCCATTGCAAAGAAAGTAACAAGTTTGCAAAGGAATATGAGATGACTGTGATAAAGCACACTTATTCCTCATTTATTCAGTAATCTTCTGAAAAAACATAAATGCCTTTATGTACAGCACTAGATTGGATGTTATGGATGTTCAATGAGTGACTTAAGGAGAGCTTGCCTCCCAAATAGGAAGAAAGATTCTCAATTTTTTCCTGTAATAAAATGCAGAATGTCATTAGTGCTCCAGCAGAGGTTTTATCATATCACTGCTGAGTTCTGGTTGGGGTGAGGGGTATGCCTGGAGAGGAAGGCTTCTAGTAAGATGATGAAATTTGAGTCATCCAGGTCAGAATTATAACTCTTCTTTAAGTGGTGTTCATAGGCTCAGAGGCAGAAGAGAGGGACTTAAAGCCATGTGCTTCCTTGTACTCTCTTGGCTACCTTAAGCTCTGATTTAAATTGCCAATGTGCCATGTTTTGGTTTTCTTTTAGGTGCTTGTGAAGTTAGAAGGTGGAATTGGGCTGTCTTTAATTAATAAAGTCCCAGAAGAACTGGTCTTTGCAAGTCTTACGGGAATCAACGTGCACTACACGCAGCTGGCCACCAGTCACATGCTTGAACTCAGCATACAGGATGTACAGGTGAGTGGGGGAGGTTCAGAACTTGTTGATTTTATTTTTTTTTCTTCCTGCTGAACAGCTGACCAGATCAGTGTTTAATGTTCTAGGAATTTAGTGCTCTGCGGCTTTTAAAAAATTGTTCTATGAAAAGAATCATTTTTATCTACATTTGTCTTTACTGATTTTTCCAGACAGCAGAATTCTAAATATAATATCTACTCTATCAGTAACTTGAACAACTTAGTCAAGGTGGCACAGAGGAAGGTGACTGCTGGTTCCCCATCTTGTAAACAGAGAAAACAATGAAAATCCTCTAACCATCATTTAGAAGAACTGAAGTTCACTGCAGGGAGAAAAGAGAAAAGCTAGGGAAGTGAGTTTGTGCTTCTGACCAAGATGGAGTACAGGGATCTGATTTACTGTCCTACCTGAAACACCCCCCAAATCCAGATAAAATAAAGAGAACAGATTCAAGACACTAGACATCAGACAACAAAGGACAGTGATCTCCGAAAGGTGGGAAACAAAAGATGTGAGCCCTGCAGTCATTCCAACTTTGTTGTTGTTGTTTGGTTGCTAAGTAGTGTCTGACTTTTGTGATCCTGTGGACTGTACCCACCCTGGCTCCTCTGTCCTTAGGATTTCCCAGGCAAAATATTGGGGTAGGTTACCATTTCCTTCTTCATCACTCCAGCTTGATGCCTTGAAAAAGTTTTCAGGCCCGGCACCAGGTGGAGAGACTGAGACAGCTCACAGAGTGGATGAGCTGAACAGAATTGAGAGTCCTAGGACCACGGCATCCAGAGTTCATAGGACAGCCCGCCTGGGAGGGGCATGCTGCACAGAAGGAAATCTCCAGAGATTTGCAGAGGGCCCTGCAGGTGTGCCGCAGAGACACAGCAGATCAGAGGTGTTCATGAGGAGACTACCTTCTGAAAAGCTCACAGGGACAGTGCCTGCAACTCACCCCCAGCTACAACGGGTAAACTAATAATTATGGGTCACTGGGAAGAGCCTTCCAGAAAGTCTTGGGCCTCCATGGTACATTTTGAGGCCTAAGCTGAGCACTACTCCAGACCTACCTGACAAAATCCGTCATATAAAAGGAGGCTCTGAAAGGATCAAGCTGTTTCCAAGTAAATTAACCGTATCCCTGAACAAAGTTCCAGATTCAGTGGAATACAGAAACATCCAACACCCAGCAGAATGAAAACCACAGTGTCTGACATCCTGTCAGAAATCATCAGGTGTGCCAAGGGGCAAGGAAACACAATACATAATGAGAGCAGTGATCATTCCAAACCAACCCAGAACTAACAGAGACATTAGGATATTCAGAGAAGGACATTAAAACTTACTGTAGCTGTATTCTATTCCATATGTTCAAAAAGTTAAGTGGAGAGCTGGAAGATAGTCAAAATCTCAAATCAAACTTCTAGAAATTAAAATGAAATGGATAAAAACACTGGATTTGATCAGAAGCAGATGACACAGTGAAGAAAAAAAAAAAACGATGAGTGAACTTACAACAAGAGAAACTGTCGAAATTGAAATACCCAGAGAAAAATAATCCAAGGGAAAAAAACCTAGAAACCCACAAAGAGACCAGCATCAGTGACCTATGATAAAACTTCAAACAACCTAATATCAATACTATATAGATAATTGGAATCCCTAAAACAGAGAGGAGAGGACAGAAAAAAAATATTTGAAGAAATTTTGACCATAAAATTTTCAAACTTAGTGAAAACTATAAACTCACAGAAGCAGCTCAAACACAAAGCCACATTCACACCACCCCCCTTGCTACACACACACATAGTGGAAGCTATACCAAGGTACATCATAATCAGTTACTCAAAACCAGTGATAAAACATCCACATTAAAAAAGCATGTTCCAAGGAACAAAGGTGAGAATGACAGCCAATTTCTCATTGTGAACAACACAAGTGAGAAGATACTCAGCAACGTTTTTACAGTATTGAAAGGAAAGAACAAACTGCTAACCTAGAAGTCTGTGCCCAGCAAATAAATCTTTCAGGAACCAGGGTGAATTAAAGGTGTTTTAGACATTCAAAAACTAAAAGAACTCATTTCCAGCAGATCCACACTACAAAGAATGTTAAAGGATTATCATTAAGGCAGAAAGTAGTGATACTTCCATCCATGCCAAAACCCTTTTCAGAAGAATTTTTTCTTTTATCATGTATCACAGATAGCAAAGGGTTCAGGCTAATAACATCACATTTTTTTTGAGGATAGAAAGTTGGTGTCTTGTACCTCCATTTCTTTGTCTTTCTTTTTTAGTATTACAGAGAAGATCCAAGGAGTCATTTGATGTTCATTAACTTCATAACTATAATTAAACAGATATTTCTTCTTGTAGTGTCTCTTGATTTAATGTGTGCTGTAAATCATAAAAAATAAACAGATTTGAGCCTTTACTATGATTACAGTACTGTGAGAAAGAATTTTAAAAAGCAGAAAATATAGTCCCACCTTTCAGGCATGCGTGCTCAATTGCATCAGTCATGTCTGACGCTTAGCAGCCCATGGTGGGCCCATGGAGCCCACTAGGCTCCTCTGTTCATGGAATTTTCCAAACAAGCATACTGGAGTGGGTTGCCATTTCCTACTCCAGGAAATCTTCCCAACCCGGGGATTGAACCCAAGTCTCCTGTGTCTTCTGTCTGCATTGGCAGGGAAATTCTTTACCAGTAGCACCACCTGGGAAGCCCAGTCCCACCCTTAGGGAACTTCTAATCTGATTGAAAGAGTAAAACAAGGATCAGAAGAAATTTGCAGTTAGTACACTTATGCCAAATGTGTTTGGGGAGAGTATAGAGAAGAGGTCAGAGTAAGGGGGAACTTTACTATCATTTCATCTATTGGATGTGACTGGTGGGTTTGTCACTGATATTGCCTGTGAGTCAGGCATGGCACTGGGCTCTGCAGATATCACTGTGACCCAAAGGGTGAAGTTTCTGCTCTCTGAGCTGAGAACCTGGGGAAGAAGTCAGCCAGTAGGGAAGCGAGTAAGCAAATGAATCATTCCAGCCTGGGACACTTTCTGTGAGAGAATAAAGGGAGGTGGTGCTGCTTTGGGTAAAGTGGCCTCGCAGGCTCTTCCTGAGGACATGGGAGCCAAGCCGAGCTTAGAGGAGGAGAGTGAGATACCAGAGAAAAAGTGTCCTAGGGGAAAAACGTTCTGGAAAATTCTGAGAAGTGGGGGGGACTCACCCACCTTTGGGAAACAGCAGGGAGGCTTGTGTGCAGGATGGTGGGGAGCCTGGAGGACAGCCACGTGTGGTGGAGCCGAGTCTCGCCGGCCCTGGCGGCGGTGCCGAGGGGGCTGTCCAGTCCTCTGAGAAAGGGAAGCCCCTGCGGGGTGTCAGAAAGGAGGGACATGGTGTGTGTTTTTGGTGGATCACTCTGGCTGCCGTGAGAGCATGTGGGAGGAAAAGGGAACGGAAGCAGAAAGAAGTGCTTTAGGTCCCTCGCCCTTCCCTCTGTACCATGAGAGCCAGCAGAAGGACTGCCCACAGCGACTGGACAGAATGATTCTGTGGAAGTCCTGGTGATACAGTGCAAAGGTCAGGGCTTGGTGCTTGAAACACCTGTGTCTGAATCCCCACTCTCCCACTTACTACTTGGTGAATCTGAGTAAGTAATGTAACTTCTCTAGGCTTTTGTTTTCCTGTTTGTAACACAGGGAGGAAGCGCACTTAACCTTTAGGACTGTACTGAGGGGTGTGCTAGGTGGCGTGTGGGAAGGACACTGAGGGGATACCCGATACATGCTCTCTCCTCATTCCTCTTCCCAGTGTGGGCCTGTAGGGTGAAACAGAAAGTGAAGATGCTCACTTCCTGCTATGAGCCTCCAGACATTCATGAACTTGCCTGAGTGTGGGGAGAGTGTTCTCTGTGATGCTGTTCATGGGGGATGAACAGAGCAGTCCCTGTTTCCGCCACTGTCATGACTCCATCCCTAGAAGGGAGTTGACTTGAGGATGGGTAGCTGTGCCTGTTTGGCAGCCATTTGTTACTGATTTTTGGTTTGAGTTCTTTTGTTGCTGTTGTTCAGTTGCTGAGTCGTGTCAACTCTTTGTGACTCCATGGACTGTAGCACGCCAGACTTCCCTGTCCTTCACCAGCTCCTGGAGTTTGCTCAAACTCATGTCCATTGAGTTGGTGATACCGTCTAACTATCTCATCCTCTGTTGCCCGCTTCTCCTCTTGCACTTATTCTTTCCCAGCATCAGGATCTTTTCCAGTGAGTCAGCTCTTCACACCAGGTGACCAGTGTATTGGTGTTTCAGCTTTAGTATCAGTCCTTGCAGTGAATATTCAGGGTTGATTTACTTTAGGATTGACCGGTTTGAGTTCTTATTCAGGGAATCTGGAACGAGAGAAGCATCAGTAGCCTGTTGGCTGAGAGTGTCCGCTTTGGGGACAGAGAGAATTGGAGTTCAGTTCTCGTTCTGTCATTGACTAGGTGTAGAGCCTCCAACAGGGGTGTCTCTTCTCGGCTTCTTCATCTGTGACGCGAAGACAGAGATGGTCCCCAGGAGGTTGTGGTGAGGATGCAGCTTTAATAACTTGGACAGCCTGGCAGTCGTGGGACTTGCTGAGATGATCCTTCTGCAGGGACTAGCCCAGTGCTTGGCACGTGGTGTTATTTACTCGCTCAGTCATGTCTGACTTTTTTTGACTCCATGGTCTGTAGCCCACTAGGCTCCTCTGTCCAAGGGATTTCCCAGGCAAGAATAGTAGAATGGGTTGCCATTTCCTTCTCCAGGAGATCTTCCTGACCTGGGGATAAAACCTGCATCTCTTGCATTGGCCGGGGTATTCTTTACCACTGAGCCGCCAGGTAAGCACCCTTGGCACATAGTACTCACCAAATAAAGTATAGCTCCTGTTACTACTACTATTATTGTTGCTGGGTTTAGTGGAGATATGTTTTTCCAAAGGTACTTTCTGAGTGACCTGCATATTTTGAGATCCAGTCAAGGGTAAAAATGAAAACTGAGAAGCTCGTCCATTCTTGTCACTGCTTTTTCATGTCCCAGGTGGACAACCAGCTCATTGGCACCACTCAGCCCTTCATGCTCTACGTGACCCCTCTGAGCAACGAGAATGAGGTCATTGAGACAGGCCCGGCTGTGCAGGTGAATGCGGTGAAGTTCCCCAGTAAGAGCGCGCTGACCAACATCTACAAGGTAGGCTGGTGGACTTGCTTTGTCCTCTCACAGACCAGGCTCAGAGCAGCAGTGCAGGCCGCAGATGGAAATAGTCCAGGGGGTAAAGGCACAAGCAACTCAACACGTTGTGTAGCTGGATTGATGGAAGTTTCTCTTTAAACTTTATATTCTCAGTTGTGTTGTCAATGAGTATCAGGTGATAGAACTGAATCCATCAGAGTGTGTATTTTTCACCATGAAGTCTCTGCAGGAAAGTATAGCATCTTCTAGATTGATTGTGACCAGATATCTAGACCATGGTCTAGATATATTATTAATATTATAATCCATAAATTAACACACAGCATTGTAAAACAGCTATACTTCAACAAAATAAATTAAAAAAAAAAAAAATCTCAGACTACTGGACAAGGGGTAGGAGGGGCCTGACTTGGGACAGACACCTTGAGCTGCCACAGTGTTCACTAAAAGCAGATCATACTAAAAGTAGATCATTCAAAAAGTGATACACTTTCTTTCGTGGAGAAGTCTTCATGTACAAGCTAGTGTTACAAAGCTAGCTTGTCTGGAAAAATGGGAGCTAAGAGGTTGCTCCTCGTATTTCTAGTCCTTTGTTACCAGGGCCAGTGGGGGCCATGCCTGCATGTGGTCCTCACATTTACAAGTCCAGTCTCCTCCTGGAACTAGATGTCATCCATATGTACTCAGTTTCATGGTGCATCTGAAAACGTCATCCTGACTTAACTGACACAGATGCCCTGGCTCCAAGCAACAGGATGGTGAATCATCTATTAAACATCTTCTGGAATTTGGGGTTCATTATAACAGTGGAGAGAGATGAGGCAGAGGAAAATTGGCAATATGATTATGAAATCACATTAAGAGACCATGCCCTACCATTGGGGCCTTCTTAGGTTGCAGATGAAAGTTCCTCTGACATTTGCACTGTAAATCAGAATTTCTTTCTCTCTAGCACCTGATGGTCACGGCTCAGAGATTCACGGTACAAATTGAGGAGAAACTGCTCCTCAAGCTGCTGAGTTTCTTTGGCTATGATCAAGCTGAATCAGGTAATGTCCAGTGTTCGGGTTTGTATCTGGGAATTGGCACTAGGGTGGTGTTTTTTAGTCTGCTTGTGAACACAGGTGCCTAGATGCCTGGTGAGCTGCCTTCCCAATTCGTGGTCTGAGCGGGGAAGCTAAGGCTTGTGGTCTCTTTCTATTTCTCAGTGTTGCCTGTTGACAGGTAGTGAGGTATGCCTGCATGTGGAGGGCCTTCCGGACCCAAGCATACCCAGGGCAAGCCTTTGGGAAGCAGTCTTCTGTTCCTCTTTGTTTCTTGGTGTTTTTTTTTTTTTTTTTTGACACATCTGCTTTAGGATGGCAGAAATGATATTATTCATTTAGCTGACCACTTTGTTTCCTAACCTTTGTTTATTAAACAGACTCAGGGCCAAGAACCAGAAATCCCTTCAGCAGTTCTTTTGGTTTAGCTGAGGAAGAAAATTGGCCAGCCTCAACCCCTTAACTTTATATTTTTCACATCTATACCCTTATGCCTTAATGTAATTACAGAGGTTTTCAGTTATTGTGCTATTTTGGAGAGGGGAATAAGATGAGCTATTGAAAAACCTAAATTTTCCAGCGATGCTCCAGAAATTATTTAGCTGTCGTCTCTTTGTTTTAGATCCTCATCATGGCCTTTCAAGACTGTTTATACAGCTTAGAAAGAAGTCAGTAATGCTTAGTCTTTTGAAGACTAAATATTAAGCCTAAAGAAATGATAAGATTGAGACTTTTAATGTTTGTCTGCCCATGTTGGCTAGGGGGAAAAAATTCCTGGGGATTTGTGAAATAGGAACATACATACACACAGTGCAAGAAAAATGTTTTTGCTCTTTTTATCCCAGACTTAGAATTTAAGCTTTAAGCATATTTGGGGTCAAGAGCAAGATCCTGTGTGTCTAATGCTGCGTTCTCCACTTTGGGTGGAAACGCCAGTGTGTGTGTGTGTGTTCAGAAAGCCACTGGAGCCTGCTGCCACGTATCTGTTCTCATTGGGTACCTTCCTGGGAAGTTTTACTTTAAATTTGATTGGACATGCTCTTCTTGTAAGTTGCTCTAAATAAATTTCTCCCCGTGCATTGTCTAGTGGATTTAGACTTGTAAAATCCTTGCCTGCCTTTCACTGAGGAATCTCCTCCACTTTCTATAACTGTTCCTGTTCCCTGAATACAGATAAGCCTGTCTTTGTTGGGCTACCTTTTTTTTTTAAAACCTAGTCCCCTCTTTCTATAAATAGAGCTATAAAAGCTTCTAGTATAAATTTGTTTGATGTGTAGCTATGTATAGTCCCTTTGGTTTTATTTCTAAGGCACATAAATCCAAGTGCAGATGAGCTACCCACACAGATGTGGGGACCAGCATCAAGCTGAAGAGCACACTGCTGTGTGTTAGCTCATGTTTGTCCCTTTTACTTCATGAGATAACAAGTGAGTAATGTGCTTCCATGTGCTATTTAAGTGATGTCCTCTGGGAATTCCCTGGCAGTCCAGTAGTTAGGACTCTACACTCGCTACCAAGGGCCCAGGTTTGATCCCTGGTCAGGGCAGTAAGATCCCACAGGCTTCACAGTGTGACAAAAAATAAATAAATAGTGTCCACTGTTTGGGAGAGAGAGCATCACTTGTCCTGATGTTGGTTCTTTATAGCCTGCAGCCTGTTTCTTTTTAAGACATTATGTTTTGCTCAGATTCATCATTTAGTTGGTCATGTTCATTATGACTGAATGAAAGTATGCTCCAAGTACTTATTTTGATATCATTTTTTGAGGTAAATTCAAATAATATGGGTCAATTATAGTAATAATAATGATGATAAGGACAGGATTTCTAGAAAGTGCATTGCCCCATGACCTTTGACTTTCCCACCTGGATTATTTTTTCCAGAGATTATATCTGCCAGGTGGTGCAGAGTTGCAAATCAGTAGTTTAAGCTATTATACTTTTCTGGTAAACAACGTGAACCAGATCTGCTTTTATATAAAAGTGATATCAGGATGCTGTATGTATTAAAAAGCTAAATTTAGAGAGATAAATGTTTTCATCTTCCTATGAATTTCTTTTCAATGTGCCTTAAGTATTTGAATCACGAGACTTTTAAGGAGATTTATTTAAAAAAAAACAAACAATTCTACCTTTGTGCCAGAGGTGGAAAAATATGATGAAAACCTCCACGAAAAGACAGCTGAGCAAGGCGGGACGCCAATCCGATACTACTTTGAGAATCTCAAAATCAGTATTCCCCAGATCAAGCTGAGCGTGTTCACCTCCAACAAGCTTCCACTGGACCTCAAGGTGAGCTGCTCACTGGGGAAGTTCTAAAAACCACTTTTCCTGAGAAAAGAATGAATGTGCTTACTACTTGCCTTTTCCTGTCCAGCCTCATCATTTGTAGCAGATATTTTTACAGGTTTCCCTTTTTGAGACAGTTTCTCTACTCATAGGTGTATATAGAGTTGACCCTTGAGCAGCACGGGGTTAGGAGCACCCATCCTCCTTGAACTTGAAAGTCCACATAGACGTTATCATTGGCCTTCTGCATGTGCGGTTCTGCAGCCAAGTGCAAACCACTGAAAAAAACCCACGTGTAGGTGGACGATGCATTTCAGACCCATGTTGTTCAAGGGTCAACTGTATCTTTCTTTCTTTCTTTTTTTAACATTTAAGTATGACTTTACTGAAGATTAAAGAGTAACAAAAGAATAAACCCAGAATTACATAAAAACCCATCTGCCCTCTGCTTAGCCCTTGGCTTATCTCAATGAGGCAAAAGCCCATTTCCTGGGCTGCCCCCAGACTCAAGAGAAAAGCCGCAGCCCAGACAGTATCTTCTCTTCATGCCCAAGACCTGCCCTCCTCCTCTCCTCCTCTCTAAGTATTCATCCCTAAGTATTCATCCCTTCTTGAATGGTTGACAGTAGAAATGTCTACCACCTTCAGGGACGACATGGTCACATACCCACTGAGATGTGGGTGCCCCCACACCACCGTACCAGGGTGTGACACTCCTACAGAGCATCTGGATGTGCACTTGACAGATGCAGTCTGAATACTGTCTTTATTTTCTACAGTAAAATCTATTAAAAATTAAGGGATGTTCCTCAAATTCTGATACAATATTTGACTCAAAAGTTCATATATATTTTCCCCCTATACTGAGCTGCCCCTCACTGTCTAAGAAATCAGGAATTTTAGAGATTCATGTGTCCTTAATGATCCCCTGCTTGATAAACAAGGATTTTGGAGTTCACAGGGCTTTGTCCCTGAAGATAATATAGATAATTAATGTAGAAATAGATAGGTAATGGTAGGAACAGGAGGAGAACTGGGTGAATGTTGAAAAAGCCTTTCCTTGGGTGGAGTCTCCATCTGCCTCCCTGCAGCTGGCACCCATTACTTCTGGTTCTTTGCTCTGTTGCTCTTAAAGATGGTTATAATGGTGTCTACCTCCTGTCTAACTACCAGTGTAAGATTCCCCCTGCCCCATGCTGCCTCCTTGAAGATGCTGCAAGGTGGTCTCTCTTTCTGAGTGGAAGGAGCTAGAGACATGAACAAATAAGTAGTAAAACTGGAGTCTTAAATATACACACTTCTGGGTCTGCCCACTTTGCAAGCAAGTGAAGCAGCCCAGTGGGGACACGGCCCTCAGCATGTGCACACTCCATCTGAAATGGGCAGTGCAGCTCAGCTCCAGCCCGTTGTCATGGGGTAACGTGAACCCAGAGCTGCCAGATCTTCGGAATTCTTAAAGTGAAGCCGGAAATCTGGACTTTTATGTGGAATCTCCTGGTCTTTAAGTGTTGGCAACCCATTTGAATTTTTTTGTTTTTGTTTTTCAACCTTGTGAGCCTAACAAAACACATGTGCGGTCCTCATGTGGTCCACGATTTGCCTGCTCACAACTTACAAAATAGACTTATAGGTAATAGGACAGTAGCCTGGTCCACATCAAGTCCTATTTGGACCAGGACAGGACCAGGGTGATAGTTTCATTAAGGCAACAAGTGGGGTGAGTGGTTGGGAGTGCTGGCCGGGAACCAGGAGCTCCTGCAACCATCCTGAGAACAGTGCCTTCTCGATGGACTGTCCTGTTTGCTTAATTTGCTTTAACTTCATGTTCCCCAGGAGACTGAAGATACTTACAATCAGCATGGGAGTGGGGGGAAAACCGTGGGAAAACCACTATCTTGCTCATATTCACAAGTATCCACTTGACTTATGTGACCCTTCGGAATGGGTTTGTTTGATAAAGTATATATTCCCCCAGAACACTTGGCACCCGCCCAGCAAACCAATGTCAAGCATTTCCTGAGAGTTAAGGACTTCTTGTTTTTTAAATCATCTTAACTAAGAAACACAGACACCTAACTGTTCCCTTTCAGATTGCTCCCAGTAGAAAACTTCCCCCCAGACTGACAAATGCTGTGTGATTTTCTCCAGTTGAAGTGACTCCAGACCCCCAGTTCCAGGGTATTGACACTCACCAGTTTGCAATAAACTAGGAATCATCGAGATCTAATGTTTCATTTGGCACTATACTGAAGGCCAAAGTTACGAGGTGTGGGCAGGGGGCACTCTGAATGTGGTACTTTAATGTCTCACACCAGGCGGTGGGAATTGGGACATCAATATTAAATCCTCAGCTTGTGGAAGTCACCATTTCATTGTGTCTTGAGTTCTCCTTATGGAGTCTGGGACCCATAAAATAATGTCATTTATTCAAAGAGTTTTCTAACAGAGTAATATCCCTTGATGAGCAGCTCTTAGGAAGTGCAATCCTCTCTTTGAGATGAATAGATAACGGCTAAAAGAATGGAGTCCCGTCCCAGAGCAGGAATTATGAGAGACTGACTAAAAGGTAACCGAGTCTTTGGTATTGAAGGAATAATTATCTTGATTCTCTTGACTCCAGACCAGAAATGAGGCTGTCAGAAGTCTCAGAGGGAAGTCTCTCCAGGTTTACAGTGAGGGTACATTATTGCCAGATAGAGTGTCTGTTCAGAAGACTCAGAGCAGTCTCACAGGTGCTATCTCGATTGGATTCCTTGCTCTGCAATGGAAGAAGGGGGAGATAATAGCTCCATCTCACAAATGCAGAAAGGAGCGCAGGGCATTCCCCACCCCCCGTTCTCCATTATTACAAGTTTGCATGTTAGAGAGCAGCTGAGTGACATGGAAAATGCCAGGTAGTCTATGTGTTCTTTTGCATTTTTTTTTTTTTTTTTTTTAGATCAAAAGAGTCCAGGAACCTTTAAAAGGTTTCACAAGGTGGCCTACAGCAGTCCTTTTCCCATTTAGAGCATTGGGGTATTACAAAAGAAGGGCTTTAATTGAGCAATCTAGTTTGGAAGAAAACCCACATTTTAATGGTCAGAGAGCAAGAGGGTGGGGGTAAGGGGGAATTTCAAACAAAGACACTATTTAAAAAGCCTAAAACTGTCTTCTCAAAGGCTTGAAATAATTTGTTGGGAAACTTCAGACCCTTTACTTTTTTCCTCCCCTCCCTAAATAAAAACCAGATTTGTTAAAAGGAAAAAAGATCCAGTATTGTTAATTGTATTTCAGAAAGTGCCAGAGAGGGAAATATCCCTGTAGTTTTAAACACTGTCCCAGGAGGAAAATGGGCAAATACCCTGCTTCACATAAACAGTCTCTGTGTACCATAAATAAACCTTTAAAGAATGAATTCCAGACAGTTTTGTTTAGCGCAGGATAAACTGAGAAAGGAAAAGACGTGGCCCAGGGACTTGCTTGTCATCTGAGACCTTATGGCATATGGACAGGTATTTCTTCTTTAACTCTAAAGTTTCTGCAAGACTTCAGCAGGTTTTTTTTTTTTTTTTTTTTTTTTTTCGGCCTGGCGGAGGTAGGAATGGACAGTTTCCTATTTTTATGAGGAACTTATGAGCACAGATTGCCTTCTCCAGTGTCCATTTTATAACAGGAAACTGTCTGCTACTTGAGTAAATAAGCATCAACTTTGTACACTACTGTATTTGATTAGTCATTTAGTTACTGCAAGAAAAAGCCCTGATGGGCTCTTCCCCTCCTGTCTTTTGACTCGCCAGAGTGACCTGAAGGTGGCAGAGTAATTCATAGCAGTATGCCGTAGAGCAGCTTTTTCCACTGTGGGAGGCCCCACAGCACTACCAGATAAAGATTACTTTTTACTGAAAGGCCAGAATATTTCCTTGGTTCAGACAAAGTGCATTGGCCACTCAGAAAGGGGATAGTGTCTCTCATGAGGGTTTTGACAAGTTAGTAGACGTATTAAAGTCTTTTTTGTATCAATATCATCTGTGGTTCTTCAGTGTTTGGCTGCAGTGAGGAAGTTGGGGTACAAAGCTTTTTGCCATCTCCTTTGTTTTGATCTCATTTCCTGTTCTCTGAGAAGAAAGTAAGGCTCGGAGTTGTATTGCCAAAACAGACTGCTGAACCGATGTTGGTTCCTGGCTTTCCCAGCAAATTTATTGTTTGGTTCTGAGCAAAATGGTGAAGCCTGCCGGGCTTCAGTTTCTTCATCAGAGAAACGGGGAAAATAGGGCCTGCTCACTTCATCATCACTCACCATGTGGATGCGCAAGTTGTGCATGAATGAGGAGCAGAAAGTTTTTCAGGAGAAATAAAATAATCCTCTATTCTGGTCTTCATGCTTTCCACCAGATAGTAACGGTTGTGAAAATGAGCATGCTCTAATCTACGATCTATTAATTACTGGCTATAGGAGTTTAGGCCACCCACTTAATGTTTCTTTGGGGTTTTTTGTTGTTGTTGTTTAAAGAAATGAGAGTGTTAGGCTGAATTAAAACTTGAGGATGCTCTTAATCTCTGAAATGTTTTGTTCTGAAACTTTTTAGTAGGCTACTAGTGACTTCCCAAGGCACCAAGTGCGGTGGTACTCTTTCCTGGCCTGTCTTTGTTCGGCCCTCTGCTATGGTTGATGCTCTTGACTGCCCTGTTGCTGACCGTGTCCTTTCTGGTTCTCCTCTGACTCTTCCCGTTGGTTTCATCTCTTCTCCTAACCCTATGTTTATCGAAGAGGGTCATTTTTTACCTAGTGGACTAAACTCTCTGGTCATATCACTTGTCCATTTTAAAGATAATTTTATTAGTCTTTTATCAGTAATAATTTTAGAAGCTCTTTATAGAAGTTTTGTTTTTGATGTAAGTTGCAAATATTCTTTCTCTGGTTTTTCACTTGTCTTTTTTCATTGCTTTTGGTGTGCATATTTTTTTTTAAATCATGCAAAAGCTTTTTACTTTATGTTGCCGAATTTGTCAGTCTTTTTCCTTTT